AAAATTTGATTTCAAAAGATGACTTAAATTAAATAATAGTGACAACTTGATGAATCATCCTTGAGCTTAACCATTTTTTTGGAATACTTTTACAACTTTCTATTCAAAGTTTCATGCAAAATGCTAGATTTTCAGAAATAAATGACTTAAATTATTCATCATAAAAAAATTAAATTAGACATTGCACAAATAGGGTTGAGTTTTACTGGGGTTGAGTTTTACAGGGTTGAGTTGACTTGGGGTTGAGTTTTACTGGGGTTGACTTGACTTGGGGTTGAGTTGGACTGGGTTGAGATGACTTGGGGTTTAGATGACCTGTCACCAAATATTTGTAACTAACAATTTATTATTCGCCAACTACAGCTTACAATTCGTAAATTTCCCCAAAATTACCTGTTATTTTATCGAAGAGGTGTATTTTTACCAATAATAATCTTGCATATTACCCATGAATTATTGCAGAAAGCAAATGCATATTCGTACATTAGCGAATGATAAAATGAACCTTATGAATATAAATGTGAGTTTACGAATACAAATGTGAATTAACGAATATAAACTGCAAATCTCGAGGCATAGGTCATGTGACATGAGAGTTTTAGGTGTGTGGGGGGAGGGGGCGATGACTTTGACCATGGGTTGACCATGTCTCGTTGAGAATGATCACGTGATCTAAATAAACCAATGAAAAACGAATATAAAAGTGCAATTTATCAATACAAATAACAATATTTACAAACAATAAATGTGCACTTTTACGAAAACATATTACCTTGTTACGAAAATAAATTCGACAATCAAAAAATAAAAATGCCAAGGCTAGTACTTATTCATTGATAAATTCGACATTCAGTTCGTAGATATCAAATTAATATATTTGCAGAAACAATGATAAAGGTACAAAATGAACTCATTTTATTTATATACGGATATACAATGTGTCACTAACAAATGCGTTTAAGGACTTTTGAATGTATTTCAGTATAAAACACATACATATACGTTTTAACGAAACAAATTAGATTAACGAACAGAAAAAGGCAAACAATGAATGAAAATACTCAAGTTACGAACATACATGTGCATTTAAGAAGTACAGAAGTTCAATTTACGAATACATATAGTAAGATACGAATAAAGAAGCAGAAAACATTCCATAAGTGTGAAACTTAATCTGTATGTTAAGAGTATGCACATGAAACTGCCACCTAAAATATATGGAATTATCAAGTTTCTATTTCTATGCGTGAGTCACTATGGCATAAAAGATTGATCTTCAAAATCAGTCTTTTTGATAATTTGGTAACTCATATTATTACCACTTTGCCGGGCCTGTTCTAGGGGTATTAGTGCTAGTTTAGAAGGCTTTTTTACTATATTGACCTGAGCAATATACGACAGGTCGTAGTGGCAGGCCAATATTGATATTCCAGCCCACCAATGTTCCCCGGGAAATGATATATCATTTAGTGTGTATCATTTTCATTCAGTGGCAGTCAGTTCTTGCTCTTTCAGCCGTGGGCATAAACGGTGGTAATGATACTAATAATGTCATTTCTTTGGGTTAAATAGTGAAATAATGGACCTCAATGAGCCTTCCGCCCTTGGTAAAATATTTCACTATACTGCCCTTTGCGATGACGTTATCATACTAATATCAATCACTAAAATATTTTTACATACTGCATCTCTATTCCTTACACTTTGAGAAGGCCAAAACAACACTGATTTTCTAATGCCATCTTAAACTAATTTGGGTGATTCACTACTTTTTTCTTAAATTCCCCTATGTAAAAACTTGAGAAAAATTTTAAAATTAACCCCTGCTCATGAATGCAGACAAATTCATCCACTTAGTTACTAAAAGACTTACATAGAATTATTATATTCTTATTCTTGACACTTTCCCTTTTCTTATAGTATATTCAAACCTTAGAATTAGTAACATTCTTTTGATCCTTTTTTAATAAACTAAAGTAAAACTTCAAATGCTGATAGTAAATATGATATGCTTTATAAATAAATCACGGAAGATCAGTCTGACATCACTGCTGTAATTTGATACAAACTGTATAAACACTGTGATGTTAATTATCTTAACGTGCTATGCTGAGGATTACAGGTGTTGTTTATTATATCAGTTTTAATCAACCAATAACAGAAGGACATAGAATAATTTAAAATGCCAACTCTGTAAAGTAACAAATTCCAATGAGCAAAAATATTCTTATTTGTGAAAATCCCTAGAACTACTTGTGAATTGAACAATACTACTTCATGTTGGATATAAATAATAATATAATTTTATTCATATTCACAAGTTGGATCTATTAAACTCAGGTCATTCTAGGCGGTATGTTTGGATTGCCTCACGCCCCAAAAAATTCATGCATCAATATCTATAATATAATATCTATCTATTACTTTAAAAAAACTTAAGATCTTTGTTGATTCAAAACACGATCCAATATGTAAGGAGATTAAAATGATGGGTTTATAGTCCTGTCATATATCTTTTTGACTCTGTTGTTTGGACGTATCTATGAATTTGCAGGTTGAAGGATGTGAGAGCCAGATAGGGAAATGCAGGATGGATGTAGGATCACTTTCATGTGGACCCTTCCAGATCAAAATGGCATATTGGATAGATTGTGGCAAACCAGGAGGAGGTCTGTCAATATTACACATTTTAATTAAGAAATGTAGACCAAATAGCAGGGGTAACATCGTCAAATACACCCTGCAGGGCTAGGCACAAACGTTTTCTGTAACCTGAACGTCCGAAGGGAGTGAGGGGTTCGGAAGCTTTCATGCCTAGCCCTAAGGGGTGTATTCAACAATATAACCCCTGCTCTGAGATCTATATTACGATTCAAACATGACAACTCATCAAATGTGTGGAATATTCATTATGGTCTGCCATTAGTACGGCCCACCGTTATGACGTCACACATTACTCGTATCACCAGGGATATTGTTCGCGAATATACCCCGGGTGAAATGTTGACTTTGTTCACAGCTTAAGGTGTAAATACAGTCATTTTCAAATCAACTATTAGAACACAATATATGAATATCTGAAATTAGACCAACTTTAGATTAATATCTTTGAAGGGGATCTTAATCGATCAGCCATACACATATGCCACTATACAGTTTTATCTTTTCATTTTATGTTGGGTCCTATTCCAGATTACAAAACCTGTACCACACAGATGGCTTGTTCCAAGACTTGCGTCGTGGCTTACATGAATCGCTATGGTACATACTGCACTGGAGGACGTACACCTACATGTGAGGACTATGCTAGAATACACAATGGAGGACCCAAGGGATGTCAAAGTAGTGCCACAATTGGCTATTGGAATAAAGTAAAGAAGTGTTTGGGCTAAAGACATGATACTCATATGTACATGTACATATACAAATTTAATAAGATCTATGTAAGACAGTAAAATCTAAGATTCAAATTTTACAAATAGGTAATTCATGTATTCTAGTCTGGCCAAAACCAATAGTGCCATCTATTTTTCCATCTATATAGAAAGTCATATATTGTAGGTGAAAATTTCAACATGTGCATGTGGTAATAAAAACAGATAATCTATATCTCTTGCTAGCAATTAATAATCAATGTCATAGAAATATGGACTGAGCAATAAATAAATAGTCGTGGATTTGCTGAAGTGAGGATTTTCCATGTTAAAAATAAAAGTATTTTTAAGAGGTCATTCATCAGTGGATGAGCGTATTCAAAATGTAAAATACACAAATAGGGGATACCTGTCTAGACAATATTGGAAACTATCACTAATGATCCATTTGATTATGCTGGTTAATGAAACGATTTGTTTCGGTAACAAAATGTCAGAACCTCAAAGGTGCGATTTTTCTTTATTTCACACATTGGAGGCAGAATTCCCAAAACATTTTGATCAAAAACGTGTGTCAGTATCATATATTTATTTTAAGAAAATGTATATGTTTGCGAACAAATAGGTAAGAAGACAACAGAATCTTCGATCTAATACCTCACTATTGTTACGTAAACGGAATGGGTAGGTGCGGATCTTGACCATTTTTTGACATTCCGTTTATGTAACAAATGTGAGGTATTAAATTGACGATTCTGTAGTCTTCTGAACCATTTGTTCGCAAACATGTACATTTTCTTAAACATATGATACTGACACACGTTTGTGGTAAAATGTTGTGGGAATTCTGCCTACAATGCGTGAAATAAGGAAAAAAGAAAAATCATACATTAGAGGTTCTGACATTTTGGCCAGAGTAATCGAGTGGATCACCAGTGCACTATGAGATCTCAAACCACTATGGTTTTGAAGTGGTAATAGAAATCAACTACATGAACTCTTTTATTTAGTGCTCAAACTGTAATACTGTAGCTTTATCAAGGACTTCCAAATAAGTTCTGCTTTTATACTGCATAGTTATTAAGATCATTATCCATCAAGGTATCTGATTATGTACAATCAACTTGAGAAAAGATGTATGAGAGAGTAGTTTTTGTTGTATTTGGTGGGAAAGCTGTTGCTTTTGTGACATCCTGTAATGTATACAGGAATATAAATAAATTACATGCATAATCAATATAAACATTTACTGTTACTATTTTTTAAATCTAAGTAACATGGGTAGTCTTCCTTTTCTCTCATGATCATTCACGGACTTTAAGATAAGCTGCCATGGTCTACAGTCTACACCTAAACATGGAAGAGCAGTGCTCTTTATCAACTATTACACACACCAAATGCCAATTGCCATCTATTACACACACCAAATGCCAATTGCCAATTATTACACACACCAAATGCCAATTGCCAACTATTACACACACCAAATGCCAATTGTCAACTATAACACACACCAAATGCCAATTGCCAACTATTACACACACCAAATGCAAATTGCCAATCACAAAACAGTGGCTTAACAACCATCTATTACCAGAAAAATAAAATGTTGAAAAGACAACTTACCATGTAAATCAAGGATGCCTTCTCTAACTGCTAAAACTTTAGCTCCATATATGGGCAGTTCCTTGGACCGGACATGTCCATGCAGCATAATTGTTGCCTGTATTTTAAAAAATTAAACAACATATTTAATGATTAGTTGTCTTAATGATCCTATATCCAAAAAAACATCCCATCATCCGTATTTATGAATAATCGGTCGGTAATCACATGTAGGTCCAAGCTAAATTCAACAAATAATAACTTTTGTTTAGTTCTTTTTACTGAGGAAACATTTTTTTTCTTGTAGCTGTGTTGTCAGACCTTTCATCTGATTAGTGCCAAACACCTGGTTTTTAAAAAAAAAATTGTCAATATAATTAAGCATACATGTGCTGTTTTCACTAAAAACTTTTCCATTTTTCAATTCTCTCTTATTGCATTTTTACAATTATTTATTTATTTATTTTTTACCTTGTTTTTATAAGGTTTATCCTCTGTTCCTATCTGCAGGAGGCCACCTTCAGTGACCAATATGTACTCCGCATGTAACTCAAGCTCAGCAACACTGTCATCAAAGATCAATGAACCACCTAAAACACACAACTCAAAATTTACAGATACATCTTTTTAGACATTTTTGTGAAAATTATCCAACATCAAAGTATGATATAATGTCCTCTTTGGGTTAAGTTTTGTATAAAAGTCAGTGTGACCTATTCTTGGATCCTGAAAAGGCCCCTTCCTCATAGTAGTTTACAAGAGAATCCAAAAATTGTTTGGTTCTTAAGTTGAATGAGTGAAGACTTCAAAATTTACAAAGTCTTTGAATGCATTTTTGTAACATCAGAACCGCATTATGAAATATTCAATGTGGATTACATGTATATTGTCTAGTTGCATAAAAGAATTGATATTAACAATGTTTCCCGCCTCTTGTTCTACTTTGTCTCTGAAATGGCCATGTTTTCTATGGTGTAGAAAAAGGAACAAACCAATTATATATGTGCAACATAATCAAAAGTAGGTACCAGATAATGCATGTATATATACATGTGGTTTAGCTTGAAACAGAAAACTGTCTTTGGAGATGTACACTTTTATTCAGTTATGTTAATAGTACATGTAATAAACAGATTTGACTGAAATCAAACCAATTAAACTTAAAGAAGTACAAGGCATTAACATGCCAAATATCACCACTTATCATTTGTTACATTTACCGAATGCTAAACTAACACCAACCACCACCACAAAAAAGTTGAAGACAATAATAGGTCACCACTTATGGTGGCGACATAATTACTATACAAGCTAATTAATCAATGAAATGTCTTAAAGTAATATACTGTCATACCTTTAATGAGCAAGAACTTAAGCATTGGTGTAGTGACATCCAAATATACAGTCTGGTGTTTCTCTATGACAACAAAGTCACCCTTCTTTGGAAGAGGACCATTTCCCCAGGTAAACCTGGAGGACCATCTGTCCACATAGAAAAAACCAGCATTTTCCTAAAAGAAAAACACAGAACTTGAAAGGCTGGCACAGAATGCTCTTGAAATCTACTACATGTACATGTGGTAGAAGATTGTAGCATGTAGATTTTTAAGTAGAACAAGAAATGGTCTTATTTAACTTATTCAAAATGGAATTGAGAACATAGATTGTACACTGAAGCTGAAATTCACGATTAAATGGTCTTATTTAGCTTTTTGGTGTTATTAAATCATACAGTACAACTAGGACAGTGAGAGTAAAATTTAAATACATAACACATAGCATTTTTATCATAATATCTGGATCGACCCTTGTATAAGATGATACTTTCATCCCATTTTACAAGACATCACTACAAAGAAAAATGAAAGAGATGTCCCATAAAAATATGAATACAGTTCAAACAATTCTTAGACTAAATAATGTCTTCATATACCTGTGTGGCAATTCCATTGTCTCCTACATTCACTCGTACTTTAGCTCTGGTTGATCCTTGATGTGAACTTGTGACACATGTTATCTCAGCTTCTGTGGCAGATTTCACATCACACACACTGCCATCTATTGTGACAGAAGTTGGCACACCCCTGAAATAAGCGAGTAACTGATGTTAAATGTCACGTTTTGCCACTTTTTGTAATTAAGACACAATCTTTTTATTGTACTTTATTGTACTATTGTACTATTCATTTTACTTGTAAATAAAAGAATATGTCTTCTTTAACATGGAATAGATCCTTCACAGGCATACCCTTGTTATTTGTACATCATTCAGCTTGCCATATTACATACAGTATCTTGTTTTTGAGCTCATATAGATTGCCTCTCTGGTTTTGAAGTTAAAATAACTGCATTCAATAGACCTACATATGAACTAACTGATGAGGTGACTAAGTTTGGTTCTAAATCTGGTCAGTAATGGACTCCTACACAGAATGTTTCAATACATGTAACTAGAATTTTGCTTACCCTGATGTTAGACCCTGCCCAGATATAATAATCTGGGTACCCCCACCTGTTCCTCCCCTATTGGGTGTGACGTCAGATATAACTGGAGTGATGCTCCGATCATAATAAATTTTCTCTGCACTTGTGACGGTCAAACCGTTCTGTTCAATTTCCACGCCACATGCCAGTGTGTCTTGTTTACCTTGAATCACATAGTATTATTTGCCAGTTCAGAATAGTGGATTATGGTTAAAGGGTTATTTCCCATATGAATACAACACAGCAACTCCAGACGAGTCTACCGGATCAGTTTGTCTTAAGAAATTAAGGTACATTAACGTAAATTAGGTAAATCAAGATATCAATTTCCCTATTAAACGCAAACAGAGGATCTTGCAACTTCACCAAATAAAAGGTGAAATTGATTCTCTACACCTTGACCTCAGCCTGTAGACCCTTGAGTATTATTCCGGGATTGTGCCTTTTTATGCTAAATGGTGAGCAACACAAAAAAGAATCTTTCAATTTGCTAATAAATATCATACATGTAGTCACAGCTAGGCCATTAATGTCATAAATTGGAAAGAACAGAACAGAACTTTTTCAAACTATTAAAAGTTCAGAGCTTGCAGCATATTGCAATGTAAATGTACATGTATTTCACTATGTTGATTGACTTACTTAACTGTGCCGGAGCATCACACTTTATCTGATTGGTTGAGACATTGCCAAGTATGGGACAGATTTCATCACACACCCTCACTTTGGCAACATCAGAGAATCCAACACCAGAGATGGTCAATGTTCGTCCCCCACCAAAACTCATCTCTAAAATAAGAAAGTAACATATATATAAAACAAAGTGTAAAAAGTTATTCCACACATCAACCAGTAAAACAAGATGGTTTTGATTTGGTCACTTTTAGTACAATAGACATTACATCAAGGAGATTTATATCTGTGAGAAATGGTACATGAAAGTTTTTGTAGAACTCAAACAAACTCACTAGTATTAGGTCGAACAGCATCAACTCTCAGAACATAGGAAAACATTGTACTTGATGTTGCAATCCCCTTCCCATCTACACTCACACCCACTGGGAAACTTCCTCCTTTATTAGCCCCTAGAGTACAAGTGATCTCATTGGTTGTTGCAGCTGTGACATCACATGGAACTCCTCCAATAGTAACATGACTTGATGACTTGTCAAAACCAGTACCACTGATTTTGACAGTGTCTCCGGTGGTGCCTTCAGAAGGACTGCAATTAGAAAATGAAATAATGCAAGAAAACTTTCCATGATTCAAAATTTAAGAATGGTTTAAGCAGTGTTTTAACAGTTATATCAAATATATATAAATAATTTTCGCATTAAATTGTTGTCAATCAGTGAACATTACATGAAGGCCGTGTATTTTACATATGTTTTCAATAATTGGTTTATAAACATTGTTGAATTCAGCTCACCATATCGATACCAATCCTTTGAGAGTATGCCATGGTGTTTTATGTGTATATGACGGTAAGCCATTGTTTTAAGGGTAGTTGATAAAATGTAGCCACCTGGTTACAATTAGTGTAACAATTTGTTACTGGACATCAAATACTGAACACCAACAACTGATGCCTCAGGCCCGTAGCCAGGATTTGCCAAGGGAGTTCAGTTTTCAAACACCAAATGTTGACTACAATAGTCTTACACCTTAAAGAAGAAGATGTTCACCTTATGTTATTCACCACTGGAGTGGCTGTGAGGGAGAACTTATAAGCCACCGCCATTGCTTCATTTCCGCCCTCTGGTGTTGGCAGGGGCACAATAAGCATCACGTCACCAGCAGTGTGAGCGGGAGTCAGACATGTCACCTCATGAATCATTGCAGAGATAACCTTACATTTAACCTCACTACTATCAATGTTAACTTCTGTAATCGTATCGATAAATCCACTGCCAGAAATTTTCACTTTAGTTCCACCATTAACACTACCTTCATTGGGTGTTATACTTGATATTGTTGCCTGTACATTAATGATCCTGTAAGCGCCATCTATGTTGGCATCTCCCTGACCCTGGAGATGAACCCTGAGCTTGTGGTTGCCATGAGGAATGTGACTCAGAGAACAGGAAATGTAGTTTGCATATACAGTGGTGATAACACATGGGGTGTTTCCAATTTCTACTGATACCAAGGCCTGAAAATAATAAAGGTATCATCATAGAAGCAAAAATATAACATTTATTGCCAATGCATCTATAATGCAAGGAAAGTAAATTCAAATGTTTAATACTGAATAATAAGAATGCAAATGAAATAAAATACAATCCTACTGCAATCTTCACATTTCATTGTTAGATGGTGACATAAAAATCTGAACATTTGTTCAACTAATTTACTCAATGATTGCTTGAAACGGTTTGAATTCAGACTCTCAAGGTTTTTATAAAGGAATTATGACTATTATGTTTAACAGTGATACAAATATTTCCCCTGGGCTTTGTCCCGATAGGGGTTCTCAGTTTTCAGTTGAAATTGACTTGTGAATGTACTTACTTTATCTGTTATGAGAAATGTCCCTGTAAGCATAACATCTGTCTTTGTAGATGATAAAATCTTGTTGGGACTGACAGACTTCACAATAGATGTCACACTGGTGCTGTACTCAAATGTACATTGAGATTTGCTGCAATCTGACTGGATCCCCTTCTTCCCTATGTTCACGGACACATTGTAGGTACCTGCACTGGCTGGGGGTGTTCTACACACGATTTTATCATGCTGTATTGACACAATAGAACAAGTGTGGCTACCATCAATAGTTACCAAAACACCACCCTCTATTGAACTGACAAACCCATGACCTGGAAAAAAGGAAATTAATAGGAAAATACCCCATGCTATTGGATGATGAGAAATAAGTGCAATATCTGCTTTTAAAGAGACAGTCACCTTCAGATTGGGTACTTTGTTATTTCAATTATTATACATGTTCTTGGCCCAATGAAAATTCCAGCAAAATTTGTCAATTAATAAATTGGGAAATATTTTTTTATTGGGTTTTTCTCTTGAGAATTTGAGAGCCCATGATATTTTTCAATGTCCATTCACAAATCATGTTTACTATTAAGACATCAATCATGCTTTTGTTGAAATATTGTTTTTTTAACAAAGTCTCACTGACCAGTTATGCTTAATTCAGTGCCTCCAGCGAGTGAACCGATAGATGGCGATACTGTCTCTAGTGTGGGTATGAGTGTAAAGCCCCTCTCTACGGGGGTAGCTAGAGTGTTCAAAGCCAGGCCTCTGTTAGGTACTGACACCCTCAGTTCATGAAGCTCCCCTGCTGGCATGGTTGTCTCAGAAGAAAACTAAAGCAGACAGACAGATATTTTATGTTATATTATGTTACTTTACATCATGTTACATTGTATGTCATGTTACATTATACAATTGTTGACCTCTCCAGAGGTCAACCGGCAAAATTGTATACCGAGACGGTAAACCGAGAAACTACTGTTGACAGAGACCGAAGGTCGAGGTCAACAGTAGTTTCAAGGTTTACAGTCGAGGTATATGATTTTGACGGTTGACCGAATGGAGAGGTCTACAATTGTTTTGTTAGTCAGAAGAAACTAATAATACACATACATGTATAGACAACAGTCATCAATCATGGCTTCATTTCAAAACCTTTTCTCCGAACCACGCCAGCAATAATTTTTTAAGAAAATCTGAAGACAGTGGTAGTTAAACTCTCTGTTTTTGGCACATAACTGCGTACTCACTAGTAAATTAATGTTAATTTTTCGTTTCATTTTTGTATTTTTGCTATACTTGTCGTCTAGCAAAGTCAAAATATCACTTTCATCAACGTTTACGAAATGTCCGTCTACCATGTTTTTTCTGTAAACATTATGACGTCATATTCCCCATAATTCATAAGTGTAGTACAGTAACATAAGCGGTCAATAATATGATATCCCATGATGCACAGTTGAGGTACAGGCAAAAATGTTGACCGCTAATTGACCAATCAGATGCGAGTATTTACACTGAGGTACTAACAATATGCTATGTTTTGTTATGTATAGTTATGTTATACCAAGTTACATTACGTTACATTGGATAACGTTATTTCATGTCACGTCACGTCACGTTACATTACGTTATGTTATGTTACATTATGTTGTAGGTTACTCTGCGTTGATGTTTAAAATTAATTAAAAGAAGGACTTAAAAAATGCCATAAAAACATTACCCCAGCATCTCTTAATTAAAGTCCTTAGTTTTATCAATATCATCATAAATTATAATGTTTTCTCTTTTAAGTAGTCAACAACTGGATGTATCAAATTCACATGTATGATGTTAATAAATGCATAGTCATTTTAAATCATTACCACCCATTATCCTTATAATGTTGTACTGATGAACAGTAGACACTGATTCAAAATTCTCTAAGCGTTAATGATGGTGTTATGCTACAAGTAATTCCATTTTTTCTTGAGACTATGATGACATCTTTTATGTTAGTGTGCATTAATACAATACTTAGCCTCATTCATTTAAAATTATAGTGCATAAACAGTGATTTTAAGATCAGAACAGAGGTACAATTAGCTTAGTTGTAGCCAGGAGGGTGCGATGGGTGCAATAGTACCACAAAAAAGCAGTTTTGTAAAATTTGTATCTTCAGCTCAACCAAACCAAGGTGAGCATCTTTTTAACATTAATAAGCCAAGTTAGCCAACCTGAACTTACCATGCATGTTATCTTTGTATCAGTGGCTGATAACACATTACACGGATAGTTGCCCAGCAACACCTCATTCTGACATGTCTCCTCTCCAAACCCAATGCCCTCTATGGTCACAACACTGTCATATGGTCCGCTATAAACAAATTTTGATGCATTTTACTGCTTGAGATATACAATGTAAATTTGACATGTCAAATATACACAAATATTTTGACTCTTGGGATAACTTGTTTAGTTTATAATTAATTTAAAATCTTTAACTTCATTTTTTGTTTATATCAATAAAATGTAAAAACATTTGAATTGAGAGCCATCTATTCAACACTTTCAAAGCTCTTTCAATTTGCCATGTGCTTTTTTAACAATGATTGTAGGTGGTACAATAATATCGAACTGTTACATAAAGATTCATTTACCTATTGGGTGAGATACTGTGAATCTCTGGAGTAAGACATCTCCAGTATGTAAAATGGAACCTGCTGAAATCTCCTGGAATTGGCATTTTTTCTCGACAACCTCTCAGAGAACTTTCGGGTAGTGTAGAGCACACTCCAACAGAATCAGCAAATGCAACTTTTAAAACATAAATGGAACTGAAGTTGTAAATGCTGTACTAATCATATTTAGGAAAAACAATTATTGAGATTTATGCTTTGAGATTTCAATAATAGATTTGATCATCATACGTTTTAGCCCCATATAATTAGTTCTTTCTTTTATTGCCTTTAATTACATATAATTAGTTCTTTCTTTTAATGCCTTTAATTTACTGTGCACTAGTTTCAAAATAGAAAACTAGTTTCTGATTATTTCAGAAAGACTGCCTTTGAAATCATATTATGAAAAATATACATATACATGAAGAATTCAAGTTAATAAAAAATATGATGGCTATTTTTCATCAAGGTGCATATTAATTTGAAGTAACATAAAACATCAAATTAAATATCAGCTTAATAGAGTTTTCTATTTATTGTAAATAATTTAAGTTGTCTTAACTTAAACAATTCCTCTGTAAATACTAGTTTGATTAATTGTTTTACAGTATGAATTGCTTCTAAGAATAAACCTTAATAAACAATAATAGCATGTTACTTTTATGTTCGTTTGATTACGTATTTCTTTCATTGATGTTAATATTTTATTATCTGCTCACTGGCTTAATTTCCTCACCTATCGATTCTGAGAAGTCATACTCAGCCTCTGTTTTCAATGCATTCAGCTGGAGCGAGTCAGTCCATGATTGTATAGGGGTGACAACTACCTTACCACGCATAATAACCCTACCACCCCTATCCACAGCTCCACTACTAAAGTAGAATGTTCCAACCTTAGTAAATTGGTAAATGTAGGAGCCTGAAACAAACAAAAAATCATTTAATTTGGGTCAGAAAACTGCTTAAAAATTGCTTTATTAATGTCTGATTATGGTAACATCAAACATAAGTGTAAAGATTTAATTGACCTGTTTTTGGTCATACCGTATATATTATCCAATCTTTTAAATCAAGAAAACTTCACATAAAAGATTGTCAAATCCTATTGTAAAGTGCAAATTCAAGATTAGTACTAACACCAACTCACTACATGTTCGCTAGATACCTATAAAAACAGATCATATAATAATACAACACCACAGGCTATTTTCTTAGTAATACAACTTTGATAACAAAATTGTAAAAAATGTATAAATACATGATTTGACCCTGATTCTGACCTTGAACATCTTTTAATGTATATGATGTGGAGAACAAAAAGATTTACTGGAATAAAAATGGGAATTTTACCATTCAATGATTTCCTTCCACTGTGCATCCCCATTTCATTGTATGTGTCTGTAGTTGCATTATCTGTACCATACACTCTGTAGCCAAGACCCTCCACCAATGTGGTTGTGCCCCATCTCCATTCAACCGTATCACCAACCTGCACCTCCAACACTTTAGGGTTCCACTCATAGCCAAGACCATATTCTATAAAGCAGATACAAAGAGTTTTCCATAAAAAGGATGGGCCAAAAAATGCTACCCAATATATAAAGATGTTGCAGGTATTGGCAAATGAATAAAAAAAACATATAGATAATATATATCCCTCTTAGTGAATAAATACAATACTCACCTGGATGTCTTCCAGAATTTTCAATAACCTTCACAGCTTTTCCACTTCCAGTTGTACATGTGATAAGAGTATCCGTGATTGTCTTAATGTCACATGGCTTACCAAGGTAGACATCAATTCCACTGGTATTTGTCCCAAATCCCTCACCCCGTATTGACACCAGGGTGCCTCCATTAAGAGAACCCTGCACAGGAGATATCCCATAGACCTTTAGTGCATAAGTTAACTTGGCATTAACATGACTGAAAATCAAGAATAGACATAACTTGACAATATGTCACCATCTGGTGAGTTATTGCAAGTTGTTACAGATGTCTACTGACGATGTGAAATGCTAAATGGCAGTCACCCCTGCTTCTGGAACTTCATATAAATGGAATAAAAAGCAACTGAAATAGCAGTACCACAACAGGCATTCACATGACAAAAGTGTAACAATATGTCACAAATTTTAACCATTAATGCTGATGCAGATTAATGCTGTTAACAAAGAATCAGTAACAATATGTCACCTTTTTTTGTGGTTACACAAAATCACACATATAAAAGATTTACACATACCTTAGATCGGCAAAACCAACTGCAGGAACATTCACTCTGATGTCATAACTACCTTGCCGCGATGATGGCAGCTGACATTCTATGGTGATGTCAGACCAAGTGATGATGTCACAATCAATATCTGTAGAGTAACTTGAAAGTGTGACATTACCCGAAGAAGATGTGAATCCTGAGCCCTTTAACTGTAATATATCTCCACCTGAAAAACACCAATGGTTTAAATGAGTTGTGTTAGTTTTAATGCTGCCCTTTGTGTTTTTGTGAAAATAAATACCAAATAGAAGTATTGGTTTCCTAATAAGTTCTAAATACATGTAATGATATATACTCTCAGGGGTGCATCCACATGAAGGTAGGAAAATATTTTGGTCACCGTGCAATCAAATTTTAGATCTACCTGACTACTGCTGTCTTCTTTTCTGTTCTTTTAAGTATAAAGAAGTAAAATGCTCTCTCCAAAAATAGCGAAAACTTACTAAGCTGTGAAAAGCTGTGTTTTTTATAGTATTGAAAATCTGATGCAGAAATGGTTATGAGAAAACATATCAAATAGTAACAAGTACTAAAACATGACTCATTTACTTGAACTCTGACATAAGCATAATAATGTCATTCTTTGTTTATAATATTTCGCTAACATATTCCTTTAAAAAGCATAACAATTTAAAAAGAAGGCTTGTACGTAGATTTCTCGGAAAATATTTCTTTCAAATGATTTCTGGAAAAATTGGACGAAAGGCTCCACATGATGAGTGTATTGCCAGTTAAGGAAATACGGAAAAACGTCCACAGACTAACAAATTAAATTATACCTCCCTATTTTTGAACAAGAATACTCGTTTACAAGAATTCATTCAGGTTATTCAGGTCAGGGCTGTTGTCAAGATACTGAAATGAAGTATATTTTTGACCAAACACTAAGTTTTGAAATGCCTGTAACTTTTTACCATTTGTGAGTTGAACCATGATACCATAATACCCTGAAGAATAGTTTTTTTTGAAGTTTCACCGAGGAATCGTATCAAAAAAAAGTTTTCGCAGTTACAGAGGGGGGTGCACCCCCCTTTCTGACACCCATGATATTTTCTCATAACCTAATTTGCTCTGTTGTTAAAGTTATCATAAATCAAGTTGATAATTTAATGAAATTAAAAAATGAATAAACTTGATTCATCTTGTGATCCATTTATTACATCACTCAATCATCTTTACTATGCTACATAATATTTATTGATTTTAATAAATCTGACTGTTTTGTTCGTCATGGGTGGTTTCACAATTTTCTAGAAAATCTAGATATATGTATATGTGATCTGATATGGATTTAACAAATGCACCTGACAATAGTAGATAGAATACTGATGAAGATGTTGTCATTAATAAGACTGCTGAATTTGTCTAAGGCATTCTTCTTAGGTTTAAAGATTAGAGGAATGTATAGGAAAAAATAGCAAACTAAAAAACGGCAACTCTATGGAGTAGCAAATCCCAACAATAAATTATTCATGAAACTGATATGTGTCATGAAATAATATTTACAAGTAAACCTCAATTTGCACAACTATTTGGTCAAACTATAGAAATGGATTTTCTGAGACTTTGATTTGCAATCTACTTTGCAATAACTTTGGCTGGAAATGAAAAAATAGATTTTTCAAGAAAAAACCTATATCAGGGGACCATTTTTGGTTTCATGAGGCAAGAATCTGAAAACCAATACAATTTTGCAATTTTAACAATAATTCCTGTTTTCTCTACTCCCCCTACACAGCCCAGAGGGGTCAAGCCAAGAATCATGGATCATATCTGAAATTGATATATTTCATTAATGCACAACCAAAATTTTAAACAGCAATTCTCATCACTTTTTTTAAAAAAATTCCCGCCATTCAAAGTGGAGGCCATCTTGAAAAAAATGTTTTTAGTAAAACTATTCACCAATATCTATCTTTCTAATGAATATGAATATACCTGTCAACTAATACCTGAGTTATTCTCCAGATGGAATGAAGGATGAACTGACTGACAGTAAGCTTTACCTGTACAGTGTATATATCAAATTCGTTGAATTCTCTAAAGTAAGCCAATCAAAACACAGTATTTCAAATAACCTGATTCTAAAAATTACAACAGAGTGGATGTCTATTTTTAAATTAAATTAAATTAATTATGCTCATCAATTTCATAATTTCAATCAGGCAGTTGAGTATGATGAAAATTTTGATTTTTTAGAAATGTCCAATCATTTTTCTATATTTTATTGGAGGTAATATGATAGAGCAAAACTATATGCACCATCTTGAGCTAATTTGAGATGCACATATTACAAATCTTGAAAGTTATTAAGGTAAAATATGGTTACCCCTGGCCGTTTAGAAGCAAAAATGAAAATTTAATTTTTTTTAAATTTCCAATCATTTTTTCAATCTTATTAGGAATAATATGACAAAACAAGACTTAATGCACCATTTTGAGCTCATATGAGACCCAAACATTGCATATCTTAAAAATTATTAAGGTAAAATTAGGTTACCCCTAAGCAGCAAGGGCTTAGCAATTCAAATTTTGATAATTTTTATCTCAAAAATACATGAGCTATCCAAACCATATTTTAAATTTGTGATAAACACCTATACCCCTATAAGTATGAATTTTTCCAGGATGATCAGACATCACATTCTTGAAATACAGTACTTGATGTCCCATATTTGACCCTTTAAAAGATTAATTCTCGCTAGATAATTGGTTTAAAATGTATTTTCCTCACTAAACACCACTTCTATAATGGGTTTGTCTCCAATTTCAAGGCTCAAAGCAATCACCAAATGAAGTCATTTAAAGAAATATACTTTAAAACCATTTTCATTTATTTTTTATAATGTACTGTACCCCCTCCCTGCCTGGTAGGGGTGGGGGTCAGAGACTAAAAAATCCATGAAGACCACCCCGAATCACTTGCCCCGAAATCATAACCAAAACAACGGCAACGCCAAAGCGTAGCGAATCCCATCGAACAGAAATGGCTGGCATTTTTACAAACGAAATATATAGCAAACATCATAAAACAACACACCAGAAAGGCCACCATTTTCAAAATGGTTGCTCACTAGCCAAGTTGTCATCAGAAGAAATAATATGCTTTTAAGTAGCCACCAATAAAATCTTTGAAAAATCGCATACATGTACTTGTAAAATAACACACATAAAAATGGTGGCCATTTTTAAAAATGGCTGACTACTCCCCAAAGTTTTATTAGACAATGTGCCATGCTTAAAGTATTCACATATCAAATATGAACAAAATTGCTCCACTACTTTTCGAGTTATGGTAAAAAATGTAAAAATGACAGCCATTTTTATAAAATGGCTGCCTACTATCTGAAGTGTCATGAGACAGTGTGCAAGGCTCATGAGTATTCACATATCAAATATGACCAAATCGCTTCACTACTTTTCAAGTTATAGTAAAAAACATAAAAATGGTGACCATTTTTCAAAATGGCCACCTACTACCCAAAGTGTCATTAGACAGTGTGCCATGCCATGTATTCACATATGAAATATGAAACATACAAAATATGAACAAAATCGCTTCACTACTTTTCGAGTTATAGTGAAATACGTTAAAATGGCGGCCATTTTACAAAATTTTTTTCAAAATGGCCCCATTCTACCAAAAGTGTCATAGGACAGTGTGCCATGCTTATAGTATTCACATACCAAATATGAACAAAATCGCTCCACTACTTTTCGAGTTATAGTAATATACGTTAAAATGGCGGCCATTTTGAAAAATGGCCGCCTTCTACCAAAAGTGTCTTTAGGCAGTGTGCAATGCTTATAGTATTCACATACCAAATATGAACAAATCGCTCCACTACTTTTCGAGTTATAGCAAAAATCGTAAAATAACGAGTAAAGGCCGCCATTTTTCAAGATGGCTGCCATGTGCTTCTTTAATGTCTACATTTATAGCTTTATTAATGTCCTTCATAATTTTTTTACATTTAAAACATATTGCTATTACAGTTTTACATATTGCACCTAAATTACTGTAAAATCGGCACAAAGATGGCCGCCATTTTGAATTGAGCGGCCATTTTGTAAATCAGCTTTCGAGCAGAACTTCTACCCCCATAGGGTATATGTGTACAAAATATGAACAAAATCGGGCCAACGGTATTTGAGTTATCGCCTGGACGGACAGACAGACAGATGGACGGACGGACGGACGGACGGACGGACGGACGGACGGAAGGACGGACGGACGGAGGCGTTCCCTATATCCTTCCGAACTTCGTTCCATGGGATAATAATTGACTGTCCGGGAAAGAAACCTATGGTATACTGCATCTTTACTAGAATTCAAATGTAGCAAGACAGACAGAACATTTGATATTTGACCAAGTTCTTAAAGCGGACATTCTCCCGCTCATCTATTACTTCTTTCTGTTGAATAACACAATAGAATGCAATTGCTATTGAAAACCAAATAATTGCATTAATCTAGTTTTCTCCATATTTTATTCTTTGCATGGGTAAACCAATTTTACAGCCAACATATAAAACTAGCAAAACAAGCTTTTCTGTATTTGAAGTTGTTAATCCAAAATCAATATTTTTCACATTCTATGGGCCATTACAAGTAAATTCTTGTTTTATGCCCCCTTGTATGTACAATTTAATAAAAATAATTGAAATTATCATTGTTGAATTTAAATAAAATAAAGATTGAAGAAAGAAGATAGTTATGTGACACAAATCACAGTAAATAAGAACGTTCCCTACAAAAAATACCTAAATTTTGCAGGTAATAATAAAGTGAATATAGAAATTCAGATTGGTTAGTTTGTGTTCAATGGTGAGACGGAAGTACTGGAAGTACCTGCATGGGATACTGTAGTCTGTCATAGCTACCAGTTTTCCATAATTCCATGCCATGGGTGAAATTTGTCAAAACTTCCATATTTTGCAAAATCCCTGATTTTCATGGAAATCAATTGGAATTACCAGATTTATATGTTTTTACAAACTCCTACAATTGAGAGGCATTTGTAGAGGGTCTTATTATGGCCAGAAATCAATCATTATTGAGTACAAGTACAATTTTACCATGAAATTCCATCCCCGTTCTATCACTATCAGTTTGCTAAAGCGATTTACAGTTTTTTCTTGGAAATTAGTTAGGATTTCTGCTGCCGGTTTCATTATGCAGTTTTAAATTTTAAACAACAGTCAAAAATAGACAGATTCGTGAAGAAAATTGATTGAATTGTCATTTTAAAAAATTGCAGAATTTTTTTGGAAAAAATTATGCAGAATTTTTCCCCTTGCAGAATTTCTCTTTTTATTGCAGAATTTTGAATTGTATCCTTGTAGCATTAGGATTATACCAAGACACAAAACAAACAAGCCACTTCTTATAGCCTTGGTTTATTAAATGCTACTTGTTTGTAGAATAAATTTAAAATTGACAGTTTTGATTGTTGTTTTCTGACAAGAAATAGGCTGTGTGTTGTTAAATTTAAGAGTATTCAATGATATAAATCTCAGAATCTCAAGGCTTCAGGTGACTTTAATATATGAGAGCAATAAATGCTAATATCATTTAAGCAAATGTTTCAAAATCAAAATAATCATTCAATAATTACCATTTCATAAACTATTATAAATTATTTGATAAAAAAAGTTATGGTGACAGTGGACACTAAGCCAATGATATGCGAATGTGAAGAGAGATAGAGAACTAAAGAATTTAATGATGTGTAGCAGATGTGAAAATATTAAGGTAAGGTTTTTAATTGTATGTATTTTGTTAAATAATCTACTTCAAATTTTTACCAACCTAGGTTCTAGTCTTAACAGTACAGAGCAAATGTCATTACTATATTGCAAAATGTCAAAACATTTTTCACATGTCACTAATTTTTCAGACCTCATGCTCATGATACTGTGAGCTTACTCGAGACAGCATGCCTCAGGCATGGGGCTAAATGTATTTGTAAGCTCTGCGGTAAATTCAGCTCGGTGTCGATCCTTTATTTATCTGATATAGTTCAATTTTTCAACATATGCAGAATAAACAATATGTATCTATATAAGTCAGATAAAGAAAACATTATTTGATAATAATATAATGTCACTAATAAGTCTGATCTAAGAATACAAAACAAATTTATTAAAAAATCAGAAAAAATCCACTATCAATAAAATCAGAGAACTGTCTATAATATTCAACATAAAATTTGAATACATGTATTAGGACAGCCTATAACCCCAGGGGGTCCACTGTATATAAGCCTCGACGGGGATCCTCTGCGCACATGGGGTATCTTTTTTGACATTTGGTATGGCAATGGACCGAAATCTGGTATGGGAATTGAGAATGCCCCCAAGTTTCTGGTATGAGAATGGTCATGGAAAATATGTTATCTCACACTTGTGGTATAGCATTGGTCTAGTAGTTACACATATCCTTAAATTGAGGCCGTGTTGGAACGTTTTCCTCAAGGATCACCTTCTTGTCGGGGCCTTCTTCAGTTTAAATATTAGCTTTTTTCCTGGAAGATATTTCACTTTTGACCAATCATAGCATTGGTATGGCATTGGTCCTATTTTTAAACATTTGGTAACATTTGGTATGGCATTGGTCTTATATTTGGTATGGCCTTTGGATGTTATATTGGTTGATATGGGAACTCATCGAAATTGGTATGGGAACATATATTGATATCTGAGGGTTTAACCTAGGACCCCACCAAATTTTGTACACAGTGAACCCCCCGGGCCTATTACACCCTATGCAGACCATGCTGACCATGCAGAAAATACACTGTACAGATAGCATAACCAACAGTGATTTTTGAATTTGAATTCATGATACTATATTATGAACTAATTCACGTTGGGTATTGAATTAAATTCATATATTGCAGATGATGCCTAATAAAGACAGCAAATCCCACTGAACAAAACATATTTATCACACTCCTCATTTTGAACTTAAATTTTGTGACAGAAATAACAAAGAAGAAGTATCTCCTTTTAAAGAATTGCTTGCATTCTTTTTGCAAAAATGGGAACCATTTTGAATTAAGAGGCCATTTTGTATATTACCTCTTCATCAGGGTACAAATTTGTTAAGCATGAATATATAAATCATGAACAAAATGGGTAAAACGGTTTCAGTCAAAAAATGTATTTTCTGTCTTAAAAGTGTAACCATTTTTGAGAAATGGTCCTATTCCCTTAGGAATAAACCTATAAGATTTGAACCAAATCAAACATCTTATATTTAGTGATAACATTTTTGCAAATAATGGTGACCATTTTGAGGATTTGCTGATCTATGGTGTTCCAATTCCATTATATTTATAGCTTAAAATACTAAAATATGTTTTATTTCTGTAATAAAAATTATCACAATTGTTACTTTCTGATTTATAGAAGCTGAACTTTAACAAATACAGGAATCATAAAATGTATATGCTGTCTGACAAGCAGGGAAAATTAAACTTGTGAAGTTATACTGATAGGATACAGCATACAGTTGCAATATGACAGCGCCAATGTTGAGTAAAATATTGACACAATTATTACGTAAACCAATATTTATGGCAGTTCCTCTGCTAGTCGTAGTGCTCTGGAGTTTCTCTCTTCTGATATATATACATAACCATGAAAAATATGTTTATCTTAATATAATGGATATGAACAAACCTAAACAGGAAAATTTCTTAACAGCAAAATCAATGGATGGTATCAAGCTGAAAGTCTCTCAAACAATCCTTACTATCAAAGATATTATTAACCGTGTGGAACACTTTATGCCTTGGATGGATAACAAAGAGATGAACAACTGGTACTCTAAGAGAGAAACATACTGTAATGACCAGCTACAACTTTTCAACCACAATTTTGTTCACATTTCAAATGGATTAATTGACATGTCCAAAGCATCGGGAAAAAGAGGAGGTGAGGAAATCAAAGATGTAATGAACCAAAAAGAAAGTAAAGAATATTATACATTACTGCCAGGATTTTTTCAACTAAAATGTGATGAAGAAGTACCAAATTATACATTCTCTGAGATAAATCACTTATCACAGTGGTTGCATGCTTTAGAATTAGTCCCAATGTTCCCAAGAACTAATCAAACAATCTCAGAGTTTACTATTGCAATAACACGATATGAATATGCTAACTTTTATCATACTATGACAGACTTCTACAATGCTTTCCTATTAATGAGATTCTTTAACCATTCCCCAAGAGACACAAATATTCTCTTCATTGATGGCCACCCCATTGGAGCTTTAGACCCAGTTTGGAAAACGCTGTTTAATTCATCAGAGTATGTAGCTAATATACCTAAAGTGGTGATGTATACAGATCTTACATGGGGTATTCTAGGCTATTCTAGCCCTATGGAATCACATGATAGAGTGGACATTCCATATATTGAAGACTTCAGTAATTTCTTTCTCAAACGTTATAGCATTAATAACGAGGAACATCTAAAATGTGAAAATCTCACTATTTCATTAATATGGCGACGAGACTATCTTGCTCATCCCAGAAATCCCACAGGATTTGTCACCAGAAAAATAAAGAATGAAAAAGAATTGGTGCAAATTGCTAATGAGATGTATCCCAGTTACACCATACAAGAAAGTCAGATAGATTTACTTCCTATGAAGCAACAGTTACAATATGTGAGCAACAGTGATATCCTGGTTGGCATGCATGGCGCTGGCCTCACACATGTCCTTTTCCTACCAAAGCATGCTGGTCTAATTGAGTTTTACCCAAATTACTGGAGTGCGGCTAATGCTCATTTCCAAAGCCTTTCAAAGTGGCGAGGATTACATCATATCTTTTGGCAGAATAGTAATAGTTCCAATGAACTTTCTGATAAATATACCCAAATTCCAACATCTACATTCAAGAATCTTTTGAAAACAATGGTTCATAAATTATGTCCAATCTGACATGCTTTTACATGACACTGTTATGTGTCATGTAAAATTCGCTTTTTTATTTGCAATGTCAATTTGAAGAATACCATTGCAAAATGCTCTGGCATTAAAATCTTAAATTGGAGAGGTAACAATCCATGTTTTGTCATAAATGTGTACTATATTATAAGAGTATCACTGGCAGATCCAAGGGCGGTAGGGTAGACCCCAAAAATTTTTATGGCTCCAAATATTTTGTAGGGCCTCAAAAATGGGCCTTTTTAGGCCAAATTATTAACATATGGGTCTTAAATTTTCAAAATATTTGGGCCCAATTTTTGGTTTTAGGGCTTTTTCGTGCCAACTTGAAATGTCCCCCCTTGTTAGCTTCTGGATCCGCCAGTGAATATAATATTAAGGAACTAAAAGAGTAATTAGTAAAAAGCTGGACAAAAGAAAATAAGGCATAGATGTTCAGAATTTAGAAGATCTCTATCTCATATTAGCCTGAATGAAAATCATTGCTCATTAAACTTCTAGTCAGAACACTACTGAGACCAGTTAAAAGTGTTTGAATTGTGTTTACATATCAAGCTTTGTTAAACATTGAAGTCTATGGGAGAATAAAAATGTGAAACTGGAAAGTGATTAGATTAGAGACAAGTTCAGGTATACACAGTGCATACTATATATTGGCAAACAAATAAGTAATAAAAAAGAGAACATGTTGACATTGCCATCTGTATCATCAACAGTTTAATAAAACCCGGCTCTATAAAATATTTATTTCAACAATTGCATAAATGTAAATGACAATTCAACCAGACGCAAGCAAACACATAAACAACTCTTCATAAAAGCTATCATTAAGTCCAATGTCATAAATGCCAAGTACAGTAATGATACGATTAATAAAAAGGTAATGATAAAAATTAATGGTGAAGAAAAATAAACTTTAAAGCTTCTTACATAACACACAAAAATAACGTAATAAATCTTAATTCTGAATAATTTTAGTAAATAGTCTGTTTGAGACCATAATGTTCCTTAAAGGAATTCTAGGCGATGGAAATGAGGCTTCTGGGATGAGATCAAACGACTTTGACATATTCTTTATCCTACCTATTTTATAATTTAACTAGAAAAACAGCAACTCCACGGAGTAGCAAATCCCACCAAACAAAACATGTTTTGATAAATAGCGGCAATATAAAAATTGAGCCAAATCCATCCTCTGGTATTTGAATTATTAAAGATTATGTTTTTATGAAACATGGTTGCCATTTTGAAATTCAGCTGTCATCTTTTGATTTCTTCTTAAGCAGAGCTCCTATTTCCCAAGGCATCAGCATATAGAATTTAATCAAAATCAGTCTACTGGTACTTGATTTATTTAGATTACATGTTTAATGAAAAATGGCGGAGATTTCGATAAATAGCAGCCAACTTGAAAATTTCTTCTCAAGCAGAACTCTTTTATCTCTAGGCATCAGTATATAAAATTTGAAGTAAATCCGTCCAATGGTATTTGCGTTATCAAAGATTACCTTTTTTATGAAAAATGGCAGCCATTTTGAAATTCAGCTGACGCCTTTGAAATTTCTTCTAAAGCAGATCTCCTTTTCCCTAAACATCAGCATTTTAAGTTGGAACCAAATCCATCCACTGGTATTTGAGTTATCATGAAATATGGCGGCCATTTTGAAATTCAGTGGCCATCTTGAAAATGTCTTCTTGAGCAGAACTTTTTTGTTTTTAGGCATCAGCATATAGAATATGAACCAAATCCATCAACTGGTATTTGAGTTATCGAAGGTTACGTTCTTTTATGAAAAATGGCGGCCATTTTAAATTTAGCTACCATCTTGAAAATCCCTTCTCGAGCAGAGCTCCTATGTCCCAAGGCATCAGCATGTAACATTTTAACCAAATCCATTGAATGGTATTTGAGTTATCAAAGATAACGTTTTTTTACAAAAAATGGCCGCCATTTTGAAAAATATGGTGGTTATCTTGAAAATGTCTTCTTGGGCAAGGCTCTTTTGTACCCAGACAACAGCATATAAAATTTGAACCAAATCCATCCACTAGTATTTGAATTATCAAAGATTATATTTTTTCTGAAAAATAGCCGCCATCTTGAATTTAGTGGCCATATTGAAAATTCCTTCTCGAGCGGTGGTCCTACACCCATAAGGCATAAGCCTTAAAAATTTGAGTGAAATCCGTCAACTCGTATTTGAGTTATTGCCCGGACACACGAATGGACGGACGAACGGGCGAACGGACGGACAGACGAACGGCTTTTCTATATCCCCCTCGAACTTAATTCAGTGGGATAACAATCAGCTCATATTATATATCTTTTGTTGACTCTTTAGATGTCATATCATGACATATTAGTCACTAAGGTAGAGCAGTTCTTCCCATTGTCGAGTTGAAGAACTGGTATCTTTATCCTGGCTAGAACCATAGACAATTCTAGCCAGCGCTAGCCTTTTATCGAGTTAGCAGCACTCTAGTAATCGATAGGTCAGCAGTCATAGGTCAAAGACAAATCACAAGTGTATTAAAGAACTGAAAAAAGGCCAGCACCAGTCCTGTTACTTTTGGAACACCCTGTATAGCCAGAAAAGTGTTATTCTAAACCATTTTATCCTCTATAAATTGCAATATAACTTTAATATAAGACAGAATGATTATATTGTTGGTGATTTTAACATCATGTAGCTTTCACATTTTCGGTGTAAAGTTGGTGTGGTATGTGCACAGTTAACAATAAGCTTTCCCCAGGAAGCTTTCAATGAAATTTTCCAAAATGGATAATACAGGGTCAATTATTACACCCTCTGAGCAAATTAAATTCTTTTCTTGAGATTTTTGTTATGTGAAGTCCCCAGTTGGAACCTTTACATTTTCCCATTGATTATTATTTCCATTAATTAATTAATTTTCGATTTAATATCATGCCATTGTTTTCTGTTTGTGTGTATATTTCATTGCTCGATAATGTTGACCTCATATATGAATGCATAAGCACTTCTACCATTCTTAATTGATTCTAAATAATTTGTGATCACTGCCGTCGTATTCTTAATTTTTATGACTAGTTTTTTATAATGATCGCAATAGCTGTACACTTCTTAGACATGTTAGATAAACACTTAATAGAGTATCAGGGATACTTGTCATTTCTATGCATTCCTGTTATAATGAATAACAGGTGATGCTTAAGCCCACCGAGATTAAAAGCTCATAAATTGCAAATCAAACTAGGTTGACAAAACCTGAACATCTGATGATATAATGTTGTTGGCGGTGAAATTCATTTTACGATTAATTGCTCAGAAAATACTGTTTGAGAACATCACCAGCAATATGAAAATAGATAAAAATCATCCTGAAAATACATTCATAATGTTAATATATTCAAATCATTTATTAATATAAGTGAGGAGTTTCATTGACAAAGCATTCAAATATATGAACATGCCTGGAGTTGATCATTGCGGATGCATCACACAGGTATATGTGATTGCAGGTATGTTAATTGGATGTCATCTGGTACTACTATATTATATTATGATAGCTAGTGTTGCAAAGAAATACTTAAAGCAACAATAGACAATGCATTAACATGTAAAATGTCACAACCTGCCATTTGTTACATATGCCAAATGCTGGACACTGTCACAAAAAAGATGGAAAACGTAACAATATGTGACCACTTGTTACTAGTCAGTGTATCTCAGTTTTCATAAACTGGAGGGTGGCTGTGAAAATTATAACACAGTTTTTTTTCATTTCTGCAGTCGCGATAATTAGAAAGTTTTCGTAATGAAAAAGTTTAAATTGTTCCCAAAGAATGCTGTTTTTATTGTACAAAAAAGCGTACATATTTCTCACTGATTAATTCATTAAGACCCACATCCAAGTTATTGCTTCGATTCAGTTAGATTTGCCACGGTGGTTGGACATGTGGGGGCTTAAATGTCAATTAAGAATTAACATTGTATGTTTCATTTCATGATTATTACGAATGTCATTAATAAGGCCCTCACAAATTAGCTATATGTTTAGCAGTGACTTCTGTTCTTAAAGATTTAAAAGCCTCTCTTTCATTTTGACATGGATTTTTATAAGATTTCTTGTTTAGACTTTGGAACACCTCTCTCATTTTATAATATATGCCTACAAAAATGGGAGAAAAACATAAATTGTGGATTGTCAGGTTCACTGTGTTTTCATATTTCTATGTACATTTAATGGCTTGATACAAAGTGAGCCAAAAAAGGTAACCCAAAGACAAGGCTGGAATTTTGAGCATTTTTTGTAAAATTGTCATAAAATAAAATATTGACCATTTGGAATAGTTCAATTAAACTTTCTTTAAAATGGTTCAGTTGTGCCAAATATGACTTAAACCCCATTCTGAATGACTGAGTTGTTAATTTGTTTGGGATACCTTTTTTGGCTAACCCTCTACTATTGTTGGTTAACTTTTTTTACCTTTTGAAGGTCACTGAAGGTCAACCAAAGGTCAAAGGTCAAAATTAAGGTCGGATTTGAACTCCTGAGAACTTGTAGATGCTTTTTAAAAAAAATTTGGTCAATTTGAAGCGAGTTGAAAAATGACCTATTTTTACCGTTTTTTGAAGTCAAATATCTCAAAAACGTTGAAAATGTTATGCTGACATATAGTGAGCAATTTGTAGAGAATGCTTAAATCTAGTTACGATTTAATTCATCACATATTCATCGCATATTTGAGATGTATATATAATACATGCTTTAAAACATGTGTAAATAATATTTTAATTAATGGAAGTTAACATGACATTTTGTACTTAACATGGTTTTGTATCACGTTCTGGTATAATGTACAATATTAATAGATGATGGCATGGCATGCTGAAATACCTTTTACTCATGATAAAACAAATGTTGAAATGATTTAAGTCTTTTGAAAAAGTATTTTTCATTGTGCTCACCTGTGGACAATGGGATATGAGTGTAAGAAGATGAAAGTGAATATCAGTGGTTGAATTGTATTTTTTTTAGAGGCATTTTTGATTAAAGGGAACAATTTTTTGATACAATTTGATACTTTTAAAGTAGTTGCTGCGATATATGTTTATCAATATACAAACTGGAAGGTTCTGACGCTTAGGTTAAAGGTGGTGATTTGTTGATTGTATGACAAAAGGAATATTTAGTTGGATGGTGAAAAATTAATTCAGCACTGATCTTTGGTTGAAAATCTACTGAGTTGCTGATTCAGATGAAATAATCTAGAGATATATTCAACTATTTTCAGGCGCATTTTTGTTTGAACTTATAAGATGACTTGGTAAATTGGTATTCATTTTAAAAAGAAATTCCAAAATGGATGATATTTGATCTTAACAGAGAAAAAAAAAGATTTGTATATAAAAAATACTATAGATATCCTATGATTATGAGTATTATCATTTCTATACACGAGTCGATATCAATATCTGATACACATATTTCTCTTGGGTTAAACCCTGTATCCAAAACCTCCTAGCACACAACCCTCATGTACATGTCATGTACTCACCTCTAACTGATACCTTTGATGGCTGCACAGAGGTCACCATTGGTGTTGCCATGGTATCAAATCCCAGTCTCTGCTTGGAGATTGTAGTTTTACCCCCTACGGATACTGTTACACTCCCCTCCAGTGCATCTCGTCTATGTCTTGAAGCCTGGAGTGGAATAAAAGCATGTCCTTTGATTTGATACTACCCCACACAAGTCTTTGATATTAACCTTGAGATGTGATCTCGGTACTCCCCCGAGAAAATTTGAAAATGAGATTGCAGTTGAAGCGTTCTGGGGCGTTTTAAAATACGAAATTCCGACGAAATGGACTAATGACATTTAATTTATTGGTAATTTTATCCATTTTTAAAGTGTGAGGCAATTCAATTCAACGCCATGGCGTTTTATGCGTATATGACGCTACGCCATTGCTAATGCTGTTCATATTATGTGGCCAAAAATGGTTGGGGGTGAGCTTTGGCGATTCCCTCAAAATCATGAAAATGGCAAAAAACACGTACCTGGCTAGGTGACACACATGTGAGACAGCTACCATTACATGTCAGAATGGAACAGTCACCACCACTTATCTTCAGTTGGACTGTCTCTTTACATGTTGTGGTATTGTTAGGGAACCCATCACCACATACAGTAACTAGAGTACCACCTGCAATCAGAGAATAGAGATTCATGCGATGTGATTCAATGTTTTGGGAATTGTATGGTGATTGGTGAGACCACAATATAAAGTTAAAGTTGTAAAACTTCTGTAAATTTTATAAATACGAGGGGTGATCCAAAAGTCTTGGACGCCCTGCTCTAACTTTGCTATTTTCTAATATAATTACATGAAACTTTCAGATAATAAAGATCAACATCTTAACAACTTTGTGTATAAGTTTTAACAGAAAATAATATATTTTAGCTACTTTTCTAGATAGTTTTTAATAGCGGGTCCCTGCCACCCGGAACGGTATTTGAATATAGCAAATCACGTCACAACTGTTATAATGTGGCAAATACTTTAGGTGCAGGTGCAGAACCTAACACCAGTCATGATATGAGAAATTTCTGATTTTCAATCTGAGTGTCATCTGCCATCATCATCTTCACATATCAAGACCTACTTTTCAACGAATTTTCCAAGAATTTGAACACATTTTTCATACCGCTTTACCAATGAATGGAAGACATTTATGAAACCGCCATTGCTTATGTGATACAAATGCTGCTGGAGTGCCACTATAAACCTCATCTATGAGCAAAAAACATTTTCTTTCAACCTTTCTTCTTTCAACTTTGAGAAAAGGAGGACAATCACACAGAGCCATAAGACTGTATTGTGCATATGGTAGCTGCTCAAGGTCAATAATAGTGAGAATATATCGTAGTATACTTTGTTCCACTTTGATTTCTTTCATGTTCTCCATTTCAGCAGTCATCTTTGAGCAAAAGTGATACCAGAATGAGGGTTCCTTGACTGATGTCATTTTCTTAGAATTAAACATATACAACCATTGTCATATATGACATGATAATTAAAGCACACTTAATTGATTGCCTGATAACAAAGAAAGTAAACTAACATGGTTTAACATTCAAAATTCAAAGAAAGATAGTGGTCAAGACTTGCGAAACAAGTGAAATGGCGGTAACATTTAAGGCTGAAAGTTGTCATGTGCGAATACCGTTCCGGGTGGCAGGGTCCCTATCTTAAAAACTACCTAGAAAACTATATCAAATAAATAATTTCTCCATGAAATTAACACACAAAGTAGTTAGGTTGTTGGTCTTTATTATTGGAAAGTTTAAAGTAATTTTATCAAAAACCAACAAAATTAGACCAGGGCGTCCAAGACTTTTGGATCACCCCTCGTAGTACTATTCTTTAGATATCATTCATCCCATCATTACTTAGTAGGTTATAGGTCTATTGTAATGTAGTTCACATTTTCATCCCATGATTACTTATAGGTCTATTGTAATGTAATTCACATTTTCATCCCATATTGTAATGTAATTCACATTATCATCCCATTATTACTTAGGTCTATTGTCATGTAATTCACATTTTCATCCCATTATTACTTAAGTCTATGGTAATGTAATTAACATTTTAATGCAATGTAAAAAATATATTACATTCATATGGACGGTATATTAGAAGACAAACATCTAGTATGTCAAGGAATTTAAACTCCCTGCAATTTCATGATACTTCAGATGAAGCCATTGCTTGCAGAATTTATTGCGGAATTCAGGATTTCATGCGGAATTCAGGATTTCATGCAGAATTTGGCGCAGAATTTGACTTTTTCATGCAGAATTTCCACGCAGAATTTGCATTTTTCTGTATTGGATGAACAAATACAAGTGGAACATTCACATATTCTACTGAAACCCTATAGTCTATATGACTGTCAAATGTCATGACAATTAATCAGTATTCTCAGTAAAATAATACGTTTTCATTATTTTTCGCTTGACACATGTCATGTGGCGCATGTCCACTCAAAACAGCTAATGAAATTGTAAATGTTATTTTTATATGTTGCCAAAACAGTGTTCAGTAACTTCAGTAAACATGTATTCAAACCAGCATTTTATAAATATTGCGACCTTTTTTAAAACCCACTACATTCCATTTTGGTATAAAACACATGGTACACGTATGTGATCTTAAATATTTTTAAGAATGATACAGTACAAAGTGTCCCACTCTTTTTGCCCACCCAGTGCAATGAGTACTTCCATTAGCATTAATGGTTCCCTGTCAGAGTAGAAACACAAGCAATAACAGATCAAAATAACAGAATGGAGATATAACATATAATTTGATCTTAATCTAAATGGATGTTGTTCATGATTATTACAATTACCTGCACTGCTGACTTTATCAGGAGATACACTCCCAATCGTCAGTACTTTAGTAAAGGTAACATTCCCTCTGGGATACGATGCCCTCCCTTTATTCTCCACCATCAGTTCAACTAAAGAGATCAGGGCAGGTCCACTCTGTATTGTACAAGTTATTTCTGAATCAGTCACTGTGATAGGTGTACAGGGAGAGCCCCCTATATCTATAACATTGTCACTTGGCTTGAGACTGAACCCACTTCCAGTAATTGTAGCCTCTGTGCCTTTGGCTCCTAGAAATAGAGGTTTTAAAGGCATATAAGCTTTCATTATCATAAATACTAAATATATCACTCATATTATGGATTTTACTCACACGGCGATTTTACACACACAGAAGTTTTTCATTACAAAAGTTTTACTCAGATAGAAATTTTACTCACAAATGTTTTACTAATAATAAGGTTACACTTTGCTCATATAAAAATGTACACATATATATTTTACTATCAAATAGTTTTTGTATATATGGCATGTGAAGAACACATAAATGTTACCTTTTATTTGGAAAACCAAAACACCAAAATTGATGGAACTATAATGGATCCCTTTTATGTCTCCATAGATTAAATCACAAAGTGCTAAATGGATCATATGTGTTTAGATTAGTCATCATAACGACAATGGAAAACAACAATTATACATCATTGGGTGCTTATTTTGAGAAGTGCCATTGTTTATTGAGTTGGCATTCCTGAAATTTCAAGTATACAATATGACAAGACAAGTCGTCTCCTACCTTTATGTGATAATATTATGCATGGATGAATTCATGATACAGCCGCTAGGACAGACCTTTGAGTTCAACCTGACCAGACATTTACTCAAGTATTACAGAAAGAGAGCTAGGCCCCCAACTAAGGATGTAAGTAAATTTGTTTCACTGATCATTGGATACTGCTTTTGTAAATTGAACAGGTTTGAACCAATAAAAACGACTAGAAAATAGCCAGGGGGTCAATAACAGAACTTTCTCAAAGTTACGAATTCGCAAGTCAATTGTTAATTTTACGAATTTGGTAAATATGCATTAACAGAACTTTCGTAAAGTTACGAACGATTCGCAAAGTTACAAAAAAATGACGTCACATATGCGTTCGTTCGTAACTTTAATAGCACCTCAGAACCTTTTATAACTTTGCGAATGGCATATTTCTCATCCAGTTTTTATGTAAGGTATACAGGTTGGCAAAAAGAAATTGTTCTTTATATGCATGCTAAGTTTCAAGCTAAAATATCTACCTATTCTTACATGATAAGCAAATATGTTCCTGAGCTGGGAATCTTTGAAATCGCGGAGACAGGTTTAATCACAGCGCGCAATGATATCAAATGACATCATATTTTTATTTGTGATAAATAATGATATAAGATGACGTCACAATTTGAAATTCGTTTACGAACGATAAAACTTATGAATGACAATTACGAAAGTGTTGTGTTAATGGCCGATTCGTAACTTTTTATATATTTACGAATTTCATAAAGTTACGAATTACAAATTCGTAACTTTGCGAAAGTTCTGTTAATGACCCCCAGCTTATCTTATACTACTAACTATAAATCCTTAAAGATAAATATGGCATAAAATAGAAATCTTTTAAGACAGACTAGAAAATTCACAGAGTAGAAAATCCAAAGAGACAAATTCATGAATCTGAAATGTGTCATGATACAATATCTACGATCTTCTGTCAGAAATCTCATTAGCCATTTCGTTTTTTTCTGAGGCAGGTATTGATATATGATATATTTGCAACCTTGTAGTATGACGGAAATTCTGAGGTTGATATTCTGAGTATTATTTTCATAAAATTTCATAAATTCATAAAAACATTTTTTGATTGATAAAATCATCGATTATAAAAATCCGTCCGTGCGTGAATATTTCAATTATTCAGATTTTGCCATGGATTCGATTTTAAATGCTTCTAAATGATCTTCTAATGCTTACTATGATTTCTATTAGTAATGTTTTGATTTCCCTGCTTCATAAAAAAGATCATTATCACCATTTACTCGACTCGAAAATTCACTTCCGGTCTGTCATAATAAAGATGAGATGAAAGTTGTCGTGAACACATTTCAATCCTCAGTCTAAGTATCGCTTTTTAAGACTCAATAGACTTTGAATTGAATTTCAAGCATAGTTCGAAAATAGAATCACAAGAGAAGGTTTTAAACCATGAAATCGACTCTAAAGCCTGAGAAAATGTTTTTTTAACCATTTTGTCGGCTGTATGTTACAGTGTGCCTTTAAATAAGACACAAGTTTGTAAATGAGGCGCTAATTACCAAAATAACAATTTGTTGTTGCAGTCAACACAGGTTATGGTAGACATTGCATTGTTCCAAATCCTCAATGTTCATGAAAGGAGTAAAGTCATTGAAGTAGCAACATTCATGCGATTCTTTTGGAACGATAGCCGTCTGCAGTGGAACCCAAAGGATTATGGGAACATTACAATACAACACTTTGCCAATGATGAGATTTGGATCCCAGATATAACATTATACAATAGTGCGGACTATAATAAACAAACCTCACTAAAATTTTACAGTGAAGGCATACCGAATATTGTTGAACACACAGGATATGTTCGCTGGAATTTTCCTGCTGTTCTCCGAGTATCATGTACAATGTTTTTGAAAATATTTCCATTTGATACACAGAAATGCAATATGATCATTGCACCATGGGTAAGTGACGTCTCTGAAATATACATATATACCAAACAAAGGAAAGGAGATATGAAACATTTTCAACTAAATGGTGAATGGAATATTTTAGACTTTTATACATATAACACTGAAATGAACTACTCGAGTTCTCCAGGGACTGTTGTTTTGCCATTTAGTGAAGTGGTATCTACCATAATAATACAGCGCAAACCATTATACTACATTTTCAATCTGATCATACCATGTATTTTCCTGCTACTAATCAGCACTATGGGTTTACTAATGCCAATAGCTTCTGGTTCCAGGGCACCATTGTCAATAATGGTTTTATTATCCATGGTTGTCCTAAACATGAGCATCTCAGCATACATACCAGTAGATTCACACAACATACCCCTGATTAGCCAATTCACAATGTTCATTATGTTTGCTATGGGCATGAATGTCATCTTCACAGTTGGCAGCCTGAATATACATTTCAATGGCCACTATGGAAAAAGGACTGCCTATGTTGCTAGAGCACTTGGAAAGGTATTTGGCATTATCATTAAGAAACATAGTGATATGGGTACCCTTGGTTTTGATTTAACTGAAAACAAACAGGATGGTTGTCAAAGCTGTCAACATATGGAACTGACTAATAAAATGTACAAGGAAAAACATGAAAGAAATATGAAAAGAATTAAAACTGAGCGTCAAAAAAGTGAATGGATGTTGGTTGCTATGGTTATGGACCGTTGTCTGGTAGTTTGTGTTCTACTTGTCACATGCATTGTGTTTACATTGTTATTCAATCAAATAACTGTTCATAGTTAGTTTTGTCATAAAATATTGTCAATATATTGGATGTCAGTCAAATAAAATATCTGAATATATATCTTTGAGAAGAAACTTATTATCTTATTTATTTTTCATCGTAAGATAAGCTTTATCTGAATACATTTATGTTCAAAGACCAGCAACATATTTTAGGCTACTCCAAAAACTTTTACTGATTTTTGCTACTGACAAAGATACTAATAGATTTATACAATGACTGTTCTCCAAATTGATACAAATCAATGATGGCCAAGATGTTTGTCTCTTATGCTAAGTTCTGGACTAAAGAAAAAAGATAGCAACAATGGCAGAAAGTTAAAATCAATCTCTCCCATATTGCCACCTGAGTACAAGCCTTAGCTTGATTATTAATAATGGGCAATAATATCAAATGGACAAACACACAGTAATTATGTGATGTGAATGACAATCACAATCAGGAAAATGTTGTTGTTCCATTAAGGACATCCTCCTGACTACCTCAGGCTAGTATCGTAACACCTGATATCCATGATCCAGGGATCATGATAGATATATACATGTAGATAAAAATATGATAGCAAAAACAACAAATTAAGTCCCTACAGATACAAATTGCTGGACCAAATGTGACACTATATGTTTTATATGCATTACATGTATTTACAATTTCAAATCATCATAAAAATGCCTGTGAAACCAGGAGAGCTTAAAATCTAAAGTTCTTAAAGATGCATTATGCCATAGATTTCTCCCCCAGACAATCAATGATGTCCTATTGTTATTGCTCATATAATATCTCACATACCATGGATATATCTTGAGAATAACTTTTGGGTATATTATTGCGGAAATATCAGAAATGATCAACAGAACAACCAAACTCCAGAATTAAACACAATTGATTCCTCAGCTAGCGAGGGGAATCCCCATTGAGTCACACACGCGCCCACAAGCGCCTTGAACCAGGCAGCCAATCAGGTTTATGATAACAAATTCAACGACCAATCAGATAACAGGAGGACTTTCACTTCAGATTGAATTAATTTCTTCGAAAATGATTAGATCGGCCAGCACAATAGCAAAATTAACACTGAAAGAGGGGGATTTGGGACTTCTTCTTTCGTAAGTAGATGGCTATATATGTGGTGAAACTCAATATGCAAAAAAGTCCAGAGGTGTCTTGATTGTGCTATTCTATGGCATAGAGCCTCTTTAATGAAGAATTAACCTTAATTTCATAGACAAAATGGTATGTAAACATGTAAGCTCAAAGTCATTTAATATATCTTCAATTTGCTGAGTCTGTATGACGATCACACAATAAATAGATATGAATATGAAACAGTATGTAATTTCAGTAATAATCTTAAAATATCACAATCTTAAACATAACGTATCATCAAATGTACAATTAGTGACACAATCCAATCACAATCCAATATGTGAAAAGAAGCCTAATTCCTCCTACCCCCACCATTTTAAATACCAGTATAACACTAATCGGAGACCATAAAACCAATAAAGAGGAGTGGAAACCCCATGTTTCAAAGAAGACATGTGCCTTTTATGTAAGTTCGGATTGAGAAGACATCGATCGTCATTAATTGGTCAAATTGACAGACAAAATAATGACATCATTTAATGGCTGTTTCAAAATTTTCTAAAAATACTCCAAATAATATTATATTAATTTTTGGCTTGTTAAATAATATCATAGCTTGTTATTTCACATCAGGATAAAGAAAGATGTATGGAATATACTAACATCACTTTAAACATCACAACAATGTTGTGTATTCAGAGGTAGCCTGTGAGAATTCTGACAAATGAAGGTGATATGCAAGGGACATAATTATCATATCTCTCATCTCTAAGCTCTGGGGTTTTCCCTCCTCTTGTCTACATAACTACAAGGGACATTTCATTCATACTGAAGTCATTTTATACATGGTGAAAAATAAATTCAAAATTAATACCCAACACCCAAAATATCAAAAATGGTTATACTGTAGATACTAGTATTCATACAAATTAGACCATTCAGTCTCTCTTCAGGAATTCATTATTTATGTTCTTCAAAATATCATTTTTCTCTAAACCTGAATGTAAACCTAAGCATACTTCGAGTACATGTAGCTATCTTTCTTTGTTTGCATTCTCTAAAATGTGAAAAAATAGGAAAGTTGTCAACTTTTTGAAACTCACTTTAAAGTGACAGGTATTTTAGTTCTCTACAAACTGAGCAGGTCAGTGCCTTTGTAATATCTTCAAATAAGCAATTTCACCAATTGAAGACATTCCATCCATCTTTTGATTTCGATAAGTTTGATTGTGAAGTGTTAAGGTAATTGAGGAGTAAATGAATTTTTTCTGTCTACTGTTACAAAAGGGAAGCACGTATCATCATTAAACTGTTATTGAGCCATGTAAGCATGTTCTGTATTTTTCCACATAAGTTCCACATAAAGTTTTTAATTTCACATTTTATTTTTGACTTACCCATGTGCAGGCATTTTTGTATATTTTCATATTTATAGCACGAATTAGCATGTTATTTATAAATTGTATTTCTTGCTTTACTCAACTATTATATATTGTACCTTTTTATGGTATATTTGCATTCTAGGATTGTGCACTGATATCCCCTCCTATGGGCATCTAGTGCCAACCCTGTGTAAATGTAATACAGGATAATTATAGTAAATAAATAAGATTTAAAAGATGAACATGTTTCTAGAATTGTAGTAGTATTATTATTAAAAGACTCCTCACTATTTCTAAAGTATGACCCAACAAACTGGGAGTTGCAGAATGTACAATTATTGATAAGTTCAAACATCCTGTAATCAATTCTACATTCCCTGTATAATAATACTATTGACAATAGCATGCTCTAAAATGATCTCTTGTTACTAATAATTATACACAAGACATGGGCCTCCAGTTACCAATTACTGAGCAAATACAAAACATGGATCTCTAGTTATCAATAACATATACAGCAATACTTGTATTGAACGAATGCCAATTACAAAGTTATCAGATGTACAAGTGACTTTAAATGACCTCAGAGCAAAAAAGGTGGTACACGTTGCATACATTTATTTTACTTATATATTCAAGATTATGGGCAATTGAAAGTTTCTAGTTATACAACAATGTGATCTATAATTACACTTCCAAGTGCAAAATCAACTGTAACAGCATTTCACTTCACTACATTAAACATCTACCTTATCTATAATAAATAACAAGTACAGAAATTTCAGAACAACAAATCATTTTCCAATAAATAATATTCTTGTAGTGGAACTAACACAAGGCATTGACATGCAAAATGTCACCCCATGGCAATTTGCGGTGACAGAAGCAGATAATGACATGCACCTCTGAGAAACTTGAGAATGAAAACAATATCTGTTTTCTTAATGTCGAGCAATTATTGCCCTTTAGTCTCATCTCAAGGCTGATCTCATTTTAAACTCAATTGTGCAGACTACCAATAACCATGATGTTATTTTTAAAGTGGTTGAATTTTGTTTGGCTGCAACAGTTTTATCAAAGCATTCCTATAACATCTGTGCCTGTATGTATATATCCAAGGATTAGCCAAAGAACTCAAATATGCTAATTCTGTCACAGAGAACAGAACATTCTTTTTCCAAGGCAAGATACAGTTCACCTCTTTGATGATGTTTACAGTGATGAAAAAGGGAAACCAAGTAGCTATAAATACTGCTACTACAAGGAATATTGTAACAGTCCATTTTTGCTGATTGAGATGCGCAATGGCAATAACAGGATTTGTTTGTATTTGGACATTGATACGATTTCTATGCTTTTTAATAGTAACAAATATGAATATATAGAATATAACACATAATGCTAAACATAATCCATAATGTGACTGCACAACAAGGACAAACAATGGTTTGAAACTTAATGACAAATGACAGCCAAGTTCTGGGTTAAAGTTGAAGTTTTGGGGTAGTGCACCTGCAACCCAAGTTGTAATATAGATCCAAAGGGCCACTGCAACCAACTTTGCATTGCGTTTAGCCACACGCTGATGCAGTGTCCTATAAAACAGCATGCCAAGAAATCTTTCTACAGCTACAGCTGCCATTATGCAGAATGACACAATGTAAGTGACAAGTCCACTAAAGAATGTAGCACAACAAACCATGCTTTGTGCTCCCGGATCAAGCAGTTGTTCTCCCTTTTGAGCATAAAGGGGTACAAGTAAACGAATGAAAATCATAAGTGGAATACAGATTAAACCTGTTATAAAATCAGCAATAGTTAAACTGAATACCAAAATTGATGTTGATGACAATTTTCTAAAATTCTTACACAATATGATAAGCATGATGCCATTGCTAACTGCTGCGGCAAAAGCTATACTGGCAGCAACTGTTGAGTGAATGACAAGTGCAACAGGGCTGATCTCTCTGATCTCTGGACATGTCTCATTGGATATCATTTTGGTTCTGAACTAAATTGTCATTGGAGGGAATTGTTATTCCAGGTGAAATTGGCCATCATCAAGGTCATCCAGCAATTCATGAAGGCAATGTCACTTGAGCGTCAATCTGTTGTCATTGGGGAGAATCATATGTACAATTGAGCATCACCACACAAGGTCATCCAGCAATTCATGAAGGCAGTGTCACTTGAGCGTTAATCTGTTGTCATTGAGAAATCATATGTGTAATTGAGCATCATCACACAAGTTCATTCAGCAAGTCATGAAGGCAGTGTCACTTGAGCATCAATCTGTTGTCATTGGGGAGAATCATATGTGTAATTGAGCATCATCACACAAGTTCATTCAGCAATTCATGAAGGCAGTGTCACTTGAGCATCAATCTGTTGTCATTGGGGAGAATCATATGTGTAATTGAGCATCATCACACAAGTTCATTCAGCAATTCATGAAGGCAGTGTCACTTGACCATCAATCTGTTGTCATTGGGGAGAATCATATGTGTAATTGAGCATCATCACACAAGTTCATTCAGCAAGTCATGAAGGCAGTGTCACTTGAGTGTCAATCTGTTGTCATTGGGGAGAATCATATGTGTAATTGAGCATCATCACACAAGTTCATTCAGCAATTCATGAAGGCAGTGTCACTTGAGCGTTAATCTGTTGTCATTGAGAAATCATATGTGTAATTGAGCATCATCACACAAGTTCATTCAGCAATTCATGAAGGCAGTGTCATTTGACCATCAATCTGTTGTCATTGGGGAAAATCATATGTATAATTGAGCATCATCACACAAGTTCATTCAGCAATTCATGAAGGCAGTGTCACTTGAGCATCAATCTGTTGTCATTGGGGAGAATCATATGTGTAATTGAGCATCATCACACAAGTTCATTCACCAATTCATGAAGGCAGTGTCACTTCAGCGTCAATCTGTTGTCATTGGGGAGAATCATATGTATAATTGAGCATCATCACACAAGGTCATCTAGCAATTCATGAAGGCAGTGTCACTTGAGTGTCAATCTGTTGTCATTGGGGAGAATCATATGTACAATTGAGCATCATCACACGAGGTCATCCAGAAATTCATGAAGGCAGTGTCACTTGAGCGTCAATCTGTTGTCATTGGGGAGAATCATATGTACAATTGAGCATCATCACACGAGGTCATCCAGAAATTCATGAAGGCAGTGTCACTTGAGTGTCAATCTGTTGTCATTGGGGAGAATCATATGTACAATTGAGCATCATCACACAAGGTCATTCAGCAATTCATGAAGGTGGTGTCACCTGAACATCAATGTGATGTCATCACAATGTCATCCGGTAATGGATTGCACACTTTTTTAAATCTGCAAAATAAAAAGGATCTCTCATAGAAATCTGATTTGGGATGTGCAGAACGAGCAATTTCTTTAAAATAGTTCTACGATATCTAGGTAAGGAATAATATAATTTTTCTTGCAGAGGGAGATATTGTATTTTTCAATTGTTCGTTCCATTTTCTGCTAAAACAAATGATTTGCCTCTGGTGACCTTGAGTAACCATAATAACCAGGAAATGGACCAATCAAATAGCAGAAGCTTTATATTTGATGTATACATTAAACTCAACAATGTTTGGGAAATATCTGTATCAATTTTCAAAAACAATGGTCCAGAAGTATTGAAATGGCAATATCTTGACGTTACTTCTCGATCACCATGTGTACCCCAAAAATCCAAAGGACCAGGTGCAGATTCTATTACTAACTCCCCATGTGCACTTTACATTTTCCTTTGAGTAAATCTAAATTGTCCATAGTCCTTTATGTAGAAATTTACGGTTGATTAGTTTTATTGTACCTTAATCCTTTGACATAAACTCATGTTGTTACACTGAGTAGAGTATAGAGTAATATAGTGACCTAGCTGAGTTATGAAATCAAGAGAACAGACTGAGTGAGATGTGAAAGTAAAGGAAGAACTATTTCAACAAGTTTAGGGGAACTGTGGATTTTGCAAATATGAATGACATATATACATCTTCATGTGTAGAATGGAACACTATGAACATATCAGTTATCTGGAATAACCTTTTGATGTCGTGCCACGTATATATTTATGTCGTATGCTAAGACTGTCATCTGTGTATTAGTGCATATGGAGAGCGATTCGAACATCCTGCATTTGTGTTTGTACTTAGCTTGGGATACACGCACCCTTAGTTTTCCACTGACGGAATAGTGGATCACTGTGTTTGTGTTAGGTATTGCGTAGGATGAGGATTCCTGCCATACTTGTGAAGCCGTGTAGCTCCATGGGAGTACTTTAAAGCTTGTGACGTAATACAAGTTTTGTGTTATGGATAACCGAAGAAATCTATGTGTAACATTTACTTCGTTTGTGACTGGATTTGTGTACAAGGCATTTATTTCCTTTTATGGATTAAACTATATGTGTCTGACTTAATGGATATAATACCGTCTTTAGGTTCCAGGACTGTAGTTGTGGTGTTATATAACCACTTATGTGTTTTTATCAAGATTTATTTTACCATTTATTCCTTCACCTTGTGATTTTTAATATATTTTTAATTCTCAATAGAATACAAAATTAATTATCTTACATTAAAATGTATATCTGTTATCTTTTTATTGAAAAGAACCTTTACTCCGTGACAAAAAAAGTTTAAATTTCTCTGTTCTGGTCATGGCATATTTTTTATAAAGGAAACCAATGCTCCCTATTGGGATATGATGAAACCAACATGTTAAGTCGAAATAGGTATGAAGAATATCCCCATATTGAGGCAATACACCTTTGCTGCCCTTAATGGCCCCGACCTAAGCCTATGTGTGTCCAAACACATAAATATTTTCCAAAGTATTATTCAACACTGTAGTTTTCATTTTACACCTAATAAAATTATTATAACCTTGGGGGTATATGCCTAACAATGCCCCTTCCTTTTGCACATTTTTCTTGCCGATCTCATTGGAGTACATGTAGCTTTAAATAAGTCCCATGTTTTTATTCTTAAAACATCTATCAACACTCTGCAGTAGCATTTTACAATATATTGTGTAATATATTGAATATCATCATTAGACACCGTTTAATATTTGTTAATTATATTTTTCAGTTCCCAACCAAAGATTAATATATGTATTAATTAATATTAAGAAAACAAGTAGTCACTTATTTGTCTTCAGAAAAAAATCTCAGTGTTAATAACTACAGTACCTGCATAAATTGAGCAAATTCTGTATGATCTAAATTTTTAAAACTGAAAATGTTGCATTTCTGCCCTGAACATTGCTGTTAACTTTTGAATGTCATACTATTTTGTTAAATATTGTTGTTGATTAAAAATATTAATTATAAAATAATGAATGGAATTCTTCCGTATGCAATAGAGATAGCAATGCAATTTAAAATAATAGAGATAGCAATGCAATTTAAAATAATAATAATTATGAATTATAATATATTTTTTGATTTAATGCCATACCTTCAGTTGACTAAATTATAAGACATGTAATTTATGTAATAAAATAGTCTTACCTTTCCTGCTGGCTGTTTCATTGTGGATCTGTGACTGTGTAGACGCATATTAAATTTAAAATAAGTATTAATTTCCCAATAAACGCTACAGCTTCAGTGCTTCACGTGATAATGGTGTGAGTCACAGAGAAAGTTGGATTCAATGTCATAATGAATAAAGGACCTGTGACCCAGTGCTCACAGAGTGAATTGTAACCACATTTGGAAAGGATTAATATCATACACTCTGACCAAATTACATGAGTTAGTTACTTAGTCATTTAGTTACTGGAACTTACACTGTATTTTTGTATGCCCGCATTGCTAGTGCATCACTTAAAAGAACAATAAGCCTGAAGTGCTCATTATATCCTCAAGCGTTTTCAACAAAAAAGTTCATTCAAGCGCACCAACACTCACATAATTCTCATGGTTAATTGCGATTGAATTCCTTTGGTGCACTAGCAACAAACTGGCGTATGAGCAGCCAACAAGGTTGCCACAGCGGGTCCTAGGCTGAACCCTCAGATATCAATATGTCTCATACTAATCTGTCAAATTTCAATGTGTTCCCATACCAACCAAAATAGCCCCCAAACCCATATCAAATGTCTAAATATACTGTAAGACCAATGCCATACTAAATTTCCAAATATGGGACCAATGCCATACCACACAGAAAAAAACTAATTTCAGGGACATTCTCATACCAGAAGTTTTACATACAGTGAACCCCCAGGGGTCAAAATCAACAATTTCTCAGATATTGGGTGAACTTTGGAAATGATGACAGGTCAAATAGGCACTATTGATATACATAAAATGATTGTGGATATGACTTAATACGAATAGCAGTTTTAATTTGTGCAGCAAATGTTGACATGCCATTGACTTTATATATGAGAAAGTTCCCTGAAAATGATAGTCCTATATTTGTCAAATGTTGACGACGGTCCATCCGTCAATGAATGGATGGACCGACCAATGGACAGACCAATGAACGGACACCTAGTCAATCACATAGTTACTGGGTGAGAGTCAAAAAATATAGGGGATAGTTCAGGACCACCTATAAGCCCCCCCCCCCACACCCCCACACACATAAAAACTATGTCTGCCAGTAGTATATAGTATATGTTATTGTATACATTTGAAAGATGCAGCAATGTAGGAGACAATATTGTCAACATTTTATGTAAGTATGTTCAAGCAGGACACATTATATTTTGGGTCATTTTGAGAAAATTAAGTTAGTTGAAGGCATATCAGATGCTTACAAGATGTTAAATGAGATTTGTTATGCCTTGGAATTGATATTTGAGACTAAATTAAGCAATGCGTATAAAATCAAAACATAAACCTGTTGCAAAAAGTTGCACTATAAAATCTTTATTCAAGAGGCTGAATGAAGAGAAATCTATAGATAATGACAACACATTTGATAAAAGAAAATTCTCACCAAGTGAAATAGAGGAGTTTATGGAAAGTATAACTAAAAATTTTAATTCAGCTGCCAATTTATCTATACCTAAAATACGGTTCAGGAAAAATAATGGTAAACCCTACTGGAAATGTAACCCATTATTACCCCAGATAACAAAGGATAAAAAGATTGCCTTAAAGCTTTAAGGAAAGCTTTAAGGCAAGCTGAGTATGAATATAACAAACAAATTGATATCACAATTGAAGATGCTAGTGTTTCACAAAAAGACCTGTGGTATTTATTAAACAAAGGCAAGAAAATGTCAAGATTACCTGATGTTATACTTGATGAAGAAGGAATTTTATTGACTGATGCTGAAGAGGTTAGGGAGTCATGGAAACAGTATTTTGAGAAGTTAGCTTCACCTGACCAAATGAACAATATATATGATGATACCTTTAAATGTGCAATTGAACAGAGAATAAAGTGTATAGAGGATGAAACTGGTCATCATTCTCCAAAATTTCAGTATGTTATAACTGTAGATGAAGTCAGGGAATCCTGTTATAAGTTACCTAAGGCCAAGGCACCAGGTTATGATGGCATACCATATGAACAATTTCTGTATGCTGGTGATCACACTTTTAAAACTATAGCATTTCTATTTAATATGTTGATTTAAATGAAGAATATTCACCTAAGAACTTTAAACAGGGTGTTATAATTCCAGTATATAAAGGAGGAAAAAAGAAGAAACTTGATAAGGATAGTTACAGACGTATAACACTTCAATCATCATTGTGTAAACTATATGATGAGATTTTACTTCAGATGGAATTGAAGTATGGTCATATTTATCAGACAATATCAGAGTTACAGGGTGCTAATAAGATTAAATGTAGTTCTCTTCACTCATCCCTTCTTCTTCAAGAGGCTATAGCTCATAATGTTGAAAATGGAAGTAAGATTGTTGCTGCATTTTTAGACACAAAGAAGGCATACGACACGGTGTGGATTGATGGGCTATTTGCTCAAATATATGACGCTGGTATTAAAGGGAAACTTTGGAGAATTTTGCGTCAATCTTATATAAACTCTATGGACTCTGTTTTTATACATGGTGCAAATTCTGAATGGTTTGTATAATAGACAGGGTTTAAAACAAGGTGGAAAGATCTCCATGTATTTGTACCTTTTATTTATAAATCCGCTTATTAACTTGCTTGCAAATAATAACTCATGTAAAGTTGGATCATTAAATGTGAGTTGTGTGTGTTATGCTGATGATCTAGCAATTCTAGCTATACACAAGAGTAAATTAATTGAATTAAAACTTGCTAATAATTATGCCAATAAGTGTCGATTTCAATTTAATGCTTCTAAGAGCGCAATTATGGTTTTTGGAGAGACAAAAAGTCAGAAAAAGAAAAGACAACACTCTGAAGGTACCAACATTACAATTGAAAACCTTGTAATTAATGAGGAGAATTCATATATAAGCATCTTGGTGTTAATGTTTATGCAAATAATAATTCTGATAAGTTGAGGAATGTTAATGCTACAATAAGTGATGCAAGATGTAATTTTTATGCATGTGTAGGAGCCAGAATGAGGAATGATGGTTTAAACCCCTTAATACTTTCTAAGGTTTACCAATCTGTAATGATACCTAAAATGCTTTATGGAGCAGAAGTTAGATCTTTTAATAAGCAGGAGGTTGAACTCTATGAAAAAACTCATAAACACATGTGTAAATCTATTCAGAATTTACCTCAGAAAACACCAAATGATGCATGTTTGGCATTATTGGGGTGGAGAGGAATATTATATAATATTGAGCTATGTAAGCTAATGTTCTGTTTCAACATATTGTCCTTGGGTGCCAGTAATATTTATAGAAACATTTTTATATTTAGAGTGTTTGAATGTTTAGTGAATCATCAAGCAGGTGGTATTACTAAAGAGTATATTACTATTTTAAATAAATATAAATTGTTGGACAATGTTGTGAGCTTCATGTACAATGGTTGTATAAATATGTCAAAGTTTCTATGGAAAAAAATATGTAAGAACAATGTCAGAGATTTTGAATGTAATAGTTGGAGACAATCTTTATCAATGAGTATTCAATTTCAAGATTTTAGAACTGTACAGTTGCATATTGACATTCCTTCTATCTGGTATTACTTAGGACTCAAACATCCCGAACTTAAGCAAAAATGTAATATGATGATTAAGTTGCTATGTGGTATACATAATTTAGAAATCAACAACCATGGTTTACCTAGAGAAAATAGGGAATGTAAGAGATGCAATAATAACTCATTAGAGGATCTTTATCATTTTATTATGGGTTGTGATAATTATGTTGATATCAGAGAGATTATGATTGAAAATCTGATTAAGGAAAATCCTACATTTAAGAAACTTTCATGCGAGGTTTTATATAACATTATTTTAGGCATGGAGTTTCCAATGAAAAATTGGGATAATGTTTTGATTAATTCATGTAAGAATGTCTCAATTATGTACCAAAGAAGATTTTTTAGCTGATTTCCCAATGTATCCATTGTTATTTTGGGTCTAAATTTTGCTCATGTATACATGTATAATTCATGATATTGTAATTGTCTAATTAGCATAAGGTATAGTGTAAGATTGTTTTAATTGTCAAACTATTCTTCAGTATTGGAGGCTAAATAAATAAATAAATAAATATATACGAGTATATTACTGTAATGATTCACTGGCTTTGCATTCACGGTAATGTTGTGAAAAATATCGCTAGCTTAAACTCGCTATTGTCTAGTTTGATTAAAAAGAATAAAATATCATTGTATTGTGAGATCTTAACACCTGCTATATTCTATATTAATCACCATACCCACCAAAGAGGATTCGCTCCCAGCATCCCATCTCAATATTCTGCCATATTTGGAGCCATGTCTTAATTACAAAATTCAAATTATTAAACAGCCGCCATTTTTTTTCACTTCAGAATTTGAGTTATGGTCTTATTAGTGGACAAAAAATTTAAAACATAAGCAAAGTGGTCAAATATTAATTCAAATCTTTTGGATTGCTATAATGAATTTATAGCAATACATTTATAATGTTAGACATTAACGACATATTAGTTCCTTGCAGCCATATAAATAAGCAGGCATGATCAGCACTGAACATATTGCTTGGAGATCAAAATTAAAATATCATGTTGGAACTATGGGAGCCAAACCTCCTTAATGCCCACACTATTTTTATTCAATATCTTAAAGTCTTTTTAATCATTGCAAGTGGTACTAACTGCACAATACCAGGCTATAACTTATCCTAGATACTTAGCTAATAAGTTCCCAAATGCTGTGGCAACTGACACTGCCGTATGTAGCATATTATATTTCCAGACCAATTTCCTTTTGTAACATTTGCTACTGAAAACATTTGAGTGATATCCCTATTTTGAAAGATGGTTGTATTCTTGGTGCAATTCACTGGTTGTTCAGGGGGGATCAGAGGCCTGGGCCTAAATTTTTTATGGCCACAATTAGGGGGCCTTTTTGCGCATTACTGGGCCTAGTTGGGCCTTATTTTTTAATTTCCAGCCAAATTATCAAAGACTCAGGAATATCAGGAATAAATGCATGGGGGGTATAAGATTACAATTTACCTGATATTGGGTTTATGCCTGTCAAGGTTGGAGTTCTAGAAGAAGTGAATTGAAAGGGAAATCCTTCACCCACACAGGCTGCTTGCAGTCCATTAACAGAAACAGTCACCTGAAAAATAATAATCTTTCTGAATTGACCCTTTTCCATATAAATGGAAAAATAGATGGCATCATGGGTATTGGTAGGGCTAAATAACATGGCAACTTAATAGCAAGAGTCGCTTAATTTCTTGATTTAACAAGTTATTCCATTTGGATCAACTTAAAACACAATTGCAGTGGCGTAGCCAGGATTTGACAGGAGGGGGTTCGAATATTTTCGGCGCAAATTTTTTAGGACCCACCTTATGGTGAATTTGGTGAAATTTGCTTAATCTCTGCCTAATTTACTTAAATTTTGCCAAATTTGCTTAAATTTTGCCAAATTTGCTTAACAGACTAGATGTGAGTAGAAATAATCTTGATTTACGTTATTAAAAATTCAGTTTCCAGTTTTTTGACCACCCTGTATCATGCAATGCACTTGCCCACGGGTAGTTCAAAAACACACCCTACATGATTTCATCTCACAATACAATCAAGCAGAATGTTCTTTCCTTCAATCCAGGGAACCCATTGTCAAAGGTCAAAATCAGAACAGGTTAAAACTAGTTACACAACTCATTCCCATTTTAAATCCATAGCCCAAAATGCGCTGAACCATATGATGGGTTTAACATAAATAGGCAAGCGTTTATTCTGGCCAATCAGGAAACAGTATAGCATAAACACACTGAGTTTACACTCTAGTTACATAGCGCATTACCCTCTCTCCTCACAAAAGAAACAATATTCTACTTTTAATTAATTCCTTACCTGTGGTTTTCTATGAGCCACTTGGAAAAAATCACCTGGAATGGTCGGCATAAATAATCCACCATCTTGGATCGTACGAGTATCCACGGTAACTGATGAACTAGCAGTCAACATTGAGGAACCAATCAAAAGCTGAGCTATATCTCCTCCAGTTTTTGACCATTTGATTTTAAATTGAAATGCTGTACATGTACCCTGTCTCTCAACGTCAACTCCTTGCCAGTTGAAATTAGTCTCCAGGAGATGTTTGAGGTCTACATCAGCGATTAATGCAGGAATACCTTGAAAACAAGAAAATGATCTTGCCACTTTATCAGTACATACTGCCTAAGTTTTTCATACATTGCACGTTTAAGCCAAAGTGGAATACAACTACAACTACAGCAACAGTGACACCCTGTTACACTTAACTTGAAATAAATATCAACTGCTTATATGTGTAAAATTTGGTGAAGTGATTTTCTGATTTTGAATCTTGAAAGGAAAGATGAACTCTGGCTCTTGCTAAGGGTACAATTGGTTTAACGTACCTGAGATAGTTTGTTTATCAACTGTGAGGTCAAATGATCCTCCAATTGGCAAAGAAGCTGCTTGTATTCGGGATATGCTTATGTGGTTGTTACTAGGCCATTGAGATGACTGAAAAAATAATATGTTACATCTTTTCAATATTTACATACAGAAAGATGCAAGATTTTGATTGAAATTCTTCTTTGAAAAAAGTAGAAAAATTGAATTGTTAAAGAGTTGTATACAGACTCGAAGCTGACTCTAAAAAAGTGGCAGACCTGGGAGCTAGGGCGATAATGGTGTGATTAGCATCTCAGATCCCCATAAAATGAATCTACCATTGGTTCAGATAAGTAAGTTTTAATTTGTCTGTTTATTGTTGACAGACAGATGAAGAGTTGAACGGGATAAAGGGCAGATTCTTTTTGTCCACCAGGTAGAGCCAGATCAACCAGAGAAAATCCCTGAAATAGTCTCATAACTGCCTAAAAAAAAATTCGTACCTTGTAGATTACTTGTTCCACACCTGACTCATTGTGCATTGTTGAATTGTACATTGATGCATTGTGAATAGCCAGCAAGGGGAGGTTATTGCCACAGTTTATTGGTGACATCTCAACCATATAGCTATCTTTATCTTTTGACACTTTAATGTCTTTTACTGTGACACCATTTGGCTTTACACCAGGCATCAGCTGTACAACTAAAATAAAACAGAAAAGTCTGAAAATAAAATCTATCTAGGCAATAATAATAGACTAGATGCTAGTAGAAATGATCTTGATTTACGTCATTAAATATTCAAAATTCAGTCAAAGTGATGTCATATTTGAAATCTACATGTAAAAATACATCTAACATTATGGTTTCAAAAATTGTTTATAAACTTTGAAAACTTAATGGTTTTTGAAAATGTGACTTCTAGTTCGGGTTGATTCCCCATAGACTCCAGATTAAAAATCACAAAAAGTGAAATATCTTTTCTTGTATTGAACATATAACATTTTCTTTTACTGGACATACTTTAATTTGCATAACTATTCGATACATAAGGGCTATATGAAAATTGAACCACTAAAACAGATGTAATTTAAGTTAAAGGGAACTTTCTACTATACCCGCCATGCTATCTGACCCGAGCGAGCCACCTGGTGGTGAAACTGGTAACTACCTACTCGCATTTACGTTATTGATATGCTGCTGATATTCTATCTCCATTACATTCAATCCAACATTCACAAGTAAAAATTGATTTTTTTTAGCTTATCTAAATGTTGCCCATTGTGCTATCTCACTGTATGCTGTATAATGACTTATGATTATATATACTGTATATATATATACACAGTACTCATTGTGCCCTTAATATTTTACACTTCTGCCAAAGAAACATGGAAATCTTTTATTTATGCATTCCCAAGTAAGTGCATATATGGTATCAAGTGGAAGCTTGAAAGTCTATTTTCATTAAATTCCATATTGGTGCAGCCCTACTTGCTCCAATGCTGTAAAGATCTCTGCTTGGAGGTTGGTGTTTATTACCTGTAAATGCAGACTCTGCTTGGAGGTTGGTGTTTATTACCTGTAAATGCAGACTCTGCTTGGAGGTTGGTGTTTATTACCTGTAAATGCAGACTCTGCTTGGAGGTTGGTGTTTATTACCTGTAAATGCAGACTCTGCTTGGAGGTTGGTGTTTATTACCTGTAAATGCAGACTTTGATATTGTGATCTCATCCACATAGAAGACAGATGTCTGGAGTTGTTTCTTTAGGGCAATAGTCTGTATCCTATGCTTGCTACTAGGAAGTTGGCCCTTGAATGGAATCCTCCCATTGTTCTGTATCATCTCCTCATATATATTCACACATACATGTTGCCACCTTGAACATTTAAAGGTAAAATCTGTGATTGTCAATGAACAAATTGCAAACAATCTTTTCAATAGATCAACCAATGTGTTTCTTACTATGCATTAAATTCCTCTCATTGTAAAGCTGGTCTAATGGCAGAATGTCTAAGGGTGGGATTTCAATGGGTTCATATCCAGAAGGGTTCATATCTAGGGAATGAAAAGATCGGATGCTTTCAGGAAAACTGTCTTGGAGATGAAATATATAGGTGTGAAAAAAAACTTCAAATGTATTTTGATAAACACATTAATCATGTTGCCAAAATATCAATGAATTTTACCTATTTGAATTGAGTTGGATTGTATCTATGTTTTTCTCCACCTTAAAGTTGTAATCTTCATCTATTCCCATATCTTCATTCCTGCCTTGGACATAACCAGTCACTTCCAACATACGACTATGATCCCCAAAGACAGCAAAACACAACTACATCAATAAAATAGATTTTAACTCATTGCTGATGACCAACCCTGAGATATCTTGTCTATGACGTCATAATCGTACCCCGAGATATCTCGGGGTGCTGTACAATAATTGTCACACAATTTGTACCAACAATGTTCCGAAATATTGTAGGGGTTACATGGGGAATACTTTTGGGTGCAATGGAATATATTGTCATCATATTGTCATTGCTGTTCACAATGGTATTAAACATAGCAAAGAGGGTGTTGATACAGTCCATTAAAATGCTGATATGAAAACATGGCATTTTGATCAATTTTTATCAGAATGGCCTGTCACCTGCAGAAAACCTCAAAAATAGCTTTGGCCAGCAATGAGTTAAGTGTTAGTCGTATTATACTAGTCCAAAATTCATATATCATTCTTATGTTACAGTAGGTTACTTTCCAAAAACACAAGAGCATAAAGTCCTTCCTCAAACTAACATAATATCTTGTCACTGAAGTGATAAAGCGTTAGATATTGGTGAAAAGGAGGCAATTTAGTTTTACATTACACTCTTCTGCTTTATGCACCAAAATAATACTTATGAATTAAGTGTTAAGATGTTTTACATTGATGATAATTATAAATTGAGATATTAAATGACTTACATAAGGGTACCGCCCCACATTGATATCACCAGCTCGAAATATTTTCCCAGAGGTGGTTTTAGCTTTGATGAACTGGGTAGAGTAGAGCAATTTGGGGTTTCTAGAGGACACCTGACCACAGTAGGGGTCAATATCCCAAGTCTTTGTACCTAGGGGAGAATCATGGAAAGTCTCCTCAAATGTATGGAGATAATGCTTGAACACTTTCTCACTTGTTAAACACTGGGTTTTGAAGATGTCTTGTAGTTTATGTTCTACCTGAAATGTGTGAGAAAGAGGATCAGAAACATATTATGGACACTGTTCATTAGAGGGAAAAATTTTTGCCCCTTGTCATTTATGTTTATTTATATTTATACCAAAACCTGAATTCCAACGTTAACGTTATTTTTGGTTCGTTTTAATAAATTTTGTGACTCAGTCTGTCTGGGTGATTGTTTATGCCTCCGAAACTGATGTTGAATCGATGTGTCATGTCTAACTAATAACTCTTTCCTTTCAGATGATGTAATTAGCCTTACCTTTCTGGCTAATGGCCTTTCTTTACATGCACAGGTAATGTAATTAGCAATAGTACAGTTGATATAAGAAGTCTTACATGTATGGCTGATGACCCTATCTGAACAGGTGATGTAATTAGCCTTACCTGTATGGCTGATGACCATATCTGTACAGGTGATGTATTTAGCCTTACCTGTATGGCTGATGACCATATCTGTACAGGTGATGTATTTAGCCTTACCTGTATGGCTGATGACCCTATCTGTACAGGTGATATATTTAGCCTTACCTGTATGGCTGATGACCATATCTGTACAGGTGATGTAATTAGCCTTACCTGTATGGCTGATGACCCTATCTGAACAGGTGATATATTTAGCCTTACCTGTATGGCCGATGACCCTATCTGTACAGGTGATGTAATTAGCCTTACCTGTACAACTGATACCCTATCTGTACAGGTGATGTAATTAGCCTTACCTGTATGGCCGATGACCCTATCTGTACAGGTGATGTAATTAGCCTTACCTGTATGGCCAATGACCCTATCTGTACAGGTGATGCAATTAGCCTTACCTGTATGGCTGATGACCCTATCTGAACAGGTGATATATTTAGCCTTACCTGTATGGCTGATGACCCTATCTGAACAGGTGATATATTTAGCCTTACCTGTATGGCTGATGACCATATCTGTACAGGTGATGTAATTAGTCTTACCTGTATGGCTGATGACCATATCTGTACAGGTGATGCAATTAGCCTTACCTGTATGGCTGATGACCCTATCTGAACAGGTGATATATTTAGCCTTACCTGTATGGCTGATGACCCTATCTGAACAGGTGATATATTTAGCCTTACCTGTATGGCTGATGACCCTATCTGAACAGGTGATATATTTAGCCTTACCTGTATGGCTGATGACCATATCTGTACAGGTGATGTAATTAGCCTTACCTGTACGGCTGATGACCCTATCTGAACAGGTGATGTAATTAGCCTTACCTGTATGGCTGATGACCCTATCTGTACAGGTGATGTAATTAGCCTTACCTGTATGGCTGATGACCATATCTGTACAGGTGATGTAATTAGCCTTACCTGTATGGCCGATGACCCTATCTGTGCAGGTGATGTAATTAGCCTTACCTGTATGGCTGATGACCCTATCTGAACAGGTGATATATTTAGCCTTACCTGTATGGCTGATGACCATATCTGTACAGGTGATGTAATTAGCCTTACCTGTATGGCCAATGACCCTATCTGTACAGGTGATGTAATTAGCCTTACCTGTATGGCTGATGACCCTATCTGAACAGGTGATATATTTAGCCTTACCTGTATGGCTGATGACCCTATCTGTACAGGTGATGTAATTAGCCTTACCTGTATGGCTGATGACCATATCTGTACAGGTGATGTAATTAGCCTTACCTGTATGGCTGATGACCCTATCTGTACAGGTGATATATTTAGCCTTACCTGTATGGCCGATGACCATATCTGTACAGGTGATGTAATTAGCCTTACCTGTACAACTGATACCCTATCTGTACAGGTGATATATTTAGCCTTACCTGTATGGCCGATGACCCTATCTGTACAGGTGATGTAATTAGCCTTACCTGTACAACTGATACCCTATCTGTACAGGTGATGTAATTAGCCTTACCTGTATGGCTGATGACCCTATCTGAACAGGTGATATATTTAGCCTTACCTGTATGGCTGATGACCATATCTGTACAGGTGATGTATTTAGCCTTACCTGTATGGCTGATGACCCTATCTGTACAGGTGATATATTTAGCCTTACCTGTATGGCTGATGACCCTATCTGAACAGGTGATATATTTAGCCTTACCTGTATGGCTGATGACCCTATCTGTACAGGTGATGTAATTAGCCTTACCTGTATGGCTGATGACCCTATCTGTACAGGTGATGTATTTAGCCTTACCTGTATGGCTGATGACCATATCTGTACAGGTGATGTAATTAGCCTTACCTGTATGGCCGATGACCCTATCTGTGCAGGTGATGTAATTAGCCTTACCTGTACGGCTGATGACCCTATCTGTACAGGTGATTTAATTAGCCTTACCTGTACAACTGATACCCTATCTGTACAGGTGATGTAATTAGCCTTACCTGTACAACTGATACCCTATCTGTACAGGTGATGTAATTAGCCTTACCTGTATGGCTGATGACCCTGTCTGTACAGGTGAAGTAATTAGCCTTACCTGTATGGCTGATGACCATATCTGTACAGGTGATGTAATTAGCCTTACCTGTACAACTGATACCCTATCTGTACAGGTGATGTAATTAGCCTTACCTGTATGGCTGATGACCCTATCTGTACAGATGATGTAATTAGCCTTACCTGTATGGCCAATGACCCCATCTGTACAGGTGATGTAACTAGCCTTACCTGTATGGCCGATGACCCTATCTGTACAGGTGATGTAATTAGCCTTACCTGTAAGGCTGATGACCCTATCTGTACAGGTGATGTAATTAGCCTTACCTGTACGGCTGATGACCCTATCTGTACAGGTGATGTAATTAGCCTTACCTGTATGGCCAACGACCCTATCTGTACAGGTGATATAATTAGCCTTACCTGTACGGCTGATGACCCTATCTGTACAGGTGATGTAATTAGCCTTACCTGTACGGCTGATGACCCTCACTGTACAGGTGATGTAATTAGCCTTACCTGTACAACTGATGACCCTATCTGTACAGGTGATGTAATTAGCCTTACCTGTATGGCCGGTGACCCTATCTGTACAGGTGATGTAATTAGCCTTACCTGTACGGCTGATGACCCTCACTGTACAGGTGATGTAATTAGCCTTACCTGTATGGCCGATGACCCTATCTGTACAGGTGATGTAATTAGCCTTACCTGTACGGCTGATGACCCTATCTGAACAGGTGATGTAATTAGCCTTACCTGTATGGCCGATGACCCTATCTGTACAGGTGATGTAATTAGCCTTACCTGTACGGCTGATGACCCTATCTGTACAGGTGATTTAATTAGCCTTACCTGTATGGCCGATGACCCTATCTGTACAGGTGATGTAATTAGCCTTACCTGTACGGCTGATGACCCTATCTGAACAGGTGATGTAATTAGCCTTACCTGTATGGCCGATGACCCTATCTGTACAGGTGATGTAATTAGCCTTACCTGTACGGCTGATGACCCTATCTGTACAGGTGATTTAATTAGCCTTACCTGTATGGCCGATGACCCTATCTGTACAGGTGATGTAATTAGCCTTACCTGTACGGCTGATGACCCTCACTGTACAGGTGATGTAATTAGCCTTACCTGTATGGCCGATGACCCTATCTGTACAGGTGATGTAATTAGCCTTACCTGTATGGCCGATGACCCTATCTGTACAGGTGATGTAATTAGCCTTACCTGTATGGCCGATGACCCTATCTGTACAGGTGATGTAATTAGCCTTACCTGTAAGGCTGATGACCCTATCTGTACAGGTGATGTAATTAGTCTTACCTGTACGGCTGATGACCCTATTTTTTTTTTTTTATTAAATTAATCATTTGTACAAAGAATACATACAATAATACAGTGTAAGTGGCTGTGCTTTTAGCATTATTAGCCACGTTCTACAATTACAATATACAATGTATTCAATCAATAATATTTGATTAAAATAAATGAGATACAATAAGATAAAGGTTGTTTTGTGGAGGATTTCAGACATTTACACATCGCTCGAAGAAAATGGCACTGCACTTTAAAACAATCAGATTCTCAGCTCTACTTAATGTTTTATCACTATTGAGGATCAGAGAAAGTTTATCACCTTGTGTCTTATATTTACGGGAGTATTGTATATTCATATTTTTTAGTTGGTTTTCTAATTCAGTCCAGAATGTTAATCTCAAGTTACATCGAAAAATCACATGGCTGGTTGTTTCACTGTTAATACCACATGAGCAGATGGGGGAATTTACATTGGTAAAGTTATGCGAGTAAAGGTGAGCCTTGAAAATGAAATCACATCGTACTCTGTTAAATATAATTTCTTGGTTTCTTGAGATGGACAGTTCTGATGAGTTAATGACAGTTTCGTTAAAAATATTTCTTTTAAGGCTTGATTTAAATATGCTTAAGCTATCTGTACAGGTGATGTAATTAGCCTTACCTGTACGGCTGATGACCCTATCTGTACAGGTGATGTAATTAGCCTTACCTGTATGGCCGATGACCCTATCTGTGCAGGTGATGTAATTAGCCTTACCTGTACGGCTGATGACCCTATCTGTACAGGTGATGTAATTAGTCTTACCTGTATGGCCGATGACCCTATCTGTACAGGTGATGTAATTAGCCTTACCTGTATGGCCGATGACCCTATCTGTACAGGTGATGCAATTAGCCTTACCTGTACGGCTGATGACCCTATCTGTATAGGTGATGTATTCCTGCCACCATAACTGATAGTGAATGTGTCCTGCGGAGGCACAAAGGCTTGTACTCTGCTAACAGTGATTGTCCCATTATAAGGCATACTAGAACCACTTTCCAGTAGGTCTATGGACTGTGTTCCTGTCATCAGAAATCACCACAAATACAACAAGCAAAAAAATATAAAATAAGAAAAAATATCATCAACCAAAAGTGATTGAAAATGATTAGACAAGAACACAAATGTGTACAACATGTCCTCACCAATAGGTGATCCTATATACTGCACATTTTTCATCTTGAATGCTGAACACTAATCAGTTGAAGACAAGATTTTAAGAGAAAAATCCAATGTGGCCACCTTAAAATTTACCCAGACTGCCCAAAAACTAAATAGTTTGAGATTTTCATACAAAGAATCATTCCTGAATATTTGAAAATGATCTGTCAACTGGTTCGCCAGGAAACATGTAGACAAGGCTTTATAGAGAAGTTTTTAGGATGGAAAATCCAAAATGGCCACCTTAAAATTTACTCAGAATGTGGTAAATCAGTTCCAATCAGTTCCAACATTTTCATACTAACAATCATCCCTGAAAATTTGAAATTGATCCCTCAAACGGTTAACCTGAAAATGCATAGACAAGACTTTAGACACAAGATTTTAGAACGGAAAATCCAAAATGGCTGCCTTAACATTTACCCATAATGCCGAAAAACTAATCAGTTCTAGATTTTCATACTAAGATCCAGCCCTGAAAATGGATGGACAGATGGACGGACAGATAGACAGACAAACCTAGGCCAACAATATGGCCCCACACTGTGTGCTGGGGACATAAAAAGTGTGATAATTTGTAACCTACACCAACCATTTAATATATGTACCAATGCCAAATTACGACATGGAACAATGGACAAAGCAAATTGTACATTTAGATGTAACAATTTTTCATCTCTTTTTGGTCATAACATAACACCCGATATCAAACAACCACCATTCGATAATGCAAAAAGCTTTGTTCGTTTCTTTACTTAAAAATAGTTTTTAAACAAAACACAAGACAAGAATGAGGGAAAGCAAAGATTCTGCAAGAATGGTGTAACTTGTGGATTGTTACATACAAATCAACAATAGATTTAATTACCTTGGTGTGGCAGAAAAACAACGCGGAATTTCAGGCCCTCCAGAGTCAAGGTTTTGTTGACAACTTTAACAGAAGCTACCCTTTTTAAAGTATAGATGGCACTGACAGCTGCTGCTATATCATCAACTGTTGCATTCAGGGCAATGGGCTCTAAAAATGTGTAAAACATGAAATACAATTACATGGATAAATTTGTGAATCTATATATAATATAATACTAGAATAAAAAATGTAAAGAAAATTGCAACTGAACCCCCTTGACCAAAAATTCTTTCAAAAACATGCAGTTTTTCACCATTCTGAGCACTTTTTGAGTGATTTTGGACCACAGTTTTCAAATTTGGATCCCCCCCTGGAATCTTTTGACAAAAGCTGGCTACAGGGCAGGAATGTTGTAGGAGAGTGAGATAACAAGAGATAAAAATATATATTCTACTTACTGCTCAATGCTCTGTAGGTGCCTTCTTTGCCATACCTAAGAGTAAACATAGAGGTGGGATTGGCACATATAACATTTGACTCTGTAGTAGGCTCATTAACATCAGTTGAGTTGACATTTACTGCAGTGGTGACATTATCTTTTATTTCAGTAGCAGGTGTGGTCTGTGTGCTAGCAACTATTGTATTATTGTCAGCACTATAGACATTGTTGTCTGCTTGAGAATTTACTTCATTTGTAGTTGCAGTGTTCACTTCAGTCTCACTTTCTGTCATGCCATTAGTGTTATCAAGTCCACTCATAGTTGTAAGGACCTCACCACCAGGCACAGTAGCACTAGATGATTGTGTACTCTTGGGTACTATTGTGCTGAGTGTTTGTGGCTCTGTACAAGCTGATACAAATATTTCCTGAATTTCTGGAACCTCCCCAGTCACCCAATCACTTATGGTCAATTTCTAAAGCAGATTACAAAATTTTGGTACATGTGTTCAATGTTTTCATTTTGAGTAGTACATATAATGCTGAAAAATAAAAAGATTTGACCCATTAATATTTAAGTCCCATGAAAAGTATGCAAACTCCAAATTTTCAAACATTTTCTAATTTAAATGATTGCGACTTTTAACTAATTAACATGGTAAACAAACCTGTATTTCAGGCCTTGATATTGCAGAAAATTTGATCTCTTGTTGTTCATCTCTTGCCATCCATATATCCTTGCTGTTGAATCGAGTCTGATGCATATAGAGTCCCAGCTTAACACTGGCCCCTGTTGGAGCCCTTTGCCTGTGTAACACCTCAACAAAATACTGCTGTCCCACCTGGAGGCTTACTTTTTGGGAGTGACTTGATTTCCCATTCTGAGATGAAGTCAATTCCTCCTAAGAAATTTTAGATTTGTTGTTACATTTACATTAAACGTTTACTTCTTAACAAAGTTGGAAAGAATGCATATGGTCGTTTTTATTTTTCAAAACAGGATTTTTTGTGAGTTTATGTGAGTTTTTTAAAATATAGGGGAGAATCAAGAAAGATCAAGAATAGAATCATTGAGTATCAAGTAAATTATGTATCTTTATTGGTACTTTTTAAAGTGTACCTTTGTCAATAGAGAATCATTGAGTATCAAGTAAATTATGTATCTTTACTGGTACTTTTAAAAGTGTACCTTTGTCAATAGAGAATCATTGAGTTTCAAGTAAATTATGTATCTTTATTGGTACTTTTTAAAGTGTACCTTTGTCAATAGAGAATCATTGAGTATCAAGTAAATTATGTATCTTTACTGGTACTTTTAAAAGTGTACCTTTGTCAATAGAGAATCATTGAGTTTCAAGTAAATCATGTATCTTTATTGGTATTTTTTAAAGTGTACCTTTGTCAATAGAGAATCATTGAGTATCAAGTAAATTATGTATCTTTATTGGTACTTTTTAAAGTGTACTTTTGTCAATAGAGAATCATTGAGTTTCAAGTAAATCATGTATCTTTATTGGTACTTTTTAAAGTGTACCTTTGTCAATAGAGAATCATTGAGTGTCAAGTAAATTATGTATCTTTATTGGTACTTTTTAAAGTGAACCTTTGTCAATAGAGAATTGTTGAGTATCAAGTAAATTATGTATCTTTATTGGTACTTTTTAATGTGTACCTTTGTCAATAGAGAATCATTGAGTGTCAAGTACATTGAAGCATCTCCTCCAGCTGTCAGATGAAATGTGTATTCCCCTGTGTGAGGCACCTTCAAGAACCCTCGCAGAGCACTGCTATATCTAAAAGTGGCACATAACATTTAGTGGTCTCACATGATGATTCATTATACATGTACTTATATTGAAAAAGGGTGAAGTTGAAAAAGTAGGTCAACTTGACACACAGAAAGAGAATTCTCAATCTATTTTCTTAACAAATATTTTGGTTGATGGTACAAAATTAGGTCACCTAAAATCTACCTTAATTTCTACCTACATTGATATGATCTGCTGATATTCGAAAGACTGAATATAACAATGTTTGAGAGTAATATATTTTTGACTTAATGTATTTCTCAGAAGAAGAAAAATATTGTAAATCCATACTTTGACAGGTCTTTCACCATGGTCTTTGTGACATAAGAATTAGGTATGATGTTAAGCTCATAATCCTCTGCATCATCATCCAAAGCATGGATCTGATCAAGGGTATCAGTAAGGGCATTCTTCCAAACTTCATGTGACAGACCACGTGCACCTGTATAAGCATGAACATTTCTATCATAAGTTTTTAAATTATGAGTGTTATGTAGATATAATCGCTCTGTTTTGTATTTCTCATGTCAAATGTTTATTAATTTCATACTGAAATTATAAAAAATTAAAGCGAGTTTCAGCAATAAGAAGATGAAATTAGAATTTCTAACCAATATATCTTATGTGTTGTATAACATATCTAGCAAAGCAGCATTTGTATTGAGGTCAATGGAGCCGAAGGTCAGCTATATATGCCTGTATAGCCGCCAAACTTTTTACCATGACAACCTTATGACATAATATCTCATTTCCTCCAAATTTCACTCGCACACAGACATGTGACGTCATTGATATAACATAGCCATGGAAATAAAGGTATGTAATATAACAATGATGTCCGTATCATTGAATATATGCTTTGGTCTGTTGTAATAACATGCCTCGATCATGAGCTCAGGCTATATTGATAACAGACCTCAGGCGTATATTCAATAATAGGGACATAATGGCTAAGTATTTCATTATAACAACGACAAAATGTTACCTGGATAAAATGAGTGCACATTCTCTAGTTTAGGGGTGCGACATTGAATCCCTGTAGTTGTAACCTTGCTGTTAATGCATGGTAAACCCCCAACTAGCACCTCTGTGTTGTTTGAATGTGGGTCAAACCCCACCCCTTCAATTTTCACAAGGGTACCCCCCTCTGTACTTCCACTAGAGGGGGTAAGGGAAGTGATCAGGGGGTGAGTTTGGAAGAGATACAACTCATCTTGGGCGCTAAGACTCAATGCAGCAGGGTTGGTGAGTGATCTGAAAAATTAATCAATTTAAGTCCAAAAAATTTCTGAAACTATACTTTATCTGTACTGTCTAGAAAATCTCTTAATATTTTAGAAAAATATTTCACTGACAATTTTACTTATAAATGATCAGCTCCACTCAGTGTATTTAACATTTTTTGTGGCTACCTGTATGTAAACATGTATGTACAGGGTGACCCAAAAAAAATGCAACCCTCCATTTTTTCAATATTTTTCTTGAATGGAGGTTAATTGCTCTGGAATTTGGCACACAAAGACTTCATTCAATGTGGGATCCTCTGGCAAAGTTCCAATAATCATAGTCTTATATTGATAGAGTTATGGCCGTTCCAAAATATGCTCCAAATGTCGTCCATTTACAATGTTAGGTTTTCGGATGAATCACATTCCCTTCTTTCTGAACATGTAAACTCAAGAAATAATGCGTTCTGGGATCACAAATTCCAGATGAAGTGCTTCAAAGGCCCCTTCATTCTGTTAAATGCACAGCTTGGGTTGCCAATTTCCAAACATGAAATCATCAGCCCCTTATGGTTTGAGGTTGATAATGGCAACACTGTTAGGGGCGGGGTCAAAATATCGATGTTCATATGGAGACGAAAGTACTTTCGCGAGGGGGAGGGGGTTTTTGGGCACTTTCGTTGACCAAAAAAACATCGATAATTCGGATCTGATATACAGTGTACCTGGTCTTACCCACTTTTTCTGGCGCTATGTTCTGATAAAAAGGCTTGTTTTCAATAGTTCGTGAGCTTTTTTGTGTGATAGGTCCAAAATATCGGTAGATAAAGACGATAATTCGATCATTTTTCAAATAAATTTCGTACTTTTCCCTCCTCCTTTTGAAGAGTTCAATGCAGTTAAATTGCGAACGTGTGTTAATTCACCATAATAATAACCCGGCAAATAGGATACGATTATGCCTCTCATTTGACTTTTCTATCAGGTAATAATAATAATAATAATAATAATCGGTGTATAAAGGTAACATGTTCATCAATGTAATCACGGGTTCCAAATCATTTGACAGTCACTGAAAATCAATGTTTTTTTAAGTGACCTAAGCTTTCGTCTAGAGGGGGGTGGGGGGTTGTTGTCCAAACGAAATTACTTTCGTCTCCATATGAACATTGATATTTTGACCCCGCCCCTTACTGTTAACACACAGCGCAATATTGGCGTTCCCAGGAAGTTCTAGGCAGTTCTAGAATGACATACAGGCTTCAATAGACAAGAACAGTGGTTCTAGAAGTATGGAGCTACTCCTCACACTTCTTATGATAGCATCGCCTGGCTCACTAGTCATTTCTATGAGAAGATTATCTCTCCTAGGATGGAGAACCCATGGTCATCCCAACGTCTTGATCTCAATGCCCCTGACTTCTATATATGGGGTTATTTAAAGGATAATGTGTGTGAAAATAACCCTACTGCAATTGCAGAACTCCAACAAGCAATGACTGCAAAAATTTGAACCATACCCATTGGAAAAATGCATCCGTGTTATGAACAGTTTTCCTTGAACATTGCAAGTTTGTTTTCAGCGAAATTGACGATATCTGGAGCATATTTTGAAACAACCATAACTCTATCAATATAAGACTACGATTGTTAAAACTTTGCCAGATGCTTCCACATTGAATGAAGTCCTTGTGTGCCAAATCTCAGAGCAATTTACTTCCATTTAAGAAAAATATTGAAGAAATGGAGGGTTGCATTTTTTTTGGGTCACCCTGTACAAGGATTGTTCAAAATGTTTTGCACAATTATATCATTATGACAATAATGAATCAATCTTGTTCATATTTGGTAGGTAGCAGCCCAATATTATTCCTTTATACTGCCAAGTTTTCATGTATGTAGGACTATCACTTAACATTTCACGGTTGCTATGGTAACCTAGGTGATGGCGGTATGGTCCATATCATTTTGTAAAAGAAATCAAGTAATATATGAAGCACAATATCACTAAACATGCCCAAATTTACTAACATAAACTATCAACTTTAATCAAAGCATTGTTCATTGCATTGTTCTCATGACAACAGTGAATCTTAAATCAATATTTCTCATCTTGTTTTCTTTGATAATGCCAAAGAATGACTGTAAACATACTCTTCAAACATCTTAAACAAATCACCTGATTTTATGATGTTATCAAAGTTTTCATATGACTATATGAAAAATTTGAGAATATGACTCAAAATACTAAAATTGAAGCAGAAAACATTAATAGAACATTCAACAAATGGGAAAACAGAATTATACAAGTTATATTCACTCATATATGATTGCATATGATCACTCCAATAGGCATTGTTAAGTATTCCAAGATGGAATTAGACAAAGGAAAATGTAGGGAAGGTAGCTGCAGTTATCAGAAGGCTTGACATCCTAAGACTCTTCTGCCATATTTAACTGACACCGATGTAGAAATACTTTCTTTACCAGAAACAATTAGGCCAGAAATTTATATGACATCTCGACTCAACTGATAAGTTTTCCTGCAATTATTACCCAAAACATGCCATCTCTAGTTGTTATGAGCAGAGGCATCTGTATAGTATGGGGGGGCTAAGTTCATGTGATATTTACATGACACCAAAAATACTACAAAATCTACGAAAACTCACCTGCCATGTTTACCTGACACCAGAAACTGAATATGTTGTGATCCTGGAATAAAATTAAAAGAAGGATTACATTTGAGATATTATGAATAATGAAATATCTTTTACTCCTGATAAATGAAGAAATGGCTTATCAAGTAGACATTTTAGAATCATAACAAAGACCTTGATTCTATGATTTATTGCAAATACAAAAGTATATAATGATAGATATATTGTGGTGATGCTAATGGTACCAATGAGTCTTTTTAAAATGATTATGAAAAACTGTTTTTGTGAAATTCAAAAGATAATGTTCACAGGCAGGAGGGTGTTAGGTTTTCACTGGCGAACTACCAAATCCCAGTAAAAAGAAGTCACAATGATACAATGTCATCTCAAAGAGAATTCTAAACTGATTATTTACACTCCCTTATATTACAACAAAATGTAATTCCATCACAACAAAATGTAATTCAACTGAGTAACATCCTCCTAAGCAGGTGTCCAGAATCAGTACTCCTTCTTCCCCCTGCTATAACCAATTTGGAAGCGCCTGATTTAACTGAATCACATGATCTAATTATGCGCAATGACTTATACATGATTTCTGTCGCAGTGTTGCGACAGCCAATCAGATTGCGAGTTCTTAATCGGGGAAATGCTAACTGCTTATCGCAGGGGATAAAAAGAAAGAATATATTCTGGATTTTGAAGCCCTGTCATCGGAGGATGACTGAGTACCCACCTATAAATGTGCCACTTGGTTTACACTTTAAATAACCATTATCATTGTTTGTAAGCTGCAATCCATATCTGCAAAAAAGAATATGCACATGTATTCACATTAATGGAAGAAATCTCTGTTTTCTTCTATCATTCACACACCAGGACACCCTGACAAGGGTAAAGTCAGATATCATTGTCACAAAAGGCAGACTTAAATCCCACTTCAACTCTTTAATCACTTGGTTCTCATTTCACGGGACCTTATATTCGCCGATTTTGTGCATGTATTAGCTCTTGTGATGGTGTATCATATGAAATCCCAATTTCCATCAAATGTGGCCTTCAATCGCCACAATGTACGGTCTTTTGTATCGTCAATGACGAGAAATGATAACTCTGATTATTCATATTTTACAGTATCCGTTGTTCCTTGTCATATTTTGATTGGTAAAAATCAAAGGCTTTATGGTAGAACAAATTTAACGATATAAGGAGTACATAGACACTTTGATTGATTGTTGTACCAAAGGAATTTAATCTAGGTGATCATTCAACATGCAGTTCATGAAAATTGAATTGAATACGAACCTGTGGCTGCCATTTGTGACAACAGTATCTGACTTTTCCATTGTCAGGGTGCTCCGGTTTGTCCTTGTCAACTTGTTTATATGTACCCCACTCGATAATTTATTTCTAATGTTCCCCATATTGATATCTGGATTCTCATAAAATAATCTTGATTTAGTTCAGACTTGAAATCAGTTTTTAGTCCCTGTTATAGCCCAAAGCTACACATGAATAGCATGATATATTCCACTAACCATCCTAAAAAATATGGCTTGATATTTGACACAGCATCAGTTGTCATATTACATTGAAATATGGTTCTGGGGATCAAATCGTTATGTCACAAATTACAAAAAAACAGGCATTTGTTTTACAGGATTTATGGATCAGGATCAGGTGGAAACTGATCAACCATTTCTATTGACCAGTGATTTCATGTACATAATATTAGCATATACCAAATAGGTTTATGATACCTACAATATTTGTACAATGCTGATACAAAATAATTGATAAGTCGTATAGTTGGCATATTTTCTTGAATTTTAACATTTAATGTCCCAAACTCCCCCAAACTCCAGAAAAGCATATGCATAATGCATTTGTCATGAGTTTGAGCTGAAATTTCGCTAAAATGAAGTAAGGGTATTCTCAGCCAGGTTTGTTTATTGTGGTTAGCTTTTAATGGGATGTGCTCAGAAGCAAATAATTCATGTGCGCACAATAATCAAATAAGCTGATTGGTTTAAACTTTAGTGCGAATGCGCACGGTGTATGCCATGTTTTTTCTCGTGATTTCATTTCATTTCATGGAGTTTGTGTTTCAGTATAACTTCCGCAAAAATGGCGGACCAATGACAGAATTAACAGGTAAAATCACTTCGAAATTTAAGAGAACTTTTTACCTACAATAGCAGAACTTTTGTTTTATTTGTGCATTCTATCTATCAGATAAGAGTCTCAGGCCCCAGGGGTACATGAATATAGGCAAATCCATTTTGGTAGGAGCACTCTTTTTAGTTTGAAAATCCACCCTTTATCATTTACTGTCAGCACTATAATTATTTGTAAGATCCGCCACCCATAAATAAGATTAACCCAAGATTAACTTCTATGATAAATCATTTTATACTTACACTTCATTAGTAGATTCATCTATAAGGTCACATTTCTGTCCATCTAGATACACTCTATAAGAAGACAAAAAAAAATTAATGCTTAGGAATTATCTGAATTTAAATCCCAAAAGTGCACAGGAAACCTTTTTACAATAAAATATTATTTTTCTATCTGAATGGTTACCATTCTTATTATTTGGGAGAATTTAAACATTCACCCATTTTTGCACTTTGAATCCCCAACTTCACCAATTTATAACATATTGTGAATCTTTTGGGAGATACATGTACAGTGATTGTATTTGAGATTGTAAGGAATAGATTGGAATGGATTGGTTTGTCACCCCCCATAGATCTGATTCTGCCTTTAAGGTTCAGCTGGAAAGTAACATTTTGGTAAAAATTGCTATACCTGCATATGTAATTTTCTGGTACAAAATAAAAATATGAAGGCATGTGTCAATTTCCTTGCTTTTTTCAGGAAAGTATCATCGTTACATTGTCTTCTTTTAGAATATCTGGTAGGGGTTCAATGGGAACTCCAGGAAATTCTGATATTTCACACTTTCTATTTTTCCAGATTTTCTCTCAAAGTTTCCAGAAAACACATGTGCTACCATTGACCCTTTTCCAGCGGGTTTACTAAAAGAGTGTAATCATACTTTCCTGAAAAAAGCAAGGAAATACACACACGCCTTCATACTTATTCAGCATACACGGAATGTCAGTAGATGCCTATATCTATGTCAATAATCTGCAAAAGACTATAAGCCCCAGATATACGAGGTGGATGTGCATGAGGATTTTATTGAAAATGACTGAATCTCTGCTGCCCAAGAGGGCCGAAACTCCCAAAAGTTTCATGATTTTTGATTGTGAGACACAAAGTACGTGATAAACAACAATTCATGCAATAAATAAATGCAATAATATTCTCAAAAAAGTAGAACGTAACAAAAAAGCAAAGAAAAGTTAAAAACTTACATTTTCAAACTTTATTTTTACAAGCAGCACTGCTGACCGTTCTCAACAATTATTCGCTATAGCGAATTAAAATAATGGGTTGCCAACCCCGATTGAATCAGATAAAATTATTAGAATCAGAGACATATAGGCCTAAAACATGTTTTATAATGTCTCTGCTAGAATGGATTTTAATACCTTTGTATTTCAAGACCTCTAGATTCCTCTGATTTCACTTTATACTCATCCGTAAAAAGTCGAGCAGATATAGTCACCAATGTCCCTGGGGGTCCGGATTTTTTATCAATCTTGTTTACCATAGGTGTCAATTTATCCTTGTACTAAAGAAAATAAAGTAGATGAATCATTTTAATGTCCACAGCCGGATCACTTTAAATTTTCAAAACACGTGCATGTATTATACAGTAGCTGCATAAATGGAACATGGTTGAACTCTCAGGAAAATCACAGATGTAAAAACTGCAAAGTGAAATTATGGTCATCATAATTTGGTTAACTGAGTGAACAACGTATTATCTTACCTGAATATATTGTGTTTGACCACTGGGGACAGGTCCTTCCCCATCAACATAGACCTCAACCTTATATCTTGCCTCCTTAACATCGGAAGGCCTGTAATGGTATTGTAATGTAAAACTTGAAAAACAAAAACAGTTTCAAATTATGAACAAAGCATTAAAATGACAGAATGTCAACACCTTGTAAGTAATGACCAATTTTAAAAATAGCAAAATGCTGTTCGAAACGCTTCCCAATTGCATTCGTAGCATTATTACATGTACAGGGTGGTCAAAAAATGGAAACCCTACTACCATTTTCCTCATATCTTTGTCATTTTAAAGAACAACTCCCTGATATCTTACACTTTTTGTACATCATTCAATTTCCTACCAGTGTGTATACCAGTGTGTATATAATACGTGTATAGAGGTTATTTAATGGGAGATTTTGATACAGTATATCTGAGGGAAATACAATATATATTGTATTTACCTAGGGATATATCCTGTATCTAAAATCGAGCATTTAATAACTGATTTATCCTATACTTAGTAGGTTATGAGGGAAAAAAGTTGCGTTTTTGTGGCCCACCCTGTATATACTTGTATATAAATCATCCTTATACATCCTTATAAGTTGTATATATTTGATGAACATCTTACCCAGCGTCGCATATTATCTTCTGCTTGTTACTATAGTAACTATACACACCACATTCTTTGCTCTCTGTATCACTGACCAGACGCACGATGTTGCCCTTCCAGGGTTCAAAGTAACTGAATTGGTCGGCACTGAATCCTATCCGGTATAGAACATTCTAATGTATTAAATTGTTGGAGTTGTGATAATTACATGCTATTCACAAATGTATTCATTTTAATCTCCGGCAAAAATGTTGTACACGATTTTTACACCATCAGCAGTGTTAAAAATAAAAATATAATTCATTCTAATGTAAGCTAGTGATACAGAAGTCGTAATTATTTGATACCTTGACCATGGATGGTTATGGCGGCACCCCCGGATCCGATCTCCCGTGGGGTCACACTATGTACCCTGGCTCCATAGGCTTAAATTAACAAAATAATGAATTGCTATTAGAATAAATCAAATGATTCACATTTATGGTTCCCGTTATCCCATGGGCCATGGTTGTCCTAACTTTCTTTCAGTGGAAAATGATGATGATTAAATTTTAGACATTAAGTGATTAATTGTGAAAAATTGGTTTGTTTAGATCGATACTTGCACTGCCATTGCCATAGCAGCATGACCAGTACTGACATAAAAGAGATAAAAAACAAATGCATTCAAATAATTTTAAAGGTACTGCTACAGAAAGTCCGTCCATTGCAAAAGTGGATGAGACTAAAATGGACTGTCCGATGCTTTACCTGTGAGAAGCGCAGAACTTAGAAGGATGAGTTGCATCAAAGAGGTGTTCCCGGTCCAAGACATTATATTCCTCGACTCTGCGCAAATCCAAACCAAGAAATAGTAATATACAGCCCTAGAAACCCATTCCTTTGGAAAAATGAATACATGAATAAGTAATTCATTAAGTAACTGATTAAGTAAGAGATTCTTATTATGACAAACCCTAAGCTTTATTATAATTTTCAGTTTTGTAACCATACACTTGCAGAAATCTTTTATATAAAACGGAACCCCCTTTGTAGCAAAATCAATTACAAGACTAATGACTAAAATTGATGAAATAAGATTACCAGAATGAAGGATTATTATCACGGTGATAATTATTTGCGTACTGTCCTACTTCTTCGGCCTGATCCTTCTATAACTCAAACAGAATCCGAGAAGTAATCCAATTAAAATCCAATGCACACTAATTCGGCAATCCAAAGGAAGTAATATTTATATTGTCAAGAGCTTGTATTTACAGGTGTAAATAAGGATAAGAAAGGAAAATACCTCGTATCTCCTAAACCCGTTGTCAAACGATAACGTACATTAGTACAAACACATGACACTCGAGTCTAAGTAGTCCCATACGAGAGCTGTGCAATAAAATATGTAATATTGAGACACTTTTGAGGTTAATGCTTGTGGTGTCTGGAAACTCAGATATGGCTTTTATCAACGTACCAACTTTCCAATATATTGATCACGTAAACGTGAAGTTTCACGAGTGTCTCTTGAACGTTTTTCCTTATATTTGTCTCATAATGTAAAAGTTCACGTTTTCGTGAAAGTTCTGTGACTCTAATAAGTTCTCTATCAAGAAGACTGAATATGACATGGAGAGATAACGTCAGGGATATTTGTGTGCTGTCAGATAATATGTGCGTCGAAACTCTTTCTTGTTTACTATAATGATAAATAAATGCGTTATTTAAAAATTGGATTTTATAACAAATCTGTAAAAGTACAGAAAATATACTCTTTCGGCTTTTAGTATTGGAAAACTTGTCAACTACAATATCAATGTGAATGCCCTGTCCCTACGTTCAGATTCCCCGTTTTACTATATTACTAGGCCTTGGATAAGATTTTGGCTTTAATTCTTTCTTTTGGGTGAACTTCTAGGGATGTAGGGACAAATCATTATTTATTTCAAAAATATCTTAACTCTACATCGTTAGACTTATGTCCAACATAGTGAGGAAAATGGACTAAACAAATGTTTCATTTTAACATAGAAATTAAGAAGTCGATCTTGAACAAAGTGAGAAATAAAGGCAAAAGTGAGTTTGTTTGAAAATACGACCGTATTTAGCATGAAAAGAAATTAAAGTTTTTTCATTTCAACATAGACATCTATGAAAGTTTGAAACAACCTGTCTCAGAATTTGTCAACTCTGGATCCAATTACACGATTTCTAGCAATGATATGTTTTATTTCTATAATTTTGAAGATTATTCAGTTTTTCGCCACAAATGCTTCGAATGAACGCACGCGCCTTGTCGACAGTATAGTAGTTTTGAGAGAGGTTTGTACATTAATTGTCACTGAGTCTCATTGGGGTTCTAAATCGATTGTCTTTCAGCACGCACATCATCTGAAAAACTGTTCTTTTTATCGGAAGTACTTTTTTATTTTTCACTTTTACACTAATAGTAGCCTACGTGCCGTACATGAATTCAATAAAACCTGTCTATATTGAACATTTTTGCAGATAAAAAGGTTCAGTGGGTAGTTTATACAGTAATCAGTAGAACACACAGAAAGAGTGTCCACTAGAGATAGGTGTTCACTAAAGACAAGTTTTACTGTATTAGGCCTACAGAATGCAAACTCGCTATAGCGATAATTGTTTGTTATAGCGAGAGGGCAGTTTACTTTTAAAACATTTTTCGCTATATCGATTTAGAGGTCATTAGCTGTTGGTAGGAAATACAATTTTAAAACCAGAGAGGTTCTTGGTTCCAGATTCTTTATTTACGTTTATTTACGCCACATCTTGGTGATTTGGAGGCTGTCGAGATTCAACTCGGGATAACGATTGTGAGCATCCTGAATTAGTGTTTGTGAAGTTTGAGATTTGTTATAGTCTAGTGCACGAAAACCTTTCTTTTGTCTTTCTATGTCTATGTCTAAAGTGGGGGACAAAAATAAATCTCAACCCTCAAAAGTTGTCACAATGAGCTAAATTCTAAGTTTCATGTCTCAAACTCTCCCAAGTGGTAGAAAAATAATTCCCATCCACTTTAAGTAGCACAATAAATGAATCCAAAGCCTCATACCTGCAAATGATGGATAAATCCCTACCAAATCGGACTAATGTTTTCATGAATCGCCATGTTTGTGATCCAAGGAGGATTGACTCCCAGAATGCAACATCAAGTAACCTTATTTATTCGTGACGTATTTCAAAACGGCGGAATGGCATTTTGAAAGCTGACACGTGTCATGTTGCATTCTGGGAGCCAACCCACATTGCGGCGTAATCTGGCTCCAAAATCACCTCAACATTTGAAGAGTCGGCATTAACATGTGAATTCCACATCAAATTTTTAAGTTCTTATTTGTCATTATGGACACAAATTCCACTATATCTGGACCTACTATGACGGAGAAAATAGAGCACTGAATACACTGAGGTAAGAATTTATTACATATGCGACAACATGTAATTTCCATAGGTTTTGTAATTCTTTATGCCCCCCACTGTATGTCAATAATCTGCAAAAGAAGCCCATATAAAGCAGATACATAATTTAACAGTGATAGAATTTGAATAGAATATAATTTAAAACCTTAACATTTAAAAATAGATCTATGGTTTACAACTATGTTGAAATACCCTGGGGCGACTGTCGGGCTACCGCGTTGACATCACCCCTCTTTACCAGTAGTGCAGGCTTTCTAAAATATGTTGATCAAAACTCCTTACTCAGTTCCTGATCTAGTGTTATGCCAAGTAGCTTGGTTGACTCTACAACATTTAGGGATTCATACTCTAATTTAATTTCCACAGTAGGCCTGACTTTTTTGTTGGGCTAAACACAATAACTTTGCATTTACTTAGAGAAATGCTCATGTTCCAACATTCACACCATTAGGATAATGTTTTGATGTCCTCATTAGGGAATTTTCTATGGTTGTGTGATCTGTTCCACACTGCCACAATACTTTGTCGTCTGCATATTCTCTGTGGCTTGCCTTCACTTCTGCAAGGGTATCAGCTGTATAGGTATTGCAGAGGGATGGGGGAATTACGGCCCCCTGAGGTATACCTACACTTGATGTTCTAAGCTCGGATGTGTGTTTTATTTACAGTTAGAGAGTACTGACGATTATGTAGATACTCTGAGATGTACAGTAGCAAAGAAGTTTGCCCCTCAGTCCGTTGTTATAGAGCTTCGCTATCAGACCGTCTCTCCAGACCTTCTCAAAACAAGAATCATAGTCGGTAGTGACCGCTACCACTGTCTCTTGTTTATTATTCAGTCATATGTTCAATGGTCAGTGAAGGGAGAATCATCACTGAGTTTCTCACAATATACATGTTTCATGATTTTCAGGATGTGAAAATTTAGTTGAACAGCATTTATTAAACAGAAGTCAGCTCCAATCCCTGCTTTAGGCATGTACATGTACAGTGTATTCCATACATCAATTATCCATCCACTGATGTGTTGCCACCCAACTGCAGATGTATGAAATAGCTGCTTTGAAAGGTGAACATTTAACAAATGGCAATAATCTGTGAAACTGATCTAGGTTGGTTGGTAGATCATCAATTGAGCATCAACCAAGCATCAAACAATTGCCAAACCAGCAACAATGTAGGGCAGATGCAATGTAATCCGGGTCTATTTGAGATCCATGAGACATTCAGAATGGACTCTGAATATGAAAAGAAATCACAGGCAATCGAAGAGGATATACCAAGCAAAAGAAGGGTAAATATTGGTTGGTCCAACCTGTGCCACATACATTAAGAATGACAGATCAGGCAGTGTTCAAATTGCCATACACACCTTATTGTTGGTACTGTATATGATATTTCATATTCCCCAGAATATAGTTGGGTCACTGTTACAATATCTGTATGTTTCTGAAAATCTTTGAGATCATAAATCTAACAATAACTGTTCTAATATGATGGTACTATCATGCATTTTTATTTAATAGATATAGTAGATCAATGTTAGAGATAAAAAACATTAATTGGTTAATTGTAAATTATAACCTTGTTTATGCTAGATTCTGACTTCAATTTTTATCAATTTTGTATATTTTCAGGTGATTGTTGCATGCCCAAAGTAAAATATTCTTCTTTTTTCAGAAAAGAAAGAGGAAAGCAGAACCAAATGCAGGTGAACTGTCACTTATGGAATACCACGATGAGGTAATTAAAAGGTCCTATACTGCAGTACCTATAAGGTCCTATATACAGCAAGAAATGGTAACATATTGTTTTGGCCTTTTAATTCTACTTTCTATGTTTTCTTTCTATTTTGCTTTCTTTGAAACACAGGATTAAGTCCTACGCTAAGGGCCAATGTGAAAAAGTCACTCCACCTCATGTTGTTTTTATTTCTGTTTTTCCTTAATATGGTTCTTATTCAGGTAAATTAAATTGGAAGTAGTTTGAAAAAAAAAAAAAATTAGTATTTGTGAACTATTGCAGATAAAAGATATATTATTGCGGGCAAGGGAGCAATTAGTTACTCTAGGAAGACAGAAACAGTTTATCAAAGATGTCTCTAGTAGCTGTCAACATGACAACAATAGGGTTGCTAGGGTAACTGCTAAACAACATGGCCCATCAGATACATTGGTTCAGATTTCCACACTGATCAACCAAGAAATACCTTATGGTTACAAAGGTACAGTATGTGACATGTGACTAATTTTCTTACAGTGTCTTATTTTTGTCACCACCTTGAATTGATAACATGTTGTTTTAGCCTGCATTTTTTGAGACTTTTGGCGATATTTTTGGTAATATTTGCTACCATGGCAACCGATAAACCAACACAAACATTTTGTAGCTAAGTGGCAATTATTCATAGTTGCCATGTCATTGTTGTATATAAACAAGTGATGTTGTAAATATGATTTCATCTTGCATCTTGTGATATTATATGATGGCTGTATCTTTATTGGGTAAAGATGGCTAAATCTGAGTCACTCATATTTATTTTGTATATTACAGGTTTCCTTGAGAATGATTTAGGAAGGGTGAGCAGCATATTCAACAGAGTGGTCCACCACAACTGTGAGTCGCCACACATTTGGTCTCTCGGTGGAGACAAATACGTTATTCCGTCTAAAACTAAATTCCTGATGTCTGACATCTCAAATCTGGATGCCTTATTGAGAGGTATGATCTTAATAACTAAAAGTAAGAGCTCTCCGAGTTATTATACTCTACATAGACTAACAGCTAATGCCGATTTATTGGTACATCTTTCTGAAGCAGATTTGTAAAAACATAAGTCTGACATTGCATATACATTTACATACTATTAAGATTTTGTGTCTCCTAATATTTTTGACTGATTTTATTTATATGTCATGTTAACCTAGTTTTGCCATATTCAGGATGTATACACATGTAAATGTACCTACATTTTTAAGCATAAAATATCCTGCTTTTTTTCAGAAGGAGTAAAATACAATGTAATTGTCTTGGATCCTCCCTGGTTCAACAAAGCAGTTCGGAGAAAACGTGGGTAGGTTCACGATTATGGGATTTAAGCAAAAATCTTTTTTTCACATTTGTAATTTTGACCCTAAAAACAGTATTTTACTTGCTTTTAGGTATAAGATGTTGTCAGAATATGACTTCTACCAGGTTCCAATAAAGCAACTGATCTCCCATAGGGGTGTAGTTTTAGTATGGGTCACTAACAAACTCAGTCAGATTCAGTTTGTTACCGAGCAACTGTTCCCGCAGTGGGGAGTCACATACCACACCAGTTGGTACTGGATCAAAGTTAGTAGATTTATTTTTACATTTAAAGAATTTATTATTACTTTGTCAACATTCTTTTCATGTGTTTGTAACAAATGGCAAGAGGTGACATTTTGCATGCCGTTGGCTTGTTTTACATGGATTTATTTGCTATGTGTATGTTTAGATACTGGACAGTCTTTTAAAGATAAGTTGGTCCTCCTTATTCTCCAGTATCTATAGTAACATAAACAAGTAAATGCACATGGATCTATAATAATTGACAGTGATTTTGGATGAAATGATGAAAGTATTACCTCTTTTAAGAATTGAATGTCCAGTGCTTCCGTTTTAAATGATTTAAATATTTACTAAGTATTTGCATGATTTAAGTATTTATAATTATGTTAATGTATAAATGTGAATAATGAAGGATATGATTTTTTCAGATAACAGTGCATGGTGAATTCATATATGACTTTGACTCCATCCACAAGAAACCCTATGAGACCCTGGTCATTGGTACAAAGCAGCCAGCCCCTAGCTTGCCCAGGGACAGAGTCCTAGTGTCTGTGCCTTGTAGTATACACTCTCGGAAACCACCATTAAATAGTGAGTAATGCTATCATGATTTAGTACTTTTATTAGGAACAAAATGGTTTTGTTAAGTCTATAGCGTTAAGTCCCTGTGTAATCTCCCTTCAAGTTACATGTAAGAGCTCAGAGGCCAGTTACTGTTTTAAAATATGTTCCAAGACATTAGCATGGCAAAGTCTAAAATCTTTATCCTGGCCCCTATGCTTTAATTCACACTTTGTCAGGGAAATACAATAGGTAATGATGAGATTAGATGCAAGACTTAACTTTTCTAGTGACACAAAAAATACATTTTCAAGAAGTAAAAAAGTATTGCAAATAATTTTTGAACATTTTTGTGTACAGAATTGTTCACTCAATGTTTTGTTGAACATTCGTTTTGGTATGAATTTCAAGAAATGTTTATTTGGTCAATGTGTATGTCATATCAATTTTTGTACAGTGTAATTCAAATGTTAGACTTTGAATTCTGATTGCCTCTTGCAGATGTCCTGGAGAGTGTATTACCTGATGGAGGGCCGTATCTAGAGATGTTTGCTAGGAACTTAATCCCAGGATGGACATCTTGGGGAAATGAGGTACAGAAGAGATATATTAAAGTGTAAAGTATAAGATGCAATAAGACACTTATTGAGATTTAATTAGTGCCATGACTGCCAGCAATCTGTGTATTAATTTATTTTTTCCAAAAGCTGATGAACCTCAGCAAAAGCTACATATGTTGATGAATAGTACACTACAGATAGTATGGAATTAGTTAGTGTTCATACATTTAAATGTCGATTTTCAGAAGACATGAGATCTAATTGTGAACAGTATCATTTTGCAATGGCCTCAAGGTCCCACCAGGTTTTATTTCCCTTTCTTGAAAATTGTTAGAGGATTATAGGAACTAGGATAATCACCTTACTAGCGTATTCCATTTTTCATTATTTTGAATAGTTAAGTCTGATCATGATTCTCTCAGATTATTATTCTCACGATGCCCATGTCAAGCAGCGTGCCTACTAGGCACGCAGTTTGAAACTCTGACAAACTGCGCGCATATTTCAAAATGTGAGACGGGGAGGACACGACTCCCAATAAGAGCCAAAATACGAAAAATACAAGGTTAGTCTCGTTCTAAAGATAGTACCATTCTGTGAAGATGAACTTAATTTACTCATAGTACTCAATGTTTTTCCCGATGTAAACCTAGTTATCTCAATATAAGGGTCTTAAGTAACTTCTGTGTTCAAAATTTACAGTGTAATGTTATATCTATGTCTTTTTATCGTAATTTGCCGTTTATTCAGCCATTGTGTCTGTGTATGCAAGAATATATAGGATCACTCCATCTGATTAAAACAGCAAAGTTTGTGTGTACAAAACGATAATACGCCATAAACGTGATTTAAACATTTTTCTTGTCAAACTTCACGCCTATATTCACATGTATTTCCCAAACTGCGTGCCTAATATTTCAAAACTGCTTGCTTATCCAAGCTTGTTTTGTATTATTAGAAAACATAAGCGCCATACAAGGCACATATGTGTCTAATAGTAGAACCCCATAATTGAAACACTATGAGAGTCCATCCACCAAGATGGTGATCTGAAAATAAATGTTTTTTTCGTTCCCAACTTAATTGTCACTTCTATTATAGATTTTGACTTTCAATATGAAAATCTCATAAAATCTGACGATAAGGCAACATTTCCAAAGCTACATCGAAAACACCTACACGTACCTCTGTAGAAATTCCAATGATAATATGTAGTTTTAATAGTGTATGCGCACAGATTGTAATTTCTGGCTAAAATAGGCGCGCAGTTTGTGGTTTATTCCTTTTTAATCTCCTGATTATCTGTTTTATTTCGAAATATTTTGAATTAAACATGATAAATGTGTAAGGAATTAAATATAAAACGAGTCTAAAGTATTTGTCATTTATGTTTAAAGTGCTAGATCGATTTACGTATAAATTCCCATTAAATCAGCGACGAAAATACCATTAATCTGCTTATGTTTTAAAACTAAGATTCATTTGCACACAGTTTTTGCTAGTATTTGCAAGATTCGTATATTCGCCACAGAATGAACGCATTGAACAAGAAAACAATGCAGGATAAATGTCTTTAAATAACGTTTCAAAATACAGACTCCAACTTAAATGATCCAATGTTCTTAGGCACGCAGTTTGTGATCGAAACAAACTGCTTGCCTAAGTAGGCGCGCAGCTTGACATGGGCACCGTGATTCTAAAGTAATCAATACTTTCAATTATTTTCAGGTTCTCAAGTTTCAACATACTGATTTCTATGTAAGCTGATGGCCTCTTATAAAGAACAAACATCTGGAGTAATAGAATGATCTCACAACAACCCCACCTTGCCAATAATGATGTTGAAACAAGTATCAGAAACTTATACTGAAAGATTGGTGAAATTGAGTTGTGAATGAGTACAGTAAAACCTGTATATTTGAACACTTTTCAAATCTGAACACCTCTTAATCCCATGTTAAAAACTTTGAAATGAAAACACCTGCTAATCTCAACAACTTTGTCCAGGGCCCCGGTGGTGTTTCAGATTAGACAGGTTTTCCTGTATATGGTATGGGTAAGCTGTACATGCACTGAACCATGGATTCTTGACTATACACTTGATCTTAACTATACAAGGACTGGAATTAAATTTTAAAGTACTCATTATTACAGAACAACTCTTTTAGGTGTTTTTTCTTACTTTATTTTTTTATCAAAAACTTTTCCTTTATTCTGATACAATGTAGCATGACAACATAATATATAAATAAATAAGTATAAACAATTTCTATACATGTATATGTACACAATATATCTAGCAATAGAGTCTAATACAGTGGTTTTATAGTAGATATTACAGTGGATCCATAGACCAAATAAGGAGGCTAAGTGTCCTCTAAAAGACAATTTCATGGTCGAATAGTATTATGTACAAATTAGGTGGAATTTATTTACTGTATGTACATGATGGAATTTTAAGATGAATCTAATTGGATCTTAACCCCCTTTTTTGTTCCATAACCAACTTTTAAAGAATTTATCTATATTTTTACATGAAGTTCAATGAAACATTTTTTATGCTTTTTTATATCTTTGTACACTTACTCATGTGTTAGTAAAAACTTGGTTATTATTCCTAATTTGTATCTATACTCAAATCTATTATGTTATTATGCACACACATTATACAAACTGAGGTTTAAAATGTACAATCTTTCTGATATTGCCTAAATGTATTTTACACAAAACACCATGGCAACCAGCATTTTGGCAAAGTACCCTATTAATTATTATCATTTCTTTATAGCCAATTGTCGTTTTTCAAAAATAGGACATCACATACATGTATTATGTCAAGAAATAAATGACTTGGAATTTCAAGCAGGGAGTTATATTAGTTTCAACAAAATAGTGTTTATTACATTGATAACTAACTTCTAAATGTTCAAAGAAATGTTTTGGGAAAAACATTTATTTACCATCAAATATGAAATCAAAGGATGTGTGGTATAATATGTAAAATAACCTGGATTAAAGAGATCAACAGTTGTCAAACAGTTGTAGAATATGTTTTTACTCAGTTTTGGGTTCATGCCTTTTTCAACTGTGTTAAATAGTCCTTGAGAATCTAAAAATGCTTTCAAATTTAATTTGGACAATACTACCTCTAGTAAATTCATCAGCTGCTCAATCCATGCCTTGTTAGCACAAAAACCATATGACTACATGTACTCTATAGATTACATAATGAATTTTCTTTTGAAATTCAACTTTTTAAAATTACATGAACAGTACTTGTAAATACATGACATATTCACAAAATAATGATGATTATGGAGATCATTCACAAATCATTTTTCCTAAATACAATCACATCTCTTAACTAATGCTTTATTCACTAGAATAGAATCCAATGGGGAGGGGGAGGGGGGGGGGGTATTGAGACATACTAATTACACTACATAGAAATACACAATCTAAGACCTACATCTAAATCAAGGGATACCCCCATAATTCATATTTAATTCTTCATTTAGATTGATTGATTTCATTTAAACTTCTGTCTCTCAAGGCAAGACTCTAACATTTAAATTGTATTTTTTCTAATCTAATCAATGAGGGAATTGGAGAACTAACCATAAGACCATACTGAATATATATGTCTTTGGCTGTACATGTATATGCACATAAAATCATATGAACAAAGCCATATTTGGACATATGTGTAAGGCCTTATAAGAACAATATATAAGGCTAGTTCACATATTTTTCTATCATTTAAAATACATATTCACAACTATAATGAATTATAAGCGACATTTAAATTACATGTACATTGGTATTTTTGGTTGAAATTATATTGCATTATTTCATATTATGTACAATTCCACGAAGAACATATAATATCACTGTTATGCTTCTCAGGCCAAAACTGTCAATTCTTCAAAGATTTTTTGGTTTAAAAACATGTTTAAATCTCATATATATTTAAAAGGTAACTACAGCATATTGTGTTAAGGTGGGTGAACTGTTGAACTTGTTTAGATGTAGGTGTAAGTTATATAGTGAGATTACTCATTCTATGGCTACCTTCAATTTCATTGTTACTGCAAACCATATGCTGTACTTAGAGGTTATGTCACTATGACGTGAAATATGCCTGAGTTCTCCAAATATAGGCCGACCTTGGGAGGCTCTATATTTGGGCAAGAACGAAGGCATATTTCACGTCATAGTGACATAACTGATGTATTACATGCCTTTGTTCCCATGGTTACTTTGTATCAATGACGTGACGTCATGATATTATCATGGTTATTAAAGAAATCTAATATCAAAACGAGGTAAGCGGGCTATATCGGGGTAATCGGGCAATATCGGTGGATATAGCTCGCTAACTTTCCCATTGACTTCCATACAAATGCTTCGCTAGGTATGTAATACAATAGAATAATGCATGACAATTTTGACCAGCACTCTATACAGATTGCAATTCACAATAATGTGACAATGTATTTTTCTTAGAAAAACTGAATCAATATATGGACTCATAAGAAAAAATCTGGCCTGTATCTCAGAGGTACAGTCGTATATGAAGCTGTGACGTTGCACCGACACAGTACATGGTTAATAAATGCATGACGAGACCCCAGCTCCGGCTAAAGCCTGGGGGAGATTGCTTTCTTGTTTGTTCAGTTATGGGGTTCCTACCGCCTGGTCCAACCCCGCTAGTTCATATATAGATGGCTCTGTGATGCAGCGCTGCTCTCTATAGTTTATTTACACTGTACAATGGTGGCACTATGGTCGACTATGGTACTGCAAATCTCAACCCCCAAGCTCTATTGGGATGTCCCCCCTCTGTGGACCATTTGCCTTTAGTCGTCCTGGTCCATTCTTATTTCGGTTCCGTCGGCGATTAGGGCGAATGTGTCTCTTTTTATTGCGGACTCCTGAAAATTATTGAAAATGAATTTAGAATGGACAAGTAAAATATCGGTACCAATTTCTTAAACTGAACAGATATTATACTACATCTTAACAACAGACAGCTTCTAGAGATTCTAATGCAGTTGTATATAGTTTTGCTTCTCCGAAATAATATGATGTCATGTACCCTACTGAAGTTAAAAACGATACAGTAATCCTCTTAACATACACCCTCTAAGATAGACATCCTAAAACTTCAATACTTAAGTCTTAAAGACATTTATCTTAGCAGATTTACTGTACTTGTCTTAATTGTAGAATACTGCATATGACTTAAATTTTTGTCATATTAATTATGTTGGAGATACATAACATACACAGATGACTGAGAAGAATTTAAGATCTTATATACAGGAACATAAATACGCTGGGGACTTGGGATAAATGCATATGGGAGGTTAAAGATAAGGACTGGCATAAGATATGGTCCATTCAAACTGGATTCATATCTGCAACTTAAAGGTAGTAAAATGATTAAAGGCACATGGAATGATACCCTGCACGCAGAGTCTAGTTATAAACTACCCTCTGCCTAGTATAGACTAAATTACTGTTTAGCAGCTCCGCTCCGACAAGTGGCTTGACAGCCCGGGTCATTAATCATTTCAAATCTACCACACTGACCTCTTCTCAACCAATCAGCGAAATGAAAGGAACGCTGACTAAATGCATGCTCATTAGCTATACGATGATGTCGAAGGAAATTACCATATATAGAAAGTCATCCCTTTTCGACGACGAATTCTCATTGGCTCAGACTGGTGAGATCAGAGATTTATTGTAAACTGAAAGTGTGAAGACAGAGCTCTCTTTTTAGAAGTGAAGTCGAACGAATGCAAAGTGTAATTGAATGAAAGCCACAGTGAGACAACCTACACTGTACTTCAATGTATTGTTAAACCCTGGTATTTGACATATCATTTGACATACCATTGGCATTTGACGTACCATAATTATGGTATGATGGGTAATACCAAGGGTCTGTAAATGTTGATTATTACCCAAAGAGTTTGTCTTCTAGCCTAAAGATCGGAGGGCATTAGATTTTGAGAATTTTTGTTATGTAATGTACATGTGTTACTCTTATGCCAGTCCTATACTGAGGAGTTAGAGAATTAGATGGGAGTGCATGCAGAGTTAAATGTCTTTGAGAAACAACAATGAGAAGCAAATCATTGGAGATTACATGGATTAAATATACATGATTAAACATATATGTACTGTTCCTTGAATGGCCTGCTATCACTTGAACTGTCATGGAGAATCCAAAGTAAGCCAACCAATAGATGGAATTCTAAGGCCAACAAACGCAGTATCCTAAATTGCTTGTACATCATGTCGAAAGTACATTGATAGGTCAGGATGCATCACCATATCTTGGCGATGGTTCAAACAGGAATATGGGTATCTCTATTCACACACATGGGTTGGTACTCTAAGGCAAATCACAAAATGTTGCCTAGATTTCTAGCATTGTTTCCTTATGTCTGATTTAGCAAAGCCAGTGACTGTTTGTGACAATAACATGCAAGAGAAGTACTCAGTACTATTTGGTACTGGTTAGCATTCATTTTTAGAAAAATACATCAAAAGTACTCAGTACTATTTGGTACTGCTTAGCATTCATTTTTGTGAAAGTACTCGGTACTATTTGGTACTGTTTAGCATTCATTTTTTGTAAAAATACATCAAGAAAAGTACTTGGTACTATTTGGTACTGGTTAGCATTCATTTTTGTGAAAAATGCCTCAAAAGTACTCAGTGCTATTTGGTACTGGTTAGCATTCATTTTTGTGAAAAATACATCAAAAGTACGCAGTGCTATTTGGTACTGTTTAGCATTCATTTTTGTGAAAGTACTTGGTACTATTTGGTACTGTTTAGCATTCATTTTTTGTAAAAATACATCAAAAGTACTTGGTACTTTTTGGTACTGGTTAGCATTCATTTTTGTGAAAAATACATCAATAGTACGCAGTGCTATTTGGTACTGCTTAACATTCATTTTTGTGAAAAATACATCAAAAGTACTCGGTACTATTTTATGGTTAGCATTCATTTTTGTGAAAAAAACAGTCATAATCTTTAATGTTTATAAGAACCCCTTTCATTGAAGACATGTATCCATGATAAATCATAACAACTCAATAACTAGACAAAGGTTAAAACACTTTATCATGTTGAATAGGGAAACATGGGAGTTCATAGATTGTTCTAAATCTTCTAAGATGTTGCCATTCCTTCATTTTGGGATCTACAATAGCAGTCAAATATAAATAAAATGGGGGGGGGGGTTACTTTTTTCAAACAACAAACTTTATGTCCTCATGCAGTTAGAGACAATGCCTTGCAGGTTATTTCACAACTGAAATATTGAACTTCGCTGGAAAGCTGAAATCGAGGCTATCGGCTGAAATTAGTGATATATAAACAGCATCTACAGTAATGTGAATCATCAAATGAAAGCATTCATGCAAAGGCAAGCGTAATTTCAATAGAACTCCATGATGCCGGAACTACTTACAATCCAGCGTAGTGATCTTCTACGCCTCTCTTCTGTTAACCTATTTGTTGGAACTTAGAAAAGAATAGAAGAATTAGGATACAAAGACAATAGATAGACAATAGAGGGTGCAAATAGTAAGGTTATAGTACAGACTTATATAAGATGAATAGATTTAATAATGGAGGACTGATATATAAGACACAAACACATAAAATACACGAACTACTAAACCTCGTATATTTATAAAGTTGCTGATTGGATTTTGAAATCATATACTTTTCAGAATTTTTTTTAGAGATACCGTACATACAAAATTCAAATAGCAGAGCATGCTCACTTCACAACAGTGACAACACCATATATGGGCAACAATATATACATTTATACGTGGACATTTTATAACATGCTTACTTTGAGCATTATGCACCAAAATGCTTTTGCTTGTTCAGTATTAACTTTTTATTTTTCATGAAAAGATTCAACGCTCAAAGAGAAAGGGGTGACAGCATTTGGCTGATAGAATTGTAAGAATTTATAGAAGTGTTGAGATTCGAATTTAATCAAGAAAGAACGCGTCTAAAATCTGCAGGTTATCAACAAAATCAACTCAATGTTCTTGTCAATTATAGGATACTATAGAAATAAATTTCTGACCTTTGCAATCATTTTTACTGAAAATGTCAGAATCTACTTGTATTTGAGTTTTATGCAGGTACACTTTTGTGTTCTGTACAAAAATATGATGTGATATTATAACATTAGATTATGTGTTTGTGAGTAGAACATATCGTGTCAGGTTTTACAGTGCAAGAAAATCTATGAGTAAAATAGAGTATCTAAGAAATTTGATGATTGAGCTTATTTATGTGGACAAAAATGGAATGGATAACGGCACATATTGAATATTTGTGGAACACTGTGAAGTCTTAATTAAATGTGAAGGAGATATTCAGAAAGTCATCATTTTAGATTAGATCAAATATTTTTCTGATCAGTTCTGAAAGACAACAATCTAAAATTGAATTAATGTGAAGAAATCTTGTGAAATCATAATAATTTATCATTTCCATATTTCCAAAGGACATTATGTAGGCAATTTGTAGTTGAATCGAAGCATATCTTGACTTTGGCCACCTTTGCACATAGTCTAACACTAAATTTTCCTACAATCTCCAGATTGGAATGAGAAGTGAACTTGTATTCTTGGATTAGTAAAAAGACAACACAAGGAGTTTCATTTCTTCACATTAACTATTTTTGTATAGATAATCTCTAACTATCCACCAACCTAGAAATCTAAAAGCAAATATACCTTTTCCATTCTGACATGTTGCTCCAATCCAGTTCTGAACACATTGACACACCCCCGAGACCTCGTCACAAAAGCCCCCATTGTCGCAAGCACACACATACTTACAACTGGGGCCATATCTACCACGTTTACATGCTGAAATATACGGCAATGCCACCTTAGAATACGTCACCAATCACTAGGGCTGGCACTATATGGGTGAGATATTATTAAACCTCATTTCAAAAGATAAAATCAGGGTTTGAGCTAAGGGCTGGTCCAATGGTCATTGGCAGGTTGGTTGCTTTTGAAAAGAACAGATTAATTGTTTCACTAGGTGTAGGAATAATGCCATCATATTTTGACCAGCTGCTCTGAGAACCTTAGCTCAAGCCTTGGATGTTTTTGGACTATTTTCCCATTTTTTTGCCAGCCCAACTAATCACCATGCGAGTTGTTTCAACCAGGATGAAAATCTACAGTTACAGATAATCACCCCAGTTTAAAATAATGTGAATGATGAACTGGCAAAAAGTTCATCATTTTTTATACATGTAACAATATACAAGTTTATACATTCATTTGTAGTGTGGATATACCCAACCCACTAGTAATATGCAACACTCATTTCAATTTAAACAAGATGTATCTATACTACAATGTATCCGCAAGTGTGCATAATATACTAATAACTGTGTTGTCATTCAATGCAAAAATCTAAACTGCAAAAGACTAGTTCAAAAGATTCAGAAGTATTTCTCTGAACAACATAATTTCATCCATTTCAATCCATTCACTGAAACATTGCAAAATGGGAGCCTAAAATAGTATGCTCAATTTGCAAAACTTTTATTTCATGATACCACAAGCAGCAAGGCAAAAGTTATCCTAACCTATAAAGATTCCCTGTATTCCTTAAAACACCATGGGTGAATGTACGGAGTGAAGAGTACCCAACATGGAAAAAAGGTGAGTCGGCCATGTAATGGTAAACAACTATGGAAAAACAAATGTTTAGGCCAACATAATTTCAACATGTTTATTTTGATATTGGTAGCTTTTCTATGCCAGGCTCACACTCCATGCTGGACATCCAGTCATGCATCATTTACTCATGGTGAATATGTGAATATGTTGTATGCACTTGGTGTACAGACTGTACTTACTGTCTCGACACTGTGTTCCTGATCTGCCTGGGGGACACCTACAGGCCCCTGAGATGGGGTTACATTCTACCCCTTCCCCACAGTCACAGGTCTCTTTGCACCCTGCTCCATATTTCCCTGTGGGGCAGGTCTGTTCACATCTCTCCCCTGTATAGCCTGCCTTGCAGATGCACTGACCATTGACAGGGTTACATTTGGCCCCATTGACACAGTCACATTGCTCACTACAGTATTTACCATAGAACCCTTCTGGGCAAACTGGAAAGAAATATTTGTGATTTGTAATTGCTTTATACCGGCATATGATACGTGATGAAAGTAAACCTTACAGTATATGGAAGATATCAATCAATCAAACAACAAAAATGCAGTACATCAAACTAGAATTAAATTTCCATTATATGCTAAGTTTTAGGTTCATTAAGAATATCTGTTTTATCTCACTATAACATAATTTTAGTATAACCTACCCAATTCACAAGTCTGTCCATACCACCCAGATGTACATGTGCAGCAACCTGTTACTCTATCACATGTGCCATCATTCTGACAGTTACAAGCCTGGCTGCAGTTTGCTCCGTAGCGACCTGCAGGACACTCATTCTCGCAGTAGATCCCTGTGATTCCCATACCACAGTTACAGACTCCAGTCCCAGGATCACACTTTGCTCCATTCTGACACTTGCAGTCCTGTTCACAGCCAACTCCAAATTGACCCTCTAGGCAAGCTGAAAGTGAATGTTAAAATGATACGATTATAGGGGTGAATCTGGAATTAACAAGGAGGGGAAAAATATTTTCCTACAGAAAGTTATGCTCCATTTTTTTGAAAAACTTATTCAATATTTTCCAATGTTAAAAAAAAACAAGACAAAATTGACGATTATTAGACCTGCCAGCGTTAGTTTTGTAGGTGTATGTGTGTATTAGATCACATTTCCTGAATGACTTAGTTTATTGAGTTCTCAAAATATGAGGTTTGAGGGTCCCAACAAATAGGGTACTTGTCACTTACCCTCTTCACAATTGTCACCCTTGTAGCCTGGTGAGCACATACATTCACCAGTCTCTCTGTCACACTCTCCCCCATTCAGACATTTGCATGTCTCTGTACAGTTGAAGCCATATGTTCCTGAGGGGCAGGGCTGGGAGCATGTGGGGCCTACCCACCCTGCTGTGCATGTACAACGCCCGCTTGCCTGGTCACACTCAGCACCATTAGCACAATTGCACTTCTCCTTGCAGTTAGGGCCGAAGCTACCTTCTCGACATCCTATCATGTAACATTGCAAGAAATAATAATTTTGTCCAAATGGATAAAATAACTAAGAAATGTGATTTGTTTGCTGTAAATACTACATGGGGCTTACTTTAATGGAAACTTAGAGGAGGAGGATACATAATATATGGTGAGGGAGGATACATAATATACCATATAGCCTGGCAATTTATGTGTATTCATACATTTACATTGATGTGGATTCATTACATTTACAACTTGAATGTACTATATTTCTCTTATCTTTAATCTCTATTAAACGGACATGTGAAAGATGTTATAAAATAATCCCAGACTAAATAACATACCCTTGCTACAGTGCTTCCCTCTGTGGCCAGGTTTGCAACCACACTGCCCTGTGATATGATCACAGACAGTGTTCTGACCACACCTACACAGTCCTTTGCATTCTGGACCAAATGTTCCTGGGGGACACGCTGCAAATAAATGAAAAAATAAATATAATACTGTTCTGAAGGTGAATTTCCATATATGTCACACGAAGTCATGCGATAAATCACCTTTCGGTACTTTATAATTACTTTAATAAAGAATCATTTCAAGCTTAAAGATAAGAGTGCAACATTTACAGAAATCAAAAGTCTGCCCATCATAGCCTCTTTAGCAAATGTTTTAGAAAACAGTTCAATCCTCAGTGAAAAACAATGCAGGCTTATTACCATCAACACAGGTCTTCCCAGTGTACCCAGGTGGACATCGACAATCTCCAGTTTTATGGTCACATGGTGTACCCTCCACACAGTTGCACTTCTGTTTGCACCATTGACCATATGTACCATAGTGACAGGCTGAAATACAGAAATTACAATATGAAATACATTCACATCGCATGGAATCAATTTCATTATAGAGTGTGGTAAAAAGTAGGAAAATCAATACCAACATTCTTCAACACAAAGATAATCTTGTAGTATAATTTTTTCAATTCAAGAGTATAATATCACTTACATTTCTCACAAGTGCGCCCCCTATAACCTTCCTTACAGCGACATCTGCCATCTACAGGGTTACAGGAGCCATTGTTGTTACATGAACATGCCTCCTCACAATTATCTCCATAGAAACCTCTAGGACACTCTGTAAAAGTATCAACAATAATTTGATAATTCTGAGAATATTGCTAAATAGTTGTACTCTTTCCAGTATTTTTCAAATAAAGCACATGAAAAAATATCCTTTGAGAATTATAATGACAAAATTGACAGCTTTTAAAGCAAATAACAGTTTTTCTAATCAGGTGTTATGAAAGTTGTACATGTACTCACTGTCTTGACAGCGGTCTCCAGTGTAGCCAGGTTTGCATTTGCACTGTCCAGTGAACCTATCACAACTAAAGCTGTTCTTGCAGTCACACCTCTCCCTACAGTTAGCACCCCAGCGATTGTTGGGACATTCTACAATGAAGTTTATAAACAGTATAAACATGTTACATAGATGTATATTAAGCCATCATCCTAAAATTGAGTCATTTAATCTTTTACTATGAATCTGAAAATTACATGTACAGGTGTACAGTTTGTATAAAACAACAGAAATGTTGATTAATCAGAGTAAAATTAACATGTTTCTGCCAAAATAAAGGAACCAAGCTTTTTCAGCATGCAGTTTTAAATACATACATGCTCAATATGCTCAACATTATATTTATTTATTGTTAATCTGTTTTCTCTATAGACCTGCATGTTCTTACCTGTCTCACAAGCAGGCCCCGTCCACCCAGTGGTGCAATTACAAGCGCCTGTCATGTGATCACAGCCAGCCCCATTGATACAGATACACCTCTGACTACAACCGGAGCCATAGAAACCTAGAAAAACACATGGCATTTATTTAATCTTTGTTAGCTTTTGTTGGATTAAATATAAAATAAGCTTTTCATTTTAAATTGAACATTTCAGTTATATCTGGTGTTAATATAGCATTTTTAAATAATTATAAACAAATAATAAATTATGCATATCATCTCATTTGCATATTAATTGTGATGTCATACATTAAGTATAGTATACCTGGAGCACATGGTTCTTCACATGTAGGAGGCCTCCAACCAGACATACAAATACACTGTCCAGTCACTGGGTCACAACTTCCTCCATTGTGGCAGTTGCATCTCTTAGTGCATTCCTCTCCGTAATATCCCTGAGGACATGACTTAGAGCAACCATCGCCTACGAATCCAGCCGCGCAAGCACAGTGGCCATTTACGGGGTCGCAACGAGCTCCATTAGCACAGTTGCAGATACTCTGGCACTCTAAGCCAAAGAATCCATCTGGGCAGGGTTTGTCACAGAACATGCCTCTCCAGCCTTCTGTGCATACACAGGCCCCACTGACGTGGTCACACATTGCACCATTGGCACACTTGCAGAGCATACCACAGCCAGGCCCATATGTACTATTCTCACATTCTGAAATTACAATTGTTTTGTTGTAACATGAAGTCATGTGATGTCACAATAAAGAATTATATGGATTCTCAAAATTTGGAGACATTTCAAAAAATAAACAATACACAACAAAAATACTCAAATACTTTCCAATCAAGTATTTTTCAAAATGATGGGACATGTAGTTTTTGCTGTAGATCCTGATGTACCTTGATAATTGACACATTGAACTCTTCACTGAAAAAACTAAGTTGACTTACTGAGATCACAGCCCTCTCCCTTCCAGCCAGGGGAACAAATACACTCTCCAGAAGCAGGGTCACACTCTGCGCTGTTCTTACACTGACAGTGTTCCACACAGTTCTGACCATACATCCCCGGGGGACAGGCTCGATCACACAGCTGACCTGTCCATCCCACAGAGCAGTTACAGATGCCTGTTGCGGGGTGACATTTCCCATCATTTTCACAAGCACAACGAAGTAGACATTGCTGGCCATAACGGTTTTCCGGACATTCTACAAATGGAAAAAATAATGTATGTAATAATAAGGTATGAATTGCATTTACAGAATGTATACAATATAGCAGATAAAACTGAAAATGCATTTGGCTGAAGAATTGATGGCTTTTAGGCTCTACTTACCAATTTATATTACATCAAGATAATTCACCTAAACCATATTTTACATTTTAAACTATTGTTCTTGTATTAGGTTAAATTCTCTTACCCTCCCTACAACTCATGCCAAAGAAACCAGCAGGGCAGATACATTCTCCAGTCACAGCATCACATCTGGCACCATTTTCACAGCTGCACTCATTGGCACAGTTGATACCCCAGCGGCCCTCAACACATTCTTAAAGATACAATAAATAGACATAATCCTAGAACAATAAACAAAAAATAAAAGTTTTAAATTATTCAGTATATCATTCTCAAAGTGATATTGCAATGAGATAGAAAAAAAAGTAAATACTATGAAGTAAATAAGGAGAACATATTTGTTGTGAGTCATTATAACATGCTCTCACCTTCTTTACATTTCTTGCCCATCTTGCCTGCCTGGCAGATACATTCCCCAGATTCTGGGTCACAGCTGCTGCCTCCACATCTGCACTTCTGGAGACAGTTACGGCCATACTTGCCTTTGGGACAAGCTAATAAAAACATATTGCTAAGCATAAAAATAGTGAAACGCACGTCATGTTTTTTTATTCGTATCAAATTTGTAGTCAAAACATTCAGACTGACATTTTCAGTTAATATTTCAACTTGGTTGTTTAGTTGCTTTAAAATAATTGCCCCTCTTTCTGGACAATTCAGGTGGAACTGACAAAAGGATTTTTTTATTTTGTGAGACTTTTTTGTATGAGAAACTTTTGATGCTACATACGTTCATCACATCTTTCTCCCATCCATCCCTTAGCGCAATCCCTGAGGCATGCCCCTGTGATGTAATCACATGTCAACTCTGCTGAACAATCACATTGGAACACACAGTCTTGACCAAAGTACCCTGGGATGCACTTGTCGTCACATTGTTTGCCCTGGTACCCTGGTTTACACAAACATGTCCCATCCTGGAATATGAAAATGCCATCAAATCATACATTTAAGCATACATACATGTACCTTATATATATTCATAAAATCTTAATTTTGAAAGGATAGAAAGCCTTTTTTCTAAAAATCAAACACATTAAATTTTATGCCATGTACTGACAGTTGTAATTCCTCAAGGCTATTTGTACATTTTTACATCTTAAATTTTCCAAATATTGCATACCTTAGGGTCACATCCAGTGGATTGGTCCTCATTACACTGGCACTGCTGTACACAGTTAGGCCCCCAGGAGTTGATGTCACACTGCAGGTTACAAGAGGAACCAAACATTCCTGGGGCACACTCGCAATAACCAAAGTTACGATTACAATACCCGCTAGAGCATGTCTTGGGGCACTGCATGTTACAAGCTTGACCATAGAAACCTGAAAACACAAATATGTGAAAAGTAGAATTCAAAAAGTAGAAAAAAGAAGAACTTGTGTAAGTGAACATGGCAAAATAATTGACACAATAACACCATAATAATAATCAAGAAGAGATTCTAGTCCATAGTTTATGGGAAATTTTGATCAATTTTTTGTTATTTTCTATCCACATTTGGATAGTATCACAATTCACAAAATAAACATTAAATAATAAAATATTCAAAAATCTTACCTGGTGGACATCCATCTTCACAGTTGTCACCCTTGACACCAGGGGGACAGATACAGGTGCCATCTACATTATTGCATGATCCACCATTTTGACAGGTACAAAGACTATTGCAACCAGGCCCAAAGAATCCCTGAAAGTACATCATGTGTATTTTATTTTTAATATTAAAACCAAAGAAACAACAACAAAAAGGTGTACAATGTTTGAACTTGCAACTACCTGTATGCTGGGAACAAAAGGCTTTTGATTACTAATGTTGGTGAAGCTATGTTAAAGAAATGAAATGAAACTAATGGAAAGGATATCCTTTGATTGTGCAATCAACTCTAGTGATCTGGTACCAATGTTGAGTTTGAATTAGAATCATTCAATGAATTACAGTGTATGTGAATCCTAATTTATTAGAGTCCCTCTTTATCCTTAAGACCTAGGTTAGAGACTCTTCCTATGATAACAGAGGCTGTGGAGCACAGAATGGTGTACACATGGCACTCCACAAAATGAGAGTTCTACACAATATTCAGTCTTTACTCACCTTGGAACACGTGTCATTGCAGAGACTGCCCTGGAACCCAGAGGCACAATCACAGCCAGTCTCATCCTCATTACATGTGCCTCCATTCTGGCAGGAGTTATGGCAGGAGAATTCACAGTCATCACCCCAGTAACCAGGGGAACATTCTAGAAATATAACAAACCCCAAACTCTTAAAAATGGGTCGTGGATTTGGCGATGAAATTTTTCAAATGACAAAATACAACATTGCAGAGGTAAAACATTCCTATGTTCTGCACATTTTTATTGTGCTGGAGTAAACAAAAGGTTTCATGCAATGTTTATCTATTTAAAACTGTAATTAAATGAAAGAGGGATACATCCCATATTATGGGTTCTCAACAAGATAATGGTGCGAAATGATTTACCACAAGTAATGAACACCTAACTACATTGGTGTCTCAAAAAGGGTTGACTGATCTAAGCTGAACAGGATATGCTTTATTATATTTCAACACCTATACTATTAAGCTGTGGTGGTGTCATGAATTAATGGTTAATTTGAACATTGACTAATTACAAAATCAACTGCATATTGAGTAGTGTATAAAAATCAGTTATATATAGGGGCTAGACAATACACTACAAACACTCATTAATTCACAGTTCATAGATAATTATACCTTATAAGGAAAAGGATGGTATTCAAGAGTGGGTGGAAACACTGATGTATACAAAGCACCATATATGGTAATAACACACTATAAGCCTTATTTAGTAATACAGACAAATGGTACAGTGCTTTACAGTAACACTACAGTACAATGTGATCCTTATATGAGTACAGTGTACATAGAATTATTAATTAATTAATAAATTGTGCACAATTAATTAATACATTTCCACTTTCATCAAAGAATGTACATAGATGTATCATAATGCCATCATTCTAAGTACATTCCATGAAGTATTCTATTTCCCATCCCTCCACCACCCTTACTTAATGTTAACCCTTTCAAAACCAACAAACATTAGATTTAAGACAGGCCTGAAAGGGTTTAATGTACCATTACCTATATCATATCCTATATCTATGGCAACTCAAGTAGAATTAACAGGAAAGTGGGGTTAATAACCGAGGCAGTAATCAACCGAGGCACATATCAACAAATGACAAGAAAAAGACTGCTTACAAAAATGTACACCCTAATGAGATATATATGTATAAACATTCACATGTCTCTGACCTATTTTGAGTATGCATTTGAGAAACAAGGGTTCTCTAGAATGAATTTTCACTGCCTGTAAATTAAGACAGTTCTATTATTTCCAAATTGACAACTGATTTGAATCATTCATGCATACATGTGAGTGATATCAAAAAGTTCAATTGTGTTAGGTGTATTAATTTATTGGTATGTGCTCGGGTGTTTGTACTATACTCCTTTATTATTAAAGTAGTCTATGGTTAGGTAAGTCCTACACCAGGTCATAGACGCGCCTACCTTCTTTTTTGAACACTTTGATCCCTGGGCAGCGAGAAATAAAAAGCAAGAGCTGTTTAACACAGATAAATTACAGAACAAACTGGATACAAAAATCTGCTGATGTATTAAATATGGGGGCTGGGGGGGGGGTATTATGGAAACATGGGTAAGGTCATCTAAACAAGGTATTTGTTGATAATAAAAATTCATTTAAGATAACATGTAAAGAATAAATATGTTCTGCACATGTATGTGCTCATAATAGAATAGCTAGCGCAAGCAAAAAATGAAAGCAAGCAAGTAAAAACAAATACCCTAATTATAATGACCCTATTGTTTGTTATATTGTTTGATATTTATTAAATTGCATCAGCAGATTTTAACCCAGCAAAGCTTAATTTATCATATATAATATTTAAATATTGAGTTTATATGTAAAGCTTTACATATCATATACTAAGTAAATGTAAAGCTTTATTCATCATAGAGCTAAAAGTGAAGCTTTATATATCATATAATAAATAAAGCTTTATACAGGATAGTCCAAAAATGGGACACTCATTATGTAATATCTAAAAGGGCGGCTTTATGTATCATATAATATCTTAGTATAAAGCTTTATATATCATATACAGTACAGAGGCATTTAATTATGTATCATATTGATTTAAAGTCACTAAAAACTAGTAAGATAATCTAAAAATCGAAACATTCTATTAAAAGAACACACAAGTGAATTGAAAATTTTCTAGTGACTTTAAAGGTTTTTGGTTGGCGGAAAGCTTGCACACAGGGGTATGTTACGCAGGCGTATAGTTGTTACCTTCTTCTCCTACACCGCGTATAAACAAAACAATAAACCTTAGTATTCATTATGGCAATGTTTTCAGCATATAAGTACTTTTAATTTGTCAATAGATTCAGCGGCATGAATGTGTTATAGCATATAATTTGGTTGAAATAATATCCACAAATATCACTTTTAGCACATGAAATGAATGTGAGTGGACAAATTTTACTTTTCTTATATATTGTTATTGGTGGGTGCCCCAATTCCTTACCCTTTGCATTCGTTTGACTTCACTTCTTAAAAGAGAGCTTCGTCTTCACTCTTTCAAACTAAAATAAACCTGTGAACTCACCGCGCCAATCAGTGTTCGTCGGCCAAATTTGACCGACGTTCTATATATGGTCATTCCTTCTGACGACATCGTTGAGCCCGGAATTGACCAATGACATTCGCATATTTAATTAGAACGCATTTGGCGTATGTTTGTTCAAGCTCGCTGAATGGTGGAAGAAAGGTCAACGCATAGGTCAGAAGTGATTTATTACCCAAACTGTCACCGGTACCCGTCGTGGGGGCGGGGCTACTAAACTGTAATATGGTCTCTACTAGGCAGAGTGTAGTTTAACTAGACTCTGCACGCAGGGTACCAATTCCTGTGCTTTACAAAAATGAATGTGATTCTTATCCCAGAGTCCTGAAGTGTCATTTATAATGTGCTTTATATCGGAGTTTCAACCACAGTGTGACCTAAATACAGAATATCTCATCATATTAAGTGCTATTATTTCGTCTACCAGTTTATATCAAATATCAACACAATTGAGTGAAGCGATGAGTATTGATATTTGATATCTACAAGTTGGAAAAATAATATCATAAGATCTCAACCTCAACCATCATTTCATATATCAAGGTGTCAATATTAAAGTGTCTTTCATCAAAGTGTCAACCTTCTTGTGTCATATACTGCAGCATCAACTGTCATGTCTCGTATATCAAAGTTTTAAGATCTATGTCATATATCAGAGTGTCTCCCACAGTGTGTCAAATACCAAAGTGTCAACCACCCTGTGTCATACATCAAAGTGTCAACATTCATGTGTCACCCACTCTCTGTAACTGTGTCAATATTTAGAATATCACAACAAATAATGTCAAAGTGTCAGTAATTTAATACAATAATAACTAATAGTATAAGTAAAATACTTATTGTTATATTATTATACACGTTTACAACACCAGTGAATAATGAATGAATGTAGTAAAATACATCCTAAAGCATTGTGTTAGTTACATATAGTCTTACCGGTGCCTGATCCCTCTGGATATACAACAATAATGACAGTTTAGATTAAAAATAAAGCTAATTAACGTCCCATATTTAAATAAGCTTTTCGTGTGCTGGAATCACTACAACAGTTATGTAAATGAGGACAATTAATTTTTGATATTTTCTGAGGAATATGTAGATGTGTTTATTAGATGTAACACAGGTAGTTGTATATTTCTTTAATATGATTTTATCAAGAATTTATTTACCTGGTGACCCAAATAATATAATACATGAAAGCAGTGTTTGTGTACAAAGCTGAGCGTGAAGATTACGAAGGCAATGAAATTATAAATATTATTCACCAAAACCTTCAAATTAAATCAGGCATATTGTATTTTTTCAAAGTCAAATCCAATCCATTATCAAACAAAATAACTTTAAATCAATTATCATTATAATCCTTTCATTTATTAAATAAACATTAAAAGTCAAAATTTTATTGAGTTGATAAAAAATACATTTTAAACAAAATCAACAGTTTCTTTGAACCTACTACAGTAGGGGAATAGGTGCATTTTCAATCCTTTATATCAACATAAATTCCATAATATATAAAAAGCATTGAAATTGCAGAATTACAAAGGTTGCAGACGTGTTTTCTTTGCAATTTTGGCAATTTGAATCATTTCAGGGGTTTCTTTATTTTATAAGAAAACTATGGTAACCGTAGAATAAATTGTGATAACATGATTCAGAGAATGCAATGACAAACCTAGATCCCTCCTTGGTTTTCCTGAATTCAGTGTCAGTTGTGATGAAATATAAATTATGTAGTAAGATCGTTTAAATGGGAAAATGGTAGATTACTAGAATGAATTCAAGTGCTTTTGATGATGAAATCCCAAAGATTTGCAGTATAAATACACATATCCGGATATAACAAAGCACATCAACAATACAAATATATAGGAAATTACATCTAATTAAAAACCATTGAATAACAGTGCAATGTCTAACTCACCTATACGAGTTTCAGGTTCTTGGAACTCCTGTTGGTTAAAGCTGTCATCTTCTATGGGTATGATCTTGCGAGGCGTAGACTCGTAGCGAATCTGTGGGTTCAACACATTCCCCTCAGCCTGATCCTGGTCGTTCCTTATAGCTGAAAGTACAAATCGTTTGAAGATAAAAAGAGACACATAAACAAGAGAATGCAAGATCTTGTTTTAATACCCCAATAGTAGAAATACCAGGATGTATCAAGTTTTGAACTGTGCATCAAACTGTAAGATAAATATTAAATCTTTAGAGTGTGTCTTGTGAGACTCCTATCTAATACATATTTACTATTTTTGAACATGGACACTTTTTCACCTACTCCATTTTATCATTGTCTAATTAGCTGCCATATAAAACCTCTCTATGGTGAACACCCACAAACTTAATGAAATCACTGAAAATAGAATCTGGAAAGCCTCAAATGCTTATATTGAAGCTTAAAAAAGCTGTGCTTATTTTCTTGTAGACAAAATGTGTCAATGTTATAAACACCACTGAGAAACTCCCCTTTGGAAGACATATCCAATGCATAGATAACAGAATATATGAAAACCAGCTGTGTGCTAACCTAATTCAAAAAAGCAAAGGAACCAATTCTTGAAAAGAAACCCTGTGTTATTAGTAATTACATGGACACTAAGTGCCTGAAGTTAGGTTCCACACTGTAAACAATACTGAGTAAAACATCCAAGAAGTTGCTAACAATAATAGCCCCCAGAATCATTTGTCTAATGAACATGCAAGACAGACTAAATAGAATATATTTTTTCTGCAGATTTCTATTTCAAATATACACTTCAGTTGAGAGATTTTCATAAAGGAATTGTGGATTCCAACCATTCTATAGTGTCCTTATGTTAAGGCAATCCAATATAATTTTAGATAAGACTTTTTGAGTATACATATGAAACAAACTATTAGTTAACACAGTAGAATATATGGAGCTTAAATAAAATGTAACACGCAAAATACTTACGATAACAGCTCCTGCCATTTTCGTGAAGTTGGAAGCCAACATTGCACACACATTCAAATGATCCCACAGAGTTGACACACCTCTGTTCACAGCCACCATTATCAGCCAAGCATTCATCCACATCTGAAACAAACATAAACAATTCGATTAACTTACTTTTATATTGATATATTCAATTTATTTCCAACAATTTGATTACCTGTTGCAAAAATTGGCTCTATTGAAGGAGCAAAAATATTTATAATTGGCCAACAAATGTGTTTAACCTTTAATATCATAACAAATAAAAGAATCCATGACACCTTATTTAAATAAAGTGGTCCAAAATTTTCAAAGTAGAATCAAAAATTATTTTTTCCTTTGTCAATTTCCATGTACAAGTCACATATACACATGTACTTACCATCGCAGTTACATCCATTCCTATTAAGTCTGAAGCCTTGCTTGCACCCACAGATAAAACTACCAGGGGTATTGGTACATAGTTGGTCACAGCATGATGTACCTAGCTCACACTCATCAGTATCTGGAAATGAAGGCAGACATTATGTAGCAGTCGACTTGTCACATGACAAGCAATATCAACATTATTTTAATCAAAAAATAAATAAATATAAACCATGCAATGTGAAATGTATAGGATGGTTCACGATTCAAATTTTGATATGGACTTATTGCAGCACTATACTATTTAATTATCATTTAAAACAATTCTATTATCTATTATTCTATTTTCATTTTCAAGCATGGATGTGAACCTGAGTTGACATAACGCTAGACGTGGGTCTCCAGGTGTATATAAATATTTATGTTTTGATCGTCAAGATTCTTGCTTGAAAGTGCCAATCAAAACTATGGCGGGACTTTCACGCGCTGATCAACATAATAATTACATGACAATAAAAATATAGTCTCTCCCTATTTATGTTTGTATTGATATTTCCCTGTAAAATGCCAATAAATGCTGGAGACTATTTTTATATGGGACTTTCCCAAGAGACCCCTGTGGAGAATATTTGTTGACTTTGGTCTAATGTTAAATCATAATATAACTTTATTACCAAGTCATTGTTATTTCATTACATAAAATCTTCATAATTGGCACAAATCCTAGATATAAATACCATAACTCTATTGTAACATCTGAAAAGTAATCCGTTCCCTTCCAATACTTCAAAATCATAACATCAGGACCAGAACATTTTATAAAATAATGTATATTTTCTTGCAAATCTGATTCTTTAAAAAACAAACTTCAAATTCTAACCTCCGCATGTCCGTCTGTCTGCCTGGATAGAATAACCCTCATTACATGAACAGATGGCGCCACCTGTTCCATGAACACACTTGTGGGAGCAGCCACCATTATTTGTAGCGCAGCTATCCACAACTTCCATCTCAATACCTATAAAACATACAAAATAATCTGATCAATCGTTTAACACATTTATTTCCTCAGGAACAATGAAATGCATAATCTGGCACACAGAATACAGAGGTATTAAAAAACTTATGTATCTGCTTCAAAATATATTTATGGTACATAATTTTTGTTAGCCCATGTGCTTGACACTCCATGGTTAAGGAGCACATTATTCAATATAAGAGAACTTAAACCTTATCACAAGGACCACCCAGGATTCTCATGTAATATTAGTGATATCAAAATAACAATTGAACCCGGGTAAAAGTTGACTCTTATAAGAATAATCTTTAAATAAAAATGGCTTTTCAAATTGATTCTGAGTTTTGATTTGTTAATCGTATTAGAATGCACCATAAATCCCACACAGAATCTTGGTCTTTATCACTTAAGTAACACATGAACATAACCAGGATCATCCATATCTCAGATATCACTGTAGAAAGTGACATAATCTTGCAAAATATTGATCAACCTTTCTCTGGCTTTCACCAGACACTTTAATCACAATTCTTGATAGCGGAAATGAAATATGTCTGTTTTTCCCGAAAACACCAAGATTATTGAGTTTTATGAGAGTGTGTTTTTACGCCACTCTTTAATAGCAAATGAAGATATTATCTTAGTATTAAAATCATATCAGAGAATTGGTACAAAGAAGCTAAAATATTTTACACTTTTTGGAAAGTGAATTATGTGCTTGCGATATGTACATCTCTCCCTTGTTGGAAAGATGGGTTTCTTATAAGAGATGACCAAAACAGTATAAGTATATCTAAAATGTGGCCCATATCATGGTCCATACTCTAATGTTTAAGAATCACGATAACTTACGGTAACAGGACCTTCCATCTGTGCCTAGCTGGTAGCCAGGGGTACAAGTACATGCGTAAGAGCCCCTGGTGTTTGCACAACCCTGGGTACAATCCCCATTACTGTTCTCACACTCATTAATATCTGCAATCACAATCAGTTTTCTATTGACAGGATTTCTTCGTGCTACATTTATTCAATTTGACACAACAAAATAAATAAATGCATATATCTTATAGTTTGGTCTGTAACTACAGCAAAAAATAAAAAATACAAATATATGAATCATTAAGCATGAATAATTTTCTCCATTTCACTACATTTCTTAAAAAAACCTTTATAGAAGTATCATATCTCTTCACATCAAAATGCAGGTCAGTACAATCCAACTGCAATGGCATTGCTCAATTTTTTATAACTACATTGCAAAGATCTCCCAAGGATTTTTTCTCAGGTGGGTGCAAAATTACCAGTTTCACAATTTAGACCAAAATTGGTCAAAATATGCCAATTTTTCATGATTTTTCTCATTTTCAAGTGGGTGCAAATGGATTTTCAGGTGGGTGCAAGCCTGTTTTCAGAATCTCAGGTGGGTGCTGCACCCACTTGCTTTAATGCTGGGGAGATCACTGCACTATCTAACACATGGTTATGATTTCAAATGAATCCCAAATATAAAAATGCATGTACTGTACATTTGATTATGTAATAACTTTAAACTATACCTTCACATTTGCTGTCGGCTGTCAGTTGGAAACCTGCATAGCACTGGCACTGGGCACGTCCCAAGTAGTTGACACACTTCTGTTCACATCCTCCGTTGTCTTGACGACATGGATCCAGATCTGTAATAAATACAAATATTTGTACAGAGTGGGTCACTACAGTGGTATACCTTTATTAAGCTTGTATATTCCCATTACCCATGAAATAACACCCTCTGGTTGAGAACGTAGATAAGGTGGGGGAGGGTGATTAAAGAATGCAATATTAGACATATCAGTATTTAAATACAAATAACATAGTAGACTGGATCTATTGAGTCTATTATCGTTCCCAAATAATTTATTTCATGAAACGGCAACTGTAGAGTATATGTACACATTCAGAAGATAACACATGGAAAGTTATCATCATATAATTTTGTTCAAATATGGTAATGCAAGGTATAAGAACCAAATGTAAATCATAGAATCCAGTTTTATTCCAAGAATTTGATTTTGCATGTTTAAAAAGAGAACTTCATCTACAATTCACTCCACAAAGCCTTCAAAGTTCAAGATTTCAATTTTGAGTTGATTCCATTAAAACTTCATTTCTTCAATACACATGACTTTCTATTTGATCTTAAAAACATGTGTTTGCTATCAATAGAATCGTGATTACAATTTCAAAATGATTTGTAACAAACTGACTTATCTTCACAACCATCTTTCAGGCATACTCTTGGGGGTAAACAATCAGTTGTTAAAATACCATAAAATGAAAGTATCCACTTTGAAGTAGTTTATCTCCAAATATAAGGTTAGATTTGAATAACCTGTAAAATATACAAACTTCTCTATACCCAAAGCCATACAGTTTAGCTTAGGGACTATGCCAAAATTCAGGGTATTAATATACATGAATTTCTTTGAAAAATTTCTTCTGAACACTAGAATAACTTGTATATCAGATTGACCCCTATCCTCCCTCTCCCAAAAGGTCATTTAATATTATATTGATTACTTCAAAATAAGTTGCTTCATCTTAAAAAAAAGTGAATACTTTGTCTTTAAATAAAGCCTTGTACTGAAACTTTTACCACCTCCAAAAATGTACTTCAATATATTTGTGAGTAGACATCAATATATTGAGCTTATCCCTTATATCTACTATAACGAATTTAAACATCTGATCGAAACATGCTTTTTAAGACATCTTGTTGAAATGTGCATCTAACAAGCCCATAAAGAATCTATATGATAGCTACAATGACTTCAATGACTTTCAGGTAATGTTAATTTCAATCCTAAAACATCAATAGCACTGGGATCATAGATACAAGGAGGAAGGCAAACAAGAACTAATAGCCATATGTTAAGAACATGTGTCTTGGGGCATGGGATTTTCAACACAAGAATCAGCTTTGAAATCAAAACAATATGAATTCTTACCGATTGTAAACTGAATAAATAATAAATTTTCAACAATTGTAAGTTTTGTAAGAATTAGCATAAAACACAGAAATTCAATAAAGATTAAATACAAAATAGTGAGCCGTAACTTCTTATTTCAACAACTTTGAATATTTCATCCAAAATTTTCCACATTAATAGGTTTTCTGATATAGCAAAAGTATGCACATAAGTCTGACTGACTTTTAGAGTTTGTCCAGAGGTAAGTTAGTACATATGGCTACCACCCAAGACTCCAGTCACACTGAGCATCTGCACTTTAAAAGTCCTTTCAAAATCAAAAGTTTTTGATAATATTGTTTATATACAATGGTATAAATAGATCAAAAGTCAGTAGTATTGTGGTATTACCACAGTATTCTTTTATTTTGGTCTCTGGCAGTGAATATAATCCTTATAATGTTTCTGACAAATCTGCCATCAAATACCAACAGATCAATTAAATGACATTATGAAAATGACTGACAATTTCCAAAGATTAACTCCCTGATTGAATAATAAATTTTGTTTTGATTATCAAAAGGTCAAATAAAAATATTTAGTAAAACCATAACAAAGAACTGTATTCATGAAACACAGTAATCCACAGTCAAGTTTCAAAAGCTTCTTAGCTCAAAAATTCCCTTATGTAATTGAACCTAATTTTAGACTTTCCCTGAGAATAAGAGACCCTATCAGGATAAAATAAATACAAAACCAGATGTAATATATCTTCAGAACTTGATTTGGGGATGCCCCTCGGCTCCCCTAGGCTACATTTAAGCACATTGTAAGGTAATTGTTAAGGGTCATTTTTGCAAATATGTACTTTCTGGCTAAGGAAAGGTAATGATTGTCATTTTCCAATTACATATTTCATTCCCTTGCATTTTTCCTTCTCACTCCCCCTGTGGATATTTCCTTCCCTTGCATTCATTACCCTGGCCCTACTTCCCCTGCATCATGATGTTTGCCTCTTACCTTCACATGTTCTCCCATCTATGGTGAGTCTGTAGCCAGTTTTGCATCTACAGTGGTAGTGTCCATTGTATCCTTCCACACATTGATGTTCGCATCCTCCATTGTTAACATTGCAACCAGCAATTGCTAAAACAATAAAACAACAAAATTAAGAATTGAAACGATGAATTGTTATTATTTAATGAATAAATAAGATTTAAATCAATATAGTATATTACTTTTTATATGCATGCTAACTCTCTAAATTCCATATCAAAGTTTTCATATTTTATTATGCAACATGCACATCACTCATAATTAATCGAATACTTTGTTTTTCCTTGTTTTAGTTTACTTAATTTCGAACCAGTATATTGGCAATACTACTATTATCATTGTTCAGAATCAATGATAACATTTCATTCATTTCATTGTTCATTTCAATGATAACCCTTTTTACTTCACAATGATGTGGGTGTGAAACAAGGTCACTCAGTACAGAATGCTGTCAATGACATGTAATGCAACAAAATCTCTAAATCCATTTTAAGGTAAAAGTACATTGTTCAATATAATATCAAACTGCTGGGTAAGTAAATTTAAGGGAAATCTTTCAAGGCAAAGAATTACTCTATATTCTTATGGGTAATACATTGTAATCAAATACCAATCACTATATAACAATGACATGGATATACAAATTGGATAAAATTACAGTCAATACTTTTATCATCAGTAAAAATATTACTACCAATAAAATATCTAGTAGTACTGGTTATGCTCCAGTAAGTCATATTCTATAATATTCTGCTGCTGGCCACAAAGCATAATGTTCTCACTGAACACAAAGCATAATATCTCACTGGACACAAAGCATAATATCTCACTGGACACAAGCATAATGCATAACATCTCACAAAACCGTATCCTATTCCATCCTCGACCATGGAGTCAAGGCCATACCAAATATTCAAATGAATCTTAGAAACTTATTTTAATGAATGTATTACAAATATAATCAAAATTTATCTTTGAAAGAGAAAATGCCCCCTACGTGTTAAAATTCTGTCAACATCTTGCATAATAGTAGAGGACCTGGTCATATAGTGTCAACTTCAATTCAAACTTGCAATAATGTTGACAAAAACATCTATTATCACACGCGAGATTAGAGGCATTTAATGGATTCTTTTAAAACTCACATAAGATTTGCTTCCCATGGGGCATTAAACAAAGCTACCAGTTACAATGCAATTTCAACTAAATATTCTGAGGTTGCGATAAATAGATTGTTGATATGTTTTAAAAGGTTTCATTAATTTGACCTGATACTTTGATGTGATAAAACTTATCTGGACAAAAAATAATCTGCCTTTAGTCATACATGTACTTGCTTATCTTTATGATTTTGGAAAGCTAAGATGATATTAAGTCTAAATATTGTTGTGTCATTGAAATCTGAATTCAACGTACAGTGTATGTATAGCTAATTTGACCATGTCAGCTTCTTCATATACTGACTGTGCTTTAAAAAGACCACAAACCCACAGACAGCGAGCAGTAAAGCTCTAAGCATCTTCAAGGATTTGTAAACACATATTTCCATTTGCTTTGAGGGTGGTATCAATATACTTCAATATGATATGTATTGTCAAGAAGTAAAATAAACAGCTCTTTGTTCAAGAATAGATCTAATCCAAAACTAGACTTGTGTTCCAAATAGTGATATCTCTGAAACACTCTATTTCGTACAAGAATATGCGGAAAAGTTACTTTCATACATTATTGGTAACAAACTATGTGGAACCTCTACTGGTGGAACACTTCATGAAATCCTGAGACCAATGACCTAACATTTAATGAATTTCTCGTTACTAAAGCACATTATAGAGGTGCCAAATCAAAGGTGTTCTACTAGGTTTCATTGTCCATACGATACAATTCTTATGTTAAATTGAAGTGTATTTTCAGCTTGTATGGTTTCTATTGTTAGAAGGTGTTTTAAGTTTATAATATGTGTAAATGTGATGTGTAAATATGTACCTACTTTTGTTTGCTATTATTTCAAGTTTGTATAATTATGTTTTTATATTGTAGAGATTATTGAAATATGTGCCACTGTTTACAATGGAGAGTAGATTCAAGTTCAAAAATAAAATACCAAAAATATCAATTATTGGTCTCAGATTTCGGATATGATCCTTAGTCCTTACCCAACAAAGGACCTTTCGTTACAATTTATGAATAGCTACATGCTAAAACAATTCTCAGAAATACACAATTCAGAAAAAATATTTGTTTGAATAAAACCGTTTTTCAAATGTATTCTCTCAAATTGTTGTCTATACTGACTACCATATGTCACCTGTATTAACAAGCTTAATGAGCTAAAAGTATGCACACCTGTGTCGTGGACAGGTAAGATCGGGTAAGTGAAAGCCATTATGATGTCACCAGGTAAGGTTTCTAGGCCAACACATCACTATTAACCTAGCTATAGCACTACTGACCCCTGATAGCAAAGGGTGATGTTTTTTAAGATATTTTCTCCAATGACTTTTTATATGTTTTTCAGCCTCTTCATTGTTTTTACATTCATGATACAAAGATTTCAATTGATTTATTAACCGTTGACTGAAATGCACTTAAAGAAATCCAAAATATGTTTTTTACATAGAATACAACTGCATATACATGTATATGAAATATCAATGGGTGTCCTTGTTATGATTCTGACTAAAATCTACGGGAAGCTGTAAAGGTGTATAAAAGAAATAATTATTTCAATACTTTTGAACTTGTTTGATCCGTACTCCTCAAGTGTTTTTAACTGGTTTTCTGTAATGTATATATGCTATCAATTCATATTGCTTTCAGAATATTTTTCTACAGTATTTTGAAAAATCAACAGCATTTTACGTATTATTCCATTGTTAAAGGGTCACACCACGCAAAAATCTGAATTCCTGTGAGTCAAACATGTCATTTCTAATATAATGCTAACTGAAATTCCAAAGATTCTAGGCTTATTATACCCTACAACTTCACATACTTTGAACAGTACATCTCTGTTATAGAGATTGTAACCAAAAAACCCAAATCAATGTATATTAAAAGTGATTGCTCATTTATAAGTGACACTGTGCAGGGCCGTAGGGAGAGGGGGTTCGTAGGGCTCGTGCGAACCCCCCCCCCAAATCTTGCCTAAAAAAAATTCGAACCCACCCTTTCTGGCAATTATGCAAACTCCAAACTTTGAGTAAAATTTTTGCAGTCTTTCAATAATTTATCGTTTTTGATTACCCAAAGACAATTGAGTTATATGTCAAGATGGAAATATGTGAGATTTATAGCTTCATTTTGAGTAAAAAAGATTTTTAAAAAAACAGAAAAACAAAAAACTTCTAATCAATAATGGGCGATAATAGGTATGCTCTTTGCACTTTAGGCCTGAAATACTGAAGTAATATCTTCAAAATGAATTCAAATGCACAAACAAAGCATACCTACCAAGTTGAAATTATCTGATTGATGTACATAACGTCAAAATGGTCTAATTTTTGATATAAATCTGCAGAGAATTTTGTTGTGACACTGGGCCGTGATGCACCAAAATTGTGAACGCTAGAAAATTCTTACTTACAACGTTCTTATGTTTTCATGCTGTAGTTAGATCAGAGAGCAAGTATAAAGATCACTCACACAGAGTTGTTTACTGATTTTTGGCTCCTATTTATTTATAAAGCTCGTTGTACAAGCGATTTAAAATTGGGGGGAGGGGCAGGGGGTTCTATGTCTGCTAATTTCTGTGAATTTGTGGTATGTTGGGTCCAAATTTAAAAAAATCTGGCCAAATAAATGAACTTGGTCTTGGGATATTTTACCTATTTTTTGCTTTTGCAATTTTTTGAGATTTGGTAAACTTGAGAAAATTTGGTAAAATTTTAAATTTTAGCGAATGGGCAAAAATTATGAAAATTTGGCAACAATGAAACTTTGGCAAAATTTATCCATTATTGGCATTTAAGTAAAATTGGCAAAATTTAAGTAAAATTTTAGAAACTTGTCAAAAATTAATTAAATTAGACCAAAATTAAGAAAACTTTGCAAAATTTAAGCAAATTTGGCAAAATTGAGGTAAATTGGCAAACATACAGCAAATTTGGTAGAATTTCAGCAAATTTGGCAAAATTAAAGCAAATTTTGGCAAAATTTCATCAAATTTGGCAAAATTTAAGCAAATTTGGCAAGATTTAAGCAAATTTGGTAAAATTGAAACAAATTTGACAAAATTTAAGCAAATTTGGCCAAATTTAAGCAAATTTGGCAAAACTTAGGCAAATTTGGCAAAATTTAAGCACATTTGGCAAATTTGGCAGAAAATATTAGAACCCCCCCTGACAAATCCTGGCTACGCCACTGCTGTGACAGTACAAGCAACCAATGTTACCCAACAGCTGTTAACATTATTTCTGAATGTAACATTGCATAAGGCAATGACAGTGAGTTTGGAGTAAAACAATTATATGATTGTTAGATAAGGTTACAAGGTAACAGTAATTAGACCGTATAATAAATGAACTGTTTATCAAATTGATATATTTCCAGGATCTACAAATCCAAATCGTTCAAAGTGAACATGAATGATTTTTAGCAGATGGAACAAAATATTTTGCTTTAATAGCGAAAATGAAGAATTACATTCATCAGTTCTAAAACATATACATGCAGCCTATTGCCGCTTTCGCCAAGGGGGGTTCACTTTTCAAAAAATTCCAGGGGGTTTCACAGTTGACACTTTTGGCTCAAACCCGCTGAACCCCCCCCCCCCCCCCCTGCTAAGGGCCTGTATGCCTAACTTTAAAAATTGTATACTATTATGACAGATGACTTATCCTGAGTAACCTCAGCATAATCTTCCCCTAATTCAGCCAGATTGAACATGTCCCCAGATAAACAACATTAATATTTTAGAAATAGTAATAATTCATGTAATATCAAAGCAGCTATCAATTTAGATTTGATCTCTTCCCAAATGAAATCAATATCAAAAGTTTGGGTAAATAAATCCATTTCTTTGTTGGCTACTCCGATATGATACTGGTTATATGTTTTAACTTGATTAAGTGTGGCTTGCTTTATTGACT